TGGTAAGTCAGATTGTAGTGGAAATACGCCGACTACTGTAGAAGCATCTCATATTCTTGAGGAATCAAAATTTAAATCCACTCGTCTCAGAGTCGTCTCGCGTTGTATGTCCCATCCTGACTAATTTACACCTAGACAGACGCTAAACTTTATAACATACAACACCTGTTACTGCTGTTTTGATTGCTGTAAAACGAGGTGTTGGATTGTGGGCAAAAACCTCAGGTTACTGCCTCCATCGCTTGCAAATACTCGAAGTGTTGTAAAACCCTTCTCTGATACGTCTCTTGCTTGCCGAAGCTGGAGGTTCTAACATCTGCTACTTCGGACAGAAAATCACCTGATCAAGGAACGTACCTGACACAAAATCTAGTCTCGGAGTATATAACCACAATTGACACAATATTTCGCATTCTTCCGTTTGCAATGCTCCTCCAGAATTTATGAAAGGTATATATATCCAGGTTCAGCCTGCACCTTGAGCTAAGATTCTCTATCCCTAGCACTAGATCCCCAACTTCGATCTTAATCAGCTCTCATCAACAGGAGTACATAAAAACCACTGGATCTCTATCATAGAGTAAGGACGAATTTTTTTCTGGAAAGATTTTGTGAAGAGAGGTTAAATGCTTCTAGAGCAGAGTAAGAGCTGTAAAGAGAGATTTTCCCTCGACATTTTTTTCAGCTGAATTGAAGAAAAATTGGCCTTTGTACTGACCCACGGTGGTGAGCTGGCAGAAGCAAGACCGAGTGTGCCACAAGATCCATGCTGACTACAAGCTTATAAGTTGTATTTCATGCTTGGGAAAGCGCAAGATCACGAAGAAAGTTTTGGTTGATGTCTTCTATAGTCTTTTAAATGGAGCAGCAAGTTTTATAGGGTGTGTCCACCGTCTTAGATTCCTATGCGGAATTACAAAGTATGTGGCGCTTCGGTTTTCTGGATTAGCCATTCAACAATCCGAAACATTGACGCAGATTTATGCATCGACAGATATTAGTTAATATATTTTGCATAAATCCATGCCTCCAAAAGATAGTGGTAGCTTTAGAGTCTGGAAGCAAATTAATCGGGTCCTTGCTTGCCTAAAATTTCAAAGACGAGCAAGACGAGGAAGATCAGATTGGAGCTTGGGTTGGAATTGGTGATGCTATCTCTTCAGATAGCTTATTATAAAAATATTTCTGTAGCAGGGCTTGAATTTAGTCTGCATTTTGTGGAGCAGAGATTTAGTAAAAACTCCATGTGTGATCACTTTGTCCGCGATCAAAAGTCATGCAGATCTCCTGGAGAGGCATGCCTTCATCGATAAGGTTACCAGGGCAGCGCTGTCTCTAAGAGAGTGCTATTTTAAATTATCTACTTAAATTTTAAGTCAGATTCTCCCTTGCAAACAGTTCTTTAGCCTTGCCTCGAGCTTTGCACATCGTCACTAGATCCGAAAATCTTTTTCTTTTATGTCCTATACACATAAAGTAGTAATTTACTTTTGAATGAACCTATCCGCTCCGGGTGACTTGCATGCAGCACAGTACAACTATTTTGGGTGACTTCGGAAACCCTCAAGACCAGAAATATGTGCAAGACCAAGAGAGGATACTTCCATAGCTACTGAAGCTTTGACTTTTACTCAGCTGCATGCAAGTCACCCGGAGCGGATAGGATCTCTTAAAAGTACAATCTTACTTTATGTGTATAGGACATCATATAAATTTCAGCGGATCATTGTCCGTGTCTAAGCGACACATACATCAGCTATTTTTTTGCTTGTGGCTTGGCTTTTCTATATATACATAAGCATCATTTGAATATATTAGTTCTGATGAAGCTGATGGCAAGAGCCCAGCCATTTATTTTATTTCATACACAGATCCCTGTGGAGAATCTAAGAAGCTCACGAAATAGAAGGATTTTTTATCTGGAGCAAAAGGGGAATCGCTAGACGCACTTTTATCTGAAGACCCAAGGTGGTGCTTTTTTATGTGAAAATAACGTGATAATGTATCTACATAAATCTGGACAATGAATACCCGAAGTGCATGTTTTCTTCTCACTACTCGAATTGGATCGGGAGAGCAAAAGTGAGAATCATTGATCGCAGAAAGTGATAAAGCTCTCTATGAAAAGGGAAAATCATGAATAGTCTTCTCTCGAGTCTCCCTCCGTACAAGCTTGTGGGACGTGAAGACCCGCAGCATTGTGCACTTCTTGATTCCATCCCCGTATTTTAGAACTTGATCCTCAGTGTTTTATATATATATATATATACATATATTATAAAAATAAAATAAAAATTGACTTAAATGAATGATGTATAAGCATATCTCTTAGACGATATCCCTAAAACAGCATGAACTTTAGAAGTCTCCAATCTGCCATTGTGAAAGCTGTTACTCTACTCTCTACTCAAGTAGGAAATTACAATTAAAAGGAGATGATAACGCTCAACAGCATTACCCCACATCTCGAATTTGAACCAACTAAAAACCAGCTGAAATATTCACTCACATACCACTCCACAACAATCCAACATTGAGAGTTGTTCTAAGTACCTGAGTGATTTTTAGCTAGCAAGATGTGATATGGATTACTGAACTCTCACATACTCGAAACGTTTTAGACTCAACCTTCGAGCTGGACATTAAAATAATGAAGACTCTTCGGTCCTCGAAGAATCTTCATTATTTTAAATGAAGAAGCCTCTCTAAAGTAGCCTTTACCAAAGTAGACGTTATTGCAAATGTATAACTTCTAGTTTACTATAATGTGTAAAACACCAAGGTTAACAATCAGTCTTAGATTTCATTATAAAGAAATTTATAAAAAGTGTAATTTCGGTCATGTTTCTTCGTTCAGCGTTATGTATTGTGAAGTCTTTGGAAATATATATGTGCGTGTACTCACCCTTCTGTAGAACTCCTAGTAGTCAGTAGAAATCAGTTTTGGAATCCAGAAAAGAGTAAAGAAACATGGGTCCTAGATCAGTGAAAGGAGTAGCTTCCTACCTCATGATAGAGAGAGCATGTGTGCCCTATCATAATTCCAAATCTGCAATTTATTTGAATAGCTTTCTTTATTACATAGCCTTAATAGGTCCTTGATTCTATTAATTATATTTTTTCATAGAATATCCTCCCTTATTGATATAAATATATAAGGATATGTGGAGTTGTAATTAACTGCCAGAATGGCAGTATTTAGCTCTGAGCTAGTGGGTTTGGAGGAGATTAAATTGGACAAAAAATTTGCACTCACGTTTATAGCACAGTAAAATGCTATAATTTTCAAATGTGTGGAATGGAAAGATCATCGTTTCCGGCACACTTGTAACGCATAACCAGGCGTCTCTAAAAATAATAACTTGTGTCATAGAATCTATATATATGGTATCTGGCTGCCATGAGGTTACGTATTTCAAGAAATATTTATAGTTTTCTAGAACTAAAGTAAACCTAGAAAATGAAAAATGATCCGTGACTCAGTTTAGGGCTATTTAAGTCTATTAAAGGTGATTCATCATCTATCTATGGAAGAGTTAGTTTCTGCTTCACAAATACTTGTAATAGTAGGAGTAGATATAGTGCGTGGGCATCTACTTTTCCTCGGAAGTGTTAAATTTTTGGAGCCAACTGTAGTCAAGAAAGAACACCTGATCAAGAAACAAGTGTTGTTATAAACCTGAAGAATTTGATTGTTGTAGCTACTATGGAAGATCGCCATATATTTTTCCATGAGCTGTTCTTTATCAAATGGGTTAGTTAACTTCTCTGAGTTTATACTCCTGTAAGAACATTAATTTTAAGCATTCTCATGTTACAAATGAAGGATTTTTAGTTACTAATATTTAGTTTTTTCAAAGTGTACAACAAGCCGCCCTAGCTCAGTTGGTAGAGCGCAAGGCTCTTAACCTTGTGGTCGGGGGTTCGAGCCCCCCGGGCGGCGGGATAGGTTAAGCATCGGTGGTCTAGGGGTAGAATAGTTCCCTGCCACGGAACAGACCCGGGTTCGATTCCCGGCCGATGCAGCTTTTGGCCAATTGTACTGATAGGAAAGGCACTGGAAATCCTATTTTAAGACGAAATACAGTTTACAGATCCAGGGTTGGATCTGGGTAAGGTTTTTGGTAATCAATAAACTAGCCCACCCTTCACTGGGAGGTAGCACGAACTGATTTGACTTGTTCACTTTTTCAAGGTCTGCGCAATGGTCAGCTGCAGGTTTCGTAGTGGGTAGGGTACTTGTGGCTGGCAAATTTGCCCACTCTCTGTGTACTCCGGATTGATCGTAAGGTGGATAATTTTACTTTGGTGTACCAAATGTTTCTATATTGTGCTGTGGATTATCTGCCCTACTTAACCTATGATGTACCAAAGATATGATTACTTCCTGTAATTTATCTGCATGGTAAACCAACTTGCTGAATCAGATTCTTTCCAAAACAAGAAACAGACTGAAGAACTTCGGCAATTATTGGAGGAAATTATATAGTTAAGCAGATCTTTAGTTTAGAGCGTCAAGACTGAAGGTAAGTGATACACTATGCCACAGACCGTAAGTCGCTGTTTAGATTTGATTATGCACAATAAGATTGAATGCAAGCATCTGTTCTGAGATCTGTATTTTGGGCTCCAAGATAAAGAATTTTGTTAGGTGATGGTTTACACCTTCGATTAGCTCCATTAAAACAAAGAGCTTTTCGAAGACTACTAGAGTAGTTTCCATAATAAGATGAGTCTGATACTGCAGTGTACGGGGATAAAAATTATTATTAGTGAGAGTATGATGCAATTTCAGGTTTTCAGAACTGTCTTTGTCAAATTTTGCCATAATGATTGACCTATCTGTTCCTTAGAATCTTCTGATCTGACCGAGATAATCTATAGACAGCTTCAAGACTTGGAAGCTTTTATAGATCACACGAAGGTTGTGCTTAAAATTTTATAGAGCTACTACTTCTGTATCCGAACCTCCAATTCTTGAAGCGTCGAGATGCTAGGGGTGGTCATGAATAGGATTGTTGTCATCTATTGCAGCTGAGATGGATATGAACAAGGGCAAGGGTGAAGCGGCTGGCAAAGGAGTGGAGGAATTAGCCATGAAGATATTGAAGAAGCTCATTGAACCCATCCACAAGGATAAACTTCTGGACATCTTGCAGCATGCCGCCTCTCGACACATATATGTACTCGAAGATATTCGCAAACCTGCTGATAAGTACCACAAGATTTTTGTGAGTGGTCTATGTCCCGACACCACACTGGAAACCCTCCACGACGTATTCTCACCATTTGGAGAATTTGAGGAAGCAGAATTTCCAGTGGACAAGAGAACTGGACAAAGCCGCGGCTTTGCATTTATCACATTCAAGCACATGGAATGCGCTAAACGAGCTCTGAAAGAACACAGCAAAAATATCGAAGAATTGATGGCATTTGCCAACTTGAAGCTGCTCGGAATCCCATACAGGAGAGGGCAGCCAGTAAGACGAGAAAAATTTATGTCAGCAATATCCGGCATAAAATGACACGCGAAAGTCTTCTAGCCATCTTTGCAATCTTTGGAGAAATTGAAGAGAGGCCGATAGTACACAGAAACTCTTGAACCTCGTGGGCAAGGTTTTACTTTCATTATCTACAAATCTGAAGACTCGGCGCGGAGATGCCTGCAATACCCTATGAAAACTATCGACGCTCACACATTGCACTGTAAACTTACTCGGGGGAGTCAAACGGGAAAGTCAGTTCGAGGGATAGGTCAGTCTGGAAAGGCCGAAGGTTAAGATGATATGAACATGGGTTCTCAGCCATCTGGTGATATATCCGGACGGGATCTGCTTTGAGACATTGCAAGCTTTCACCACGAGTCGAATCATCAATAAAAAATCAAGACGGTGGAAACTTTCACCACGAGTCGAATCATCAATAAAACATCAAGACGGGGAGCCCACTGAGCCCTGAACACCGTCTTCGTCATCAGTTTCCAGTAAATGGTCCCATAAATGTCCAATGTATGCATTGCATAGACCACGCACAACGGTTTTATTACCGATATGCAGGCCGGATCAGAAGTTAGTGCATCTGATCCGTGCCTGGCTTATTTCCACATACAGAAAAAACAGCCTCAGCAGCCACACACACTATTACATTTTAAGCTGCCAAAGCTGCACCTCGCGACAGAAAGTAAGGGGAGGCAGATGGAAGGACATTTAGTTCTCGAAGACGAGACTGCAGGAGGGTTCGTTTAACTGCTAGAGTTGCTCTGCATTATCATCAAAGGACCATCGTAACGATGAAGTTGCAACAATCAGTTGGCAACAACGATCATCTTCTACTCAGTTTTGGAAGTGTACGTAGCTCCTTGCGCCGTGAGCCAGGCCACCTTCTCTGAATCGGGAACATTCTTGAGCTGCTCGTAAAGCCATATTGCGTTGTCCGTGATGAGCACCCAGTTACCTTCACCAGAATTGTAGACAAGGGCGTTTGGATCCACAAGCTTTTTGCAACCGGAAGAGGCGTCAGTGCATGCCTGCTGCTCGTCATCAGAAACATCAGCCAAAAGCTGACGGCGTCGACAAATGGGGTTCCAGCGAGCACCAGTAAACTTGGCTCCAGAAGCGCAGACAGTGCCGGTAAAGCTTCCCCATAAACCGGTACAACCGCCACCGATAAATATGTCGGTCAATTGACAGGGGACCGAGTTTCTGACTTCAACTGACAACCATGGAGTGGGGGGTATGGTGCAACAGACTCCCGGAGCGATACCGAAACATCCCACAGATTGTCCACGACAGTACATTTGCGGCCAGAACAAGATGTCCAATGCTCCAGTGGACTGCAACCTCGACAGCGCCAGCACCAACGCAGCCAACAGAACAGATGGAATTCTTCCTCTCAAATACGACGTACTCTCCATGATTTGCCCTCAACTTAGAGCGTCTGGTCGTGCGCAGCAGACAACCCGGAAATGCACGTCAAGAAATTCAGCAGACGGAATTCATGCACCTTCACCGACGATAGAAATCGTTTGAGCCTTTTCTAGAAAATCAGCAAATTATGCACTGGCTAGCTGAACTTACTCTGATCATACTATGAACTCGGAGCACACTTACCGTGCAGTGGATTACTCGAAGCAGACAGCTAGCTGGGGTCGTATTCTGATTCTCAGACTGATCGTTGTTGAGATGATGAGGCTTCATACGAACTATGCGAGTTTTTATAGTGGCTCTGACATGTGATTCAATAGTTAAAACAATTATAAAGGCGTACCTGCCACAAACTAAGGCGTTATCTGTATATGCGACGAGTAGAAATCGATGTTTGACGGCGTCAAACTACTAGTGGAAGGACCAGCTTCTGGCAAGGTCTCAGTGCCATACACTTTAATTCGCAGCTATGTTTCCGAATTACGAAGGGACATAGATCTTCGAATATTACAACTAGTTCACGATTTTTATAACTGTTCCATCTTTGTCATCACGACAGCAACACTGGGATGGCAATATGTTGTCTCAGCTGATACACGTGTTCCAAGTGTGGTAGGCTGGTGCTCAAAGTCAAATGGTTTAGAATCAGCTTAGACATAACCGAGGTTTCGGAAAATGATCTTACAATCACTCCAGCGAATTGGGATGAGTTAGAGAAGGGAATGGTCAAGGAGCGAGAAGCGTTAAATTCACTGTTGTTTTATCAGACTTGTGTCAGGCTCGCCTTGCGTTATATATCCCATACTGAACAATTTATGCAGCGACAGACGCTAACGTTTGACACCTTCAACACCAGTTACTGCTGTTTTGATTGCTGTAAAACGAGGCTCGCTACATCGCTTGCGAAAACTCGACGTGCAATAAATTTGATCTCTGATACGTTTTGTTCATTTCCGAAGCTGGCTGTCTAAACAGCGTCAACTGAGAAGAGAAAATCACTTGATCAAGGTACAATCTTGCACAAAATCTATTGTCGGAGTATCACCACAAGTGACAGATTTGCAGAAACTTTTCTGTTCGATATTTTCTCTTATACTTTTGTAACAACTTTTAAGTTGGTCTCTACAATATGTCTGTAATTTTTAGTTGCTGTTGTCGAACATCCTCGATAATTTGCAGTTCAGAACCCGGAGAACTTTTCTCCTGAATTTTAGGACTTGCCTTGTCTCCAGATCCGGCAACTTACTACAAATCGGATTGCAACACATCTCATCCAACACAATTGAACTCACCAATGATGAGTGATTTTAGATTTTCAGATGCCAGATTATACATCCGACTTGTTCAATAATATGAGAAAAAAAGGTGTTAAACAACCACAATTTTCGTCATGACCTACTTGCAGCAGCTTGACTCTACTCGTACAATTTAACCGGAAGTGAGGACTAGACATTACTGGTAACACAGACTGCTCTCGGACAGATCGGTTGGAACATCGTATACACAAAAACTATCATAATATATATCTAGGGACATAAACATCCTGAGTTACTATTAATCTAATATTTTTTCTACCGCATATTCGGCCTTAATACTGATTCAAAGTAGCACCTGACGATTGCCGCGCTCAAGTACAATGTCTGCGGAAACTCGTGCTCGTCAGAATGTCTTATTATATCACTGTAAAATCACTGACCACATGAAGTCAAGGTCCATTTTATTTGTATTTTTTTCCATAGAATCCACTACAGGAGAACAACGTGGTGGGTCATTGACTTTGATGAGGAGACTCAGGGCTGCAAGATGTTGGTCTTAATTTGGAAACGTGGATAATGTTTATTAAATGCATCCTAGACTTTGTAATAGTAGAATATATAGTATAATAGTAATATAGTACAATACTGCGTGTCCCCAGAGTTTCGATGCAAGCTGCAATGGAAGCTGAGAATTTCTGAGGCCTATGATGATCTCTTGTATTTTACTTGAACCTTTATCTTACTCTTACAACACTCCTCAATTACGCCCAGAATAAGTCTATGCAGCCTAAGCCTGCACCGGGAGGTAAGGTTCTCTATCCCCGAGCTATATCTTAGTAACGTAACCAGGAGCAGATTGAAACAACCTGGATCTCTATCGAAGTACGGTGGACATTAGTGCTCGAGAAATGTTGCGGTGACAAATAAAATGCTTCTGGAGCTGCAGAGAGAGATATGCAGCTGAATCAAGGACAACTTGGCCTTTGTACTGACACGTGGTGGTGAGGTGGCAGAAGCAAGACTGAGCGTGCAGAAAAAACAAATATCTCGATGCAGACCAGGAGCTTGTAGAGTCGTACTTTATGTGTGTGGGAGAGCTCAAGATCATAAAACAGACTGTTTTTGCTTTAACTCTGTTAGCTTACTATCGATTCTCCTCTTGCACATCAACATTTACGTAATCGATCCATTGACTTTCGAAGTGGGGAGTTCGACCCCGTTTTGTTTTGTTCATAACCGGAATTTTTCCATTTCTTTTCTTTTTTTAATATTCCATCTTCATCATCACATGGAAATTCTTTTGCGCTTTTGTGACGGTTAACTTTTGTTTCTAGAACCCAACGACGAAAGGGATGATTTGTGGCAGTATTGCCATTTCAGGGTAGATTTGGGCACGTGCGTGGTCAGGAGAGAGGTCATTGATGCTGAGTTGCGACCAGGTTGAGAAGGAATAGCATCCAAGGTTCAGCTGTTGTAAACTGGAATCAACTTCTTGAGGATGTATATGATGCAGATTACGGAACAAGCTCCCTTCTCCAACTTCTTACCCATTTGCTTAATCTTCTGCCCCACAAACAGGACATTGCCAAGTCTTCATGAGATGTTTCAGTCTTTTTTAACAGGGGGTTCCCCTGTGACCCGGACTACTCGCATGACGACAAATTCGTATGTCATAAAGAGAACCGTAAATCCCAATATTCGATTTAATGGCTCTAAACATTATTTCAGGAAAGAAGCCTTCCAGTAGTACAGTACAAGGTTGCATTCATCCGGAACCGGAATTTGACAGTCCTTTGATGAATATCTAGCGTCCACTTTTGCCCTCACGGCTAATAGTATTGGGAATTGGACTTCAAATCATGATCAGAAGATATCTTCAAACTTTTAGCAACTCCTGGATCCACATGAAAATCGCGCTTACGTCACGAGGTTGTCTTTTGTAAAGCAAGGGGATCATATTGCATAGAAAAGGTAATCGGATCTGACTGCCTCCCGGGAAGCCTCCCAAATCTCATTCAAAGAGAGACCAGACCCGAGACGCAGAGAACATCAAGCCATTGACCCGCCGGAATCTCCCGATCATCAAATAATTTAAATACATGCCTCCGTCCATACACAGTTCTGCAACTCCAGTAAATGGTTAGAACACATATTTGACATTTTAAATTTCGTAAATACATGAATAATGGACGGTGAGGCCCAGTGTGTCAAATCAAGGGTGCCACCGTCCAGCGTCCTCAGCAATCTTACTCTTCCTCTCCCCTTCTTTCCCTTTCGATCAGAACTGAGAACAACATGAACCAGAATCACTCTCCCACATTTGAAACGTTTCATACATTCATGTATAAAGATTTGTACCAAAACAGATTGCATCTTCATAAAAAATTCATAGTTGGATAGCTTTGGCTTATGATGGACTAGGGCATATTCGATAAAAGAAAATTCCAGGTTTTGGAGCTGAACTAGTCTACAATAACTTAAACAGTAGTTTATATTCCCAAAGAAATAACTGCTGATAAACTACGAGCAAGCAGCAATATTAATGATGGCTTTTGTAATATAACCCTTCGTCTTTTATACAATACTGGTAATATGACATTGATCAGAGTTTACTTTGCACATGAGAATAATTCTACATTCGAGTACATTCTAGAATTTCAAGTCCGATATAATTGCTCGTTCCTTATAATTAAGAATGCTTGATTCTTGAGTCAGGTACAGACATACAGGAGAGGGCAGCTAGAAAGACGAGAAAGATTTATGTCAACAATTTCCGGCTTATAGTGACACGCGAAAGTCTTCTAGCCATCTTTGCCATCTATGCAATCTTTGGAGAAATTGAAGAGGGGCAGTTTGTATATAGAAACCTCATGGGCAAGATTTTGCTTTCATTATCTACAAATCTAGAGACTCTAAGAGATGCCTGCAATTTTCGATCAAAAGTATCAACGCTCACAAATTGCACTGTAAACTTTCTCGGGGGAGTCAAACGGGAAAGTCAGTTCTAGGGATAGGTCAGTCTGGAAAGGCCGAAGATTACGATAATATGAACATTGGTTCTCAGCATCCGGTGATATATCCGGACGGGATCTGCTGGGAGACAGTGGAAACTTTCACCACGAGTCGAATTATCAATCAAAAGTCAAGACGGAGAGCCCACTCAGCCCTGAACACCGTCTTCTACATCAATTTCCAGCAGACGGCAACATTTTACTTCAAATCTGCACCTAGACCATAACCATCAGCAGCGACCTAACCCCAAACACACCATTACCTGTGCCCACCCATGCTATTCAAATTACGCCAATTGTGTTACGTGTATTAACCATTTACAACAATTCTTGGTTGGATCTTGATAAACACTGCCCATGGCGTTACTTGTGTTCACCCATGGAAAAACTAATGTCCCCCAAAATCCATGCCCATGGCCCCCAAGGTTGGGCTCTGGTTTCCAGTAAATGGTCCCGTAAATGTCCAATGTATGCATTGCACAGAGCAGGCACAACGGTTTTATTGACGATATGCAGGCCGGATCAGAAGGCGGTACATCTGATCCTTGCCTGCTTTATTTCTACATACAGAAAAAACAGCCTGAGCAGCCACACACAGCATTACATATTAAGCTGCCAAAGCTGCACCTCGCGACAGAAAGTAGAGGCAAGCAGACAAAGGGAGATTTGGTGCTCGAAGACGAGACTGCAGGAGGGTTCGTTTCACTGCTAGAGTTGCTCTGCATTATCATCCAAGGACAATCGTAACGATGAAGTTGCAACATATGAGTTGGCCACAACGATCATTTTCTACTCAGTTTTGGAAGTGTACGTAGCTCCTTGCGCCGTGAGCCAGGCCACCTTTTCTGAATCGGGTACATTCGTGAGCTGCTCGTAGAGCCCCATTGCGTTGTCCTTGATGAGCACCCAGTTACCTTCACCAGAAGTGTAGACTAGGGCGTTTGGATCCATAACATTTTTGCAACCGGAAGAGTCGGTGCATGCCTGCTGCTCGTCATCAGATACATCAGCCAAAAGCTGACGGCGCCGACAAATGGGGACCCATAATCCACCAGTAAACCGGGCTCCAGAAGCGCAGACATTGCCGGTAAAGGCTCCCCATACGGTGGAACAACCGCCACCGATAAATATGCGGGTCAATTGACAGGCTGTCGAGTTTCTGACTTGAACCGAAGGCCATGGAGTGGGGGGTAAGCTGCAACAGACTCCCGCAGGGATACCGAAACATCCCACAGATTGTCCAAGACAATTCGGTTGCGACCAGAACAGGATGTCCACTGCTCCGATTGACTGCAACCTCGACAACGCCAGCACCAAGGCAACCAACAAAACAGATGGAATTCTTCCTCTCAAATTCGACATACTCTCCATGATTTGATACTCAACTGAGAGCACCTGGTCGTGCGCAGCTGACAGCCCGGAAATGCATGTCAAGAGATTAAGCTGACGACATAATTCATGCACTTTCACCAACGACATAAATTCTTTGAGCCTTCTCTAGAAAATCAGCAAAATCTGCACTGGCAAGCTGAACTGACTCTGATCATGCTATGAACTCAGAGCATCCTTACCGTGCTGTGGATTTCTCGAAGCAGACAGCTAGCTGGGGTCGTATTCTGATTCTGAGACTGATCGTTGTTGAGATGATGAGGCTTCATACAAAATATGCGACCTTTTATAGTGGCTCTGACATAAGATTCAATAGCTAAAAGAATCATAAAAGTGTACCTGCCACAAACTAAGGCGTTATCTGTATATGTGAGCAGTAGAAAAATATTTATTGACGGCGTCAAACTACAAGCGGGAGGATCAGCTCCTGGCAAGGTCTCAGTGCCGTACATTTTAATGCGCGGCTATGTTTCCGAATTACGAAGGGACATGGATCTTTGAGCATTACATCTAGTTCACGATTATTTAACTGTTCCATCTTTGACATCACGACAGCAACATTGGGAAGGCAATATATAGCCTCAGCTGATACTCGTGCTCCAAGTGTAGTATGCTGGTACTCAAAGTCAAATGGTTTAGAATCAGCAAAGGCATTACCGAGGTTTTGGATTATTATTTTTCAATCACTTCAGCGAATTGGGATAAGTCTGAATAAGTTAGAGAAGGAAATGGTCAAGAAGCGTAGTAATGTTCACACTGAATTGTCGGTTCATGGGGTAATTTTGACACTCATTCTTATTGCATGGAAGAGCCACAGTTTCCGCCCACTGTCCTCATGTAGCTGGTGGATCATAATTTTGTGGCAAGTACGCTGACCAGTGTCGAAGGATCTCCAATTCTCGAGGTTTTAACGTTAAATTCCACTGTCATCTTAACAGACTCGTGTCAGGCTCGCCTTGAGTTATATCGCTCATACTGAACAATTTACACCGCGACAGACGCTAACATTTGACACCTTCAACACCAGTTACTGCTGTTTTCATTGCTGTAAAACAAGACTCGCTAAATCGCTTGCAAAAACTCGACGTGCTGTATATTGATCTCTGACACGTTTCTTGCGTACCGAAGCTGGATGTTTAAACATCTTCAATCGAGTAGAGAAAATCACTTGATCAAGGTACAATCTGACACAAAATCTATTGTCCGAGTATTACCACAAGTGACAGATATGCAGAGACTTTTCTGCTCAATTTTTTCTTTTATACTTTTGTAACAACTGTTAAAATTGTCTGTACAAATTGTCTGTAATTTGTTTGTTGCTGTTGTCGAACATCCTCGATAATTTGCAGTTTATAATCTGGAGAACTTTGAACTTCTGAATTTTAGGACTTGCCTTGTCTCTAGATCGGGCAACTTTCTACAAATCAGGTTCCAACAGTTTTCATCCTACACAAATTTAACACATCAATGATGAGTGATTTTAGATTTTATGACCTCAGATAATACATGCCACTTGTTCTATAACGTGCGAATTAAATTATATTTAAACTAACGCAGTTTTCATCATGACCTTCTTGCATTAGCTTGACTCTATTAGTACAATATAACCGGAAGTGAGGACTAGACTGATGTCTAGTCCTCACAGGCAGCACAGACTGCTCTCCGACAGATTCGTTGGAACATCGTATACATGATATAAGATATCTTGGGACGTAGACATCCTGATTTACTCCTAATCTTGTTAATTTTATGCGGTATAAAATTAATAAGATTCGAAGTCGCACCTGACGATTGCCGCGCTCAAGTACAATGTCTGCGGAAACTCGTGCTCGTCAGAATATCTTTTTATATCACTGTAAAATCACTGACCATGAACGCATGAAGTCAAGGTCCATTTTACTTTTATTTTTTTCCATAGAATCCACTACAGGAGAACAACGTGGTGGGTCATTGACTTTGATGAGGAGAGTCAGGGCTGCTTGTTACTATTACTTTATCTGATGTTTATTTTAATTTGGATAATGTAATAGTAGATCATGTTAAAAGCAATAGCATCCTGTACTGCGAGATATAGTAGAATATTGCATGTCCCCAGAGTTTCGATGCAAGCTTCATTGGAAGCTGAGAGTTTCTGATGATCTCTTGTATTTAACTTGAAGCTTTATCTTACTCTTACAACGCTCCTCAATAACGTACAGGCTAAGCCTGCACCGGGAGGTAAGGTTCTCTATCCCCGAGCTAGATCTTAGTATTGTAACCAGGAGCAGATTGAAACACCCTGGATCTCTATCGTAGTACGGTGGACATTAGTGCTCAAGAAATGTTATGGTGACAAATACAATGCTTCTGGAGCTGCAGAGAGGGATTTGCATCTGAATCGAGTACAACTTTGCCTTTGTATTGACACGTGGTGGTGAGGTGCATAAGCAAGACTGAGTGTGCAGAAAAAACAAAAATCTCGATGCAGACCACGAGCTTGTGGAGTCGTACTTTATGTGTGTGGGAGAGCGCAAGATCATGAAATATATGTAAGCCAGCGTCCTCAATGGCCTTCCGAACCGAGGCAGCTATATTTGTAGGATGTGTCCATCGTCTTAGATTCGTCTGGTGATACCAAATGCATACAGTGGCATCGATCTGCGGCGTGGGCTCTCTTCGGTCTTCTGGAGAAGCCATTCGTCAAATGAAGATATAGTTAACCCAGCTTTCACATACACACAGCTTTCACAGTAAATCCCAATGTTCGATTTAATGCTTCTCAAATCATTTTCAGTCTTCCGGTAGTACAGTACAAGGTTGCATTCATCCGGAACCGGAATTTCGTCAGTTCTTGGATGAATATCCAGCTTCCACTTTTTCCCTCACGACTAATAGCGATGGGAATTGGACTTCAAATCCTGATCAGAAGACATCTTCAAACTCCTGGATCCACGTGCCAATCGCGCTTACGCCACGAAGTTGTGTTCTGCAAAGGACGGGAATCATAGTGCATAGAAGGGTGGGTAATCGATCTGACTGCCTCCCGGGAAACCTCCCAAATCGCAGTCAAAGAGAGAAGAGACCCGAGACGCAGAGAACATGAAGCCATTGACCCGCCGGAATCTCCCTCTTCTATTCCGACCATCAGATTAGTTGAATAGAGGCGTCCGTCCATACACATTTCTACAACTCCAATAAATGGTTAGAACACAGAATGGACAGTTCAAATTGCGTAAATACTTGAATGATGGACTGTGAGGCCTAGGGGGTCAGATCAAGTGTGCCACCGTCCAGCGTCCTCCTCAATCTTACTCTTCCTCTCCCCTTCTTTCCTTCTCGATCAGAACTGAGAACAACTTGAATCAGAATCACTCTCCCACAATTGAAACGTTTCATACATTCATGTATGAAGCTTTTCACAAATACAGATTGCATCTTCATAAAAAAGTCATAGATGAATAGCTTTGGCTTATGATGACTACTCTACAATAAATATAAAGAGTAGTTCATATCTCCAAATAAATACCAGCTGATAAACTACGAGCAAGCACCTATGTCAATGTTGGCTTTTGTGGAATAAACCTTCATCTTTTATACAATACTGGTAAAATGCCATCGATCAGAGTTTACTTTGCACATGAGAAGTCTTCTACACTCGAGCACATTATAGAACTTCAAGCCCGATATTTTTACTCGTTGTTTCTTATAATCAAGAAGTTATCTGTTTGATTCTTGAGTCAGGTAAAGACCTTCATCCATTAGGCTCTTTTATAATTCTTGTTTCCGCATGATCAAATGCAACCCAATGATTATAGCAATCTACTCAACTCAGCAGCCAGTACGAGGCTACAAATGAATCATTAACTAAGATCGATAGAAGAAGTCCACCCATCTTCTTTTGACATACATGTGCACAAAAAAGGTTACATTATATTTGAACTTTAGCAATATTAGGTATATATGAAATCTAACATCTAATATATGCATGTTGGATTTATCAAATGCAAATCTAAAACATGAATGAAGAGAGATAACGATCTTTAAGTTGAAAGATTGAAATAACTTTAAATAGTTTCATAAATGAAGAAAGTTTTTACTGACTCTTTGGAAACTTGCAGATTATATGATCCTTCTTATTCCATATTTAATATGATAAAGTACCATATATCAAGTAAACTTGAATTTACTACTTAGTCTTTATTCTATATATCCGAGATGGTGATGTAGCATCTATCAAGTAAACTTGGCTGACTCCATCATTTAAGCTAGTAAAGCATTTGAGAGACAATTGAGACATTTCCAGACTTTTGGCAGAGTGTCCTCTGAAACAAGACGTAAATCTATTCTGCAAAATGTCACTGAGTGAAACTTCTTGCAATAAGTTTTGTGATGGCAACTGCATGGTATAGTACATTTTGTATGCCACAGTCCAGCAATATTATCCACATCTTCGACCTCTGGTAAAAACATGTGTGAAGAATGCCATCCCATGCGACAACCAGTGCAGATGTAAACTTGATGAAGAGTTGGTGGAGCTTTGGCTTCTTCATTCAGATTCAAGGATGCCGAATCGCTTGAACTTGCCATTGCACCAACTTAGAATATGATAAAAGCGAAAGTTACTGCAATCAACAAAATTATGAACCATTTGTTATAAATCATTAGAATTTAAAATAACACCTATAGAACTTGGACAAAGCAAAATTACTTCAACCAGAATTTCTGACAAGATGGGTATGATCTTGAAAACTTTGGTGGAGCAATTGTCTACCCTAGAATAACATAGCTTGTTACCACTCTACTCTTCTACGATCTACTAGATCATCTAACACTAGATCAGTTTCTAGATAAGATTCTCATTTGTGAATTGAAACCATTTCAAAATCTTGATAGGATGCTAACTTTATCACAATTTCACAGCACTTCAAGAAGTAAAACTGTTTAGCATTACCTGGGAAAGTAAATATCTGGGATGTTTTACAATTGATGTCAATGGCACCTGACGAAGAGAAAATCAGGAAGGCTCGTACAAAATCTAATATGCTGCCAAAATATACTATCGCAGCCTGTAATCGATCGCCCTACATGAGCAATACAGAAATCCGCCATCGATGCCACGTTCAACTACCAGAGGAGCCGACCAGCTAATAATCCGACTCCCACTCATATACTCCTATCCGTCTCCGCTCAAATGCCGGGCACCACCAAAACATCATTCAGTTCGAAGGAAATACCTGTGCTCTGCGGCTTCTGCCAAAGTTCGACGAGCTCCGGACGCAATCAGGAAGCCGCGACAGCTGTAGAGAATCGAGAATCTTGTTTCGATTGCCTGTGCCTTGACTTAAATCGAGAGAAGATTGAGTTCTTAGTTTTACTACCAAGGTTTTAAGCATTCATGAATATGATTTCAAGGCAGTAGACTCGAGGGAATCTAGAACAAATTTTGATGACATGTTGTACTAATAGCTCCAGACAGAAGCTTTACAATGAAATTTTCGGTATCATTCAAAAATGATGATCGTTGATCAGAATTCAAATTTTTTTCCATTGCCTATCTTTGAATGTGCCTTGTGCTAAGTAGTGCATTCAAATTTTCAGTTCAATCTCGAGTATGGCGCTCGATTGGCCTGAAAAAATTGGCACCAGCCCCGTTGCGCAGTCAAGGCGCTGCAATAATTTTGGAAGATTCAAAGTCTATCATCCAGCAGCACATGGCAACCTTAAATTTCAAAATTGACCATTTTAACGGGCAGTTTGATGAGCAGCTGCTTGTGTAAGGTCAGATGGTTTGTGTGCCATCTGACCTTATGAAAGGCGTTGTGTCACTCGTTGGATCGATCCTGTGCTTCTTGTGCCCGATGCTCTAGTATAAAAGTCACGCAATGGACTTGTGGTCTGCATACTTTGCATCTTGGTTTTAGAAGGTTGATGACGGCAAGATCGCAGAGGTTTACTCCTGCTTTCTCTGTGCACTACGTTGTGGAGAGACTTGTGGAAGGCTGAGCTTCGGAGAGGTGAGTCTTATTCATATGTCACCATTGGAAAAGAAGACGAGATGCGTGAGCTGTATTCTAACCTGAAGCGTCAACTCCATTGTCTGGATCGTTTATGTGTACGTAAATGCATGGCCAATCTTCTGAACTGAGATTGAAGGTGAGACTGACTAGGAGAGATTTTGTGGTGTATAACAGAAATTATCATCGTTGCTATGTGGATCATCACATACTATCACCAATCACCAATCACCTTGTGCATGTGATTTTAGCGCAAGTCATATACGGCTGAATGAGATTCAAAGGATATTTAATGTTCAGGACAAGGTCGTAAATGCTCGGCTCCTTTCTTAACAGTCTAGGTGTGCAGTTGTGATTATCCAAATAAGTTTAGATGGTACGGACAGAAGGATGTAACCTGGACCTGGATCATAATAGTTGAATATCTCTGAGCTTTGCTATCAAAGCTAGTGGCACAGTGTGAGCGGATTAGCATCATGTTATCTTTTTCGAAACAGAACTTTAGTTTTCAGCTAATCTATCATATCTCTCCAAAGCGTCTCTGCTTGGGATTCGTTAAGTTCTTCTCCGTAGAGAAGTCTCTAAATTATAAATCTTGACCCTTTTTGGTACCAATATGGCCCATTGGTCTCGAACGTGAGTTGCAGATTGATTGACAATTTCTCTCAAGTAGTATGAGCTCATTTGAGATTCGTGATCATTTACTGGGTGTTTTCTTTTATAATTGCATGACCACAATCATTATGATGATATCGCACTAGATTTTAAAAAATTTGTTGAAACACTAAAAAGTGGATGTCAGTATTTGAAGAAGAGAAAGCTTATATATAATATTTATTTATGCCTGAAGATCGGAACTCACATGGTTCTTTAAAACACAAGATCCCAAAACAAAATTTGGACAGATAGCTAATTTTTTTAGGCTTACTCCCCTTGAAAGATTTGGAAAGAGTTATGGGTTTGCATGTAAGCACCATTAGTGTATTTATGTTAAGATTGGTGAGATTTTAGTGGATTTCGAATCTGATTCAACGGTAAAGTGACTGCCTACCTAGATGAATATATTAACATCAGAAGATGTTGACTTCAAAGCACAACAAACTAATATCAGGCTGAGATTTACATATGTTAGTGAAAAGGAAGCTTTAAGTACATCTTTCAATATCTAGTCTTAATTTCAACCATAGACTTGAGTTGAATATTAGTTGTATACTTCTAATGAAAAAATTCAGACCTTTTCCACCGCGTCTAAGGTAAGATTATTCCATGGTCCTAGATCTGTAGAAGGAATTTTTCAATAAAAGACATCACTGAGATTCTTTTTTATTGTGAATCTGACAGGCTCAATTGCATTGACCATGACTGAAGCAACGATGAAAACATCAGTTCCGTATTTTTTCGCCGTCAAGGGCCAGTGGACGATAAGACAAAACGTGGAGAACAAATCAATACTTAGCCCGTTTCACTTGATTGAAACGCCGTGGAGGCAATTCGTTTTGTTGTTTCTGGAAGTCATGCGGTTCTGTTATCTGCCTGTGCTAGCTGTCGGAAACCTTTTGGAGTTTGTCTTGAATGTCATGCTGGCAAACGGAGGCATTATCAACACTTTGTTGAAGGTTACTTTTCCTTGCACAGGTTTGTTCCGGTACTTGTGGTTCTTCCTTTGAATAATTAGAAGTATAAATTTTTTTATTATTCCTAAACCTATTGATAGAGTAAAGTTGAAGATTTTCGTTATATCTTACTTTCAGCTGCGCACAATGTACACGAAATTCACGTAGAGATAAGTTGACTTTACCGAATAAAATGAGCTGATTAATGATCCGAATTTCGTTTCCAGCTTACAAAATTCTAAGCCTGACCAAAAGTCAGAGAGAAGTAGTCGAGGAGGAGATCCAATGTGCTCGTTTCTGTAAATCTGTAATTTGCTTCTTGTACTGCAGTTATCATTATCATTATCAGTTATCGTTTTTGTCTCCGGCTGGGCGCTCCAGAGGTTGTGCCGAACTGGTTATCTGGTTGTTTCCACTGCAGGGTGATCACTGCCTCTATGAAAGAGGAGTTGAAAAGCTTCCTGTCTTAAGTCTTACCTTGATAGAAAAAATAATATGATATAAAACCGTCGACGTGCTGATGATCGAGAACATGTATCTTCGAATTCAGGAAAACTTGTTGTACGATGTAGAGATGATGAAAACTTTGCAACGCTGCTTTCGATCATGGATCGACGATGGTCTCTCAAAGCACAGACCCCAGAGAATCGAACCGGATCCCGTGATATTGCGGACATACTGGTTATGGCCTCCAAGCTGGCGTATGAGAACGCAGCCTACAACCGAAGAGTTGTTTCTACCATCTGGAAGGTAACTTTAGGACAAAATACTGACTATTATAAACGGTCCTCTTCCCTTGATACCGGCTGAGTTTCTCTAAGAAGTTGGGACCTTTCCCAGGTGTCTTGGGCACGGAAATTCATTTTTCATTTATCTAGCTGACAGGACATATGATTGCTTGACTGCTCCTGTGACTACTTTTGTTGTAGCATTACCATAATTATGTATGAAGCAGTATACAAATCTAGAGTTAATAGCAGGATCTAGATTGGAGTGGTGCTGTGCGAAGTTTGTAGACGAGTTTGCAATTGACCGTCTCATATGTATCTTGTGGGTTTTTGCAGATGAACTTTGTGGGCTTCTACGATTGCTGGAACGGTGAGAATTGAACCTTCTACTCCTCATTATATATGTTCAAAACGTTGACAGTCTATGTTCTGGAATGTTACAAAAAATAATTTTAAAAAAAGTTGGGCTTTCTTGACTCTTCTCTTTACCAGCATCACAAAATCTTAATTTTAACATGGGCACTTCCATGAGCTTTACATCAGCGTCAAGATATATATAACGTCGAACAAGAAAGGCTTTTCTAACGATGGATTGTATGTAATGATTTGCAGAATATTTCAAAGTGGCAGGTACTCAAGTCCTTCTGTTTACGGATAAATCTGAAAACGCGAATGCCATTGTGGTAGCATTTAGAGGAACAGAGCCTTTCAACATGCTGGACTGGAGCACCGATGTTGATTTCTCGTGGTTTGAGCTGGAAGACGCGGGAAGAGTGCATGTCGGATTTTGGGAAGCACTTGGTCTTGGAGACCGTGAGAAGATAATGCAGTTATCGAGTGGCACAAATGCAGCTCCACTGAAAGAGAAACACAGCGTATGCCCTATTTCATCTCGATCATATCCCTATCATATTTAGTGACTTTGTGGGACGTTCCCAAGGCATGAACTTTGCTGCTTGTCTGGGGAATGAAATCAATTTATTCGAATCTGAGCGATTGCTGATTATGGAATAGTCATCAACATCGAACATCTGGATTACGAGAGTGTCAGTATTTAAGCTGGAATACAGCTGTTCTTTCAGTATAGCCCTTGTTCTATAACTATTCTCGAAGAGATAGATCAGACAAGAATGTTCTGCCAGGATTCAGAACCCTTGAATATTATATAACTACTTCAATGGCTGAGTTTCGGCCGCTCTCTTCTGCATATTCTACGTCCTCATCCTTCATGCTAAAATTTGTCAATCAAGGGAATTGGATTCAGATACGGAGTCTGTAGCTACCAGTCAGATGTAATATACTTCCAGATTACAAATGGAGGAAGTCTTGGTATGAAAGTGTAGTCTTAATGCTAATTGAAGTTATCAGATTCTCACATGATGGACTGATACTATCCATCTTGTTTTCCTTCGTATCGTTTCCGAGTTTTTACCTTGCAATAAAAAACGTTTGGTGTACAGGTGGAGAGTCGCGAGGACAGCGATGACCAGGAAAAACTGAAAGCATACTCCTATCTGACGTCGAAGGTCAAGACACTCATGTATGAAAACCCCGAAGCAAAGCTTTACGTCACGGGACACAGCCTTGGGGGTGCTCTTGCGGCTCTGTACACAACAGCTCTGTTCTACTACAACGAAACTATGGTGACAGAGAGACTGGGTGCCCTGTACACGTTTGGACAACCGAGGGTTGGAGATAGAAAACTCTCCAAATACATGGAAAGCAAAATCGACGAGGCAAAGTACGTCAGAGTCGTATACACCAACGACATGGTCCCTCGACTCCCATTTGACGACTCAGCTTTCAAGTTCAAGCATGCCTGTATGTGTTACTACGTCAACTCTTTCTACCATGGGAAGGTGAGATAACCAGGTTGTTGGAAAACGATTTGTTGTCCCCCACTTATGCACGCACTAGTGAATTTCCTTCTGCTTATATATATGTATGGAGTCACTCGAAAGCTGTAGATGCATGTTCGAAACTTTCTTTTCTACATTTTCACTAATAAATGAAAATTCCCCTCGTGTAGCCATAGCTTGCTTATATCACTTTACCTACATTAATATATCTTGGTATCATTCCCCACTTTAAACTGAGAAAATTTCAAAGTTCAAGTAAATATTACCTGCAATTCGAACCTCTGGGCAGTCTTATACTCTGATATAAGTAGTTAGAAACTGGCTAGGTGTATATTCTAAGCTTTGTTCTCTTCAAACTAGCCAGCAATACATAGTTCATAATTCAAAGGACATTGTGATGCCCTAAATTTAAATATTTTCTTAATCTAGATGATGATTGGAGCCTAATTAAACACTGATCTTGAATATGGATACAAACTTACTTCAAGATTAGCAAGTTTATCACTTTTACTTAACAACAAGGAAGTTTTTGTCTCATATCGAGTATGCACTTCAATAAGCAACTCAAAAGTCATATCCTAAGTTGGATAGTACAATAATTTAACTGTCTTTCACTAATTTTTCTGTTCAACAAAAATGTAGCTACAAGTTCATTCATAGTAAGCATATAGCCACTTGTGGCCATATTGTTGTCATGATCATGTCAAGTAGCATCACATAATCCTTTTAAAAGAGTTCAGATACCCAGTTCATGTGCTTTGAGTAAATGCCTTCGCATTCTTTAGGTTCATTAGCATCCTCTTTTCACATGCCCACTGAGTTAGAGTTGGGCGGGTAGTATATCTGATGAAATTTCCCACTGAGTGAGCTATGGCTGGTAAGGTAGAAACCCTACCTAACATTACTGAACTTACAGCACTGTGGTAAGAAGGTAAGCATGCTGTTGTGCTCCACCTCGAAGAGGCTAAAAAGTTGATATTTGAAACTTATTAGCATACAATTTCACCATCCTCGTCTATAATACAAAAATGTGTTTTTAAGTGCACATCTAATATTGTTTAGATGTGCACTTGAAAGTATTCTAAACCAACGCTAGAAAACTCTCTTGTTGATATTTCGCTTCTATAATTTTATGCACAAATTTTAAGTGCAAATGGAGCTAAATCTCAAATTCTTGGAATAAGATCAAATTATTCCTTGTGGTTGATAGTCAACGTGGCAAAAAATTCTTTGGGACATAAAATTTTGAGTGTATGTGATTTTTAATCACGTATGAACAATGAATAAATTGATCTTATTCCAAGAATTTGAGATTGAGCTTCATTTGCACTCTTTACATAACTCATTATCTCCTTACTGTTACTAAATTAATGATTCTCATAGGTAATGTAATGTGGGAGATGAATGCGAACTAAATATAATTTAAGATAAAAATGTGTGAATATTCTTCAGCCTAGACTTCATTCTCTTTCTTATTTTTCATTTTTACTTTTGATACTGAGGTTTTTCATTTTTGATCTTCAAATACTTCAAGCCACCTTTTTCTTGTTGTTGCACTTGACGATGAAACTCCAAAGCACTTCTTCCTGCAAGTTTAAGGTTTTTTGTCGCAATACCTATATATATCTTCTTCTTGTCTTTAATTCCTTGAAGATTCAAAGTTATTAATCATCAATTCAATCTAGCCTAAGGAAAGGAATGAATAAATTTCGAGTTTTCAATTTGGACCCAAATAACCTCAGCATATAGTATACATGTTACCGGCCACTTATTGTAATTAGTGATGAAGCATTCTTCAACATCTTTATGATAATCATGTGATGTTATGTGAAACTCATTTTTAAAACATTCTTCAATGTTTCAATTTTTGACAAAACTTACGACATTCATCAAATCAACTTTATCTTGAAATGATATTTCTTTATAATTTAGAGTGTTAACTTTGGTTAATCTTGTGAGCTTGATAATACAATGAAGGTCACCAGGAGAATGTGGTCCCCTTTGACCTTCAATTTTGAAAATTGTTGAAAAAATTTACTAGAATATTTTCTCAGTCAAGACATAGCTTGATACTATTCCTATTAACTTCATGTATGCAACACTGACATCTTGAAAGCTAAAGATAGCAATTCCGATTCTAATATAGCACCAACTCAAAATTCCAAAAAATATTAATCTCATCCCCAAGTTCTCGGCCATTAGGTAGTTGTATAGCTAATGGCCTTTGCTTTTCACAAACATGCTAGCATTGTTTAAATAGTTCATATATCAAACTTGAGCACGATGGTGAATTTTAATTTTGAGAAATTGAGCATTTAGAGACTTTTCGCTGTGTGAGTATAGAATGAGTAACGAATACCAAAGGGGAGACTAGATAAGTTTGTGTAACTGCGGTGCATTGCGATGTCAAGTTTGTCTTTGAGAAGCTTTGTTATGCCAAAGCTAGTCAATTGCGCTATATAATCAAATTAAGAGCTTGCAATTTCATCGAAGCTTCACCTGTTGTAAACTGCAGTAACTTTCTTGAGGTTGTAATGCAGACGATGGAAGATGCTCCCTTCCCCAATTTCTTTTCTATAAGATTCTTCTTCCGTTTCATCACCATGCGTCTAACAGCCCTTCAAGAGTTGATTCTATCCACTTTCCTGTGGCTCTTCGTTGGGCGGGACTACAAAGAAACCATCGAATCGACTTTGTTTCGGGCGATGGGGTTGATAGTTCCTGGTATTTCTGACCACGGGCTAACCAACTACATCAATATTGTCAGACTGGGACGATTGCACTCTGATTCGAAGTACTGAACATACAGAAGATCATGAAGTTGAATATTTACATGTAGCTTACGGTATTTTAGACGCAGCAGCTGACAACGTATATGGTTGAGATCCTGTGAAGTTGAACTCCTATATAAAGTTCAGAACTGACTGATGCAAGCGTTGGCTACGAAGTGCAGTAGATTTTTGACGATAGATCCATCACATCCGCACATAAGTACTCAGAGAGTGTAGGAATGAACTATCAAGTTGATCCCTTGAGTGAGAGTGTTTTATCAGGAAATAATCTGAAAGAGGATCGTTAATCCGAGTGTCCGATTTGAATTCGCTCTCAGTCATACGCCGCGATTTGAGCATATCAAAGTCCAACTTTAAATTTCTGAACGTTTCACCTTACTCCTCTTCCCCGTTGCAATGCATTTATTTCTTATGTTTAGGAGCCAAAGGAATTTGGTTATCGATCCTCGTCCTTCGATGTCAGACGTACTCGGAATGCATCTTGAAGCTCGTTCTGAAATCCGCTGCTGTATCTACAAATGCAACAACTTCGCACATATCAACCTTGTTCTTTGTAAATATGGCGACCATGGTTGTATACAAATATTCAGAGATCCAGTGTATGGCTACATCATGTATGTCTTGTATCATATGTCCTTGAGTATCCTTTCCTTCTTTATGTTCAATGTTCAATGAATTGCATGTGCAAAAGAAGGATATTTCGCAAACAGGAAGATTTTTCTTCTTTGAGTTATTCTCAAAGCTTAATCTCTGAGAAAATGCTTAATCGGAGCAGATGCACTAAGAAGACAGTTGGAAAGGAGCATGGATCTTGGCATTTACAATTTTATTTTAGACTGATATCGCGACTGATTTGACTACAAGTGGTTGTGCAAAATTAGTCTCACTAATACTGTTTTAGATATTCATTATTTATGAACATGGATAAGTCGATATGCCATTGAAATACCACCACTTCCTTACTTCAACTACATCCTCGTTCTTAATGTGGCCGGCTGGGGAGAGGTTGCGTCCGTGGCGGTCAAGGGAGAGAATTCCGGTTGAGTCAGAACAGTTGGGGCAGAAGTGGTCTTGCACCGGATGATTTATGGGGCAGGCGCTGTCGTTCAAGCTCCCCCTGGGCAACGGCCTTTGATTTTTTCAACGTGGTTGATAAGATCTCGGGATTCGAACAGAACATGAACAAAAAGATTTTTCCAACGAGATCTTGCGTTCCTTCGAGCCGACGCTCATTTGCAGACTTCCTACAGCTGGGACATCCTCTTGGCCCTACTCTCTTTTCAAAGTTGTGAACTTCGACCCAATTTTAGATTACGTGACCAATCCCAAATTGACTGTCAGGCAAATATCGTCTGTTAAATGATTTCTGAGGAGATCCATCCATGACTGTGGGATGGCTGCATTATAAGGATCTAGATAGAGACCACAAGATGCAGTTCACATTCCCAACTGACAACTTATAGCACCAGCTTGCTACCAACCACATTACTCCTCTAGAAGCAAGCGATGACAGCTAGCAGCCTGTCCAGCATGTTCACTGTGGCTTATGTTCAGACGTCTCCTTCTCATAAAAGTTCGATGTGTGCTGTGTAAGTCCATATGAATGCAGAAACTTCTAGAAATATGTACGGAATTGTGCTTGGCTAATATCGTATCATGCATGGCTAGAAAGACATCTCCATAAGCGTTAAGAAGTCCTCAAGTCAGTTCTGAGATTCGACCTCTCACTAACATCTGATGTTCCCATCATTAGAGCATATCACGAACCGCTGTAGTTCTGCACAGCTCGCCTGTCTCAGCAATTTTATAGGAACTGCACGAAAGACAGAAGAAGAAAAATCACGAAAAGAATATATATAATATATTCATATATATCATATGATCTCTTGACAAAGTGTTCCTGGGTTTTGTTTTTCTCGATCTCTTACATATTCCAGCCAGATTCTCAACGTTGTTAATGAATATATCTTAATTCATCAGCGTAATGGTTAAGATATGTAATATATGTCATTCTCTACCTCCATTCTTCCCTGTGTCCATTTTTCTCTACTCTACTCTCTCTCTCTCTCAGATTGGATTCACTATCATGGAAACCTCTTCAGATACTGTTAGAAGAAATCGGCCCCATATACTCATGGTTACAACTTCCCTGAAGGGCCACTTCCCTCCCTTCGTACAATTGCTCTACAGACTTGCTGATTTCTGGAGACTCCAAAGTCCCCATGACACTTGCATCGTAACGGTGGTTGGTGTCAAAGAAGACCTCCTGGACTTGAAGAGACTGCAGTTCGATGGAGCTTTCAGAGGCGTGGATTTGCGTTTGTTGGAGATGTGCGTTGAAATTTTCCAATCAGGTAATCCGAAGAGACCGATCGACCCATTGATTCAGACCAAAATGTTTCAGGATGCCTTTGAGCCCCTGCAGCAGAAGATGATTGAAGAGAAGAAGAATGGAGGGCTGGAAATTCCAACATGTTTGATACCAGATTTTCTACTAACCTTCACAAAGGCAAGTTCTTCTTTACGTATCAGGCTGCTTAGAAACCAGCACTTCAGAATAAGATTACACATTTATATTTATATTTTCTTTCAATGGCAAACGCAGCTTTCTCTTGAACTCAAATCTCCTCCATTCAGTCATAACTTTGGTTCAGATCTTCTAATTAGTTACATACATGAAAGTGCTCGTCACTGTAATTGAGATGACAATTGTAGCAAAAAACGGCACTGAGCTGATATTGTTGATACTGCATGCATGCAGGATCTCGCGGAAAGTTTGGAAATCCCTTGGATTCCATTCTTTCATTGTCCAGCTTGGTGCACACAATCATTTCTTATGTTCGAGGAGATACTTGATCTACCGGTAACAACAAGCAGCAATGATTTTATACCCATCCCTGGCCTGCAATGCTTCCGTCAGAATGATATTGCTAGTGAGATATGGGTCACACCTGAATGGTTTCAGAACCTTCGTCGAAACACGTGCAACAAATGGCTCTCAGCTGTGCTGTTCAACACTGCACCAGAACTTGAGGGGCCGGGAGGAGCTCTGAACGCTCTCCAATCGTTCTTCAGTAAACAAGTGGATATAAAGCAGGTAAAAAATGATCTTCAATCTCCTGTGACACTGAGAGTATAGTTTGCAATTTCTGCTTCTGCTTCATATACTCCCAACCTTTATTTTTGTAGAGATTAAGACCCAGCAATATTTGACAGGGTGGAATATTGATTGCAGGTTCCAAAGCTATATACTATTGGTCCGATGCTCCAGCTTCCAGGCTTCGGGGCTCAGTACACCACAAGTATTCCAGAAAACGATTCATGCTTGCAATGGCTAGACATGCAAGCTGAGAAATCAGTTTTGTACATATCTTTCGGTACCTTGGGAAACTTGAACTGGGAGGAGATGAGGGAGTTGGCGCATGGACTCGAGGCGAGTGGTGTTGCCTTCCTGTGGATCCTGAAAGTATCATCCCCGGCAGAAGCCATCACTCTCTTGACTCCGGGATTCCTTGATCGGACGAGACATCGAGGATTCATTCATATAGGCTGGGCACCTCAGACTCGCATTCTCTCGCACTGGGCTGTTGGAGGTTTCATCTCCCACTGCGGATGGAACTCGATCATGGAAAGTATTTCCAATGGAGTGCCGATAATTTCATGGCCAGTGTTTGTTGACCAACCCATGAATGCGAGGTATCTGGGAATTATTCTATACGACCCTTGGGATGATCTTCTGTGAATGATTTCTAGTTCCATCATGGGAAACACATCTCTCGTATTTCTTGGATATAAATATCGCAGAACTCAGCTTTACGATTTCAAGGAATCTCGATTCATTTCTAGGATTGATAGCATTTTGGTCATGTGATGAAACTCCAGGTTCATTTCGGATGTTGCCAAAGTTGGCGTTCCAGTCATGGAGGACTTCAATCACAAGAAAACCATCGTGAGCAGGACCTGCGTGGAGAAAGCAATCAGAACTCTCATGTTCGAGAAGACGGGGACCGAGTTAAGATACAACGCAGTGAAACTGAAGGAGGTGTTGACAGCTTCAGTAGCAGAGGGAGGATCGTCCCACGCCAATTTACGGAAGTTTCTCCAAGAGATTCTGATGATTTAGAAGACTTTGAGTTTTCGAGGTTTGGATAACTCAAAGTCGATCTGTAGAGAAGCTAATGTTGCTCCAACTGCTTTCCAGGATTTGAAAACTTACTCTGAGTCACGGTTTGGAAGGTACAAATAAAAATTACTTGGTGTGGTTTTATTATTTCAAATGATGTGGTTTTATTATTTTCATTGTAAATATTAAGACCTTGCATCCAATAACTAGTAGTTTTAATATTTCTTAGGTGTGATTCGATATACTTCACCTAGAGGAAAGAATTGTTCTTTAGCTATGTCTAAAAGAGATGCAAATCTCATAAGTTTAAGATAAAAGATTTCAAATCTGATAATAATTACACGAAGTACTGAGTAGTTGAAGTAAAAACTCGAGTAGGCGCTTCAGCGATGGGCAAGACTCTATGTCTTATATTACAAGAGTACAAAATCCCATATTAGAAACCTTCGAGAAATCGGGAGACTATCCACACTAGAAGATCGTCCTGATATTGAGGGTTTGCCGCAACAAAGAGAACATATTATACAAAGATCTGCGGTACAATGTAGGACGTTGCTCAGAAGGATATAAGTGGTTCTTCTTTGTGTGGGTCTTTGATTCTTGTTATGTGATAACGAGATTTGACTTCTGGCCTGATGAAACTTCTGTTTCATGTGAATCTTATCACAGGCTAGGTAATCTTCTAGTACTTATATTCCAAATAATTTTAGAGAATCATTAGTATATGTGTTTAATCGCCTGTCAGGTGCGATTCACATGTGTGCTTACCTCCGAAGGTAAAGGTGACGTGGGTCCAAATAATACAATTTGCAGGCTTTCTATCGGTAGAAAGTGCTGGAAAGTTTCCATATGTTTTGGGAGTGACTAGTTATTTTTCACTTAGGGCTAATTAGCCCTCACTCTATTACCAGTTCTTCTCTCATGGATGACCTCTACGTCACGTTACGAGATAACATTGTTGTTATGTATGTCATTAGCTAGTCATGATGTACATGCAGTCACACAAATAAGAACATGTTTTAGATTACTTTCAGAAGAATTGATATCCTTGTCACTCAATATGGCACATTCTGGCACATATTCTCACAAAAATGTCAAAATTTTAATACATGCTAGAACTCCAAGTAGATGATTTCTCTCTATTCGCCAATATCACCACGATCTTGGTTTCTACTATGATAGTGGCTGCTTATGAAGAAAAAAAGTGGATATACGAATTTCAAAGTTTTTTTTACGTATTCAATCAATAATCATCACATCTGCAACTTTAATTTGGTCCTTTTGAAAATTATTGATTCAATCAAAATAAACTTTAACACATACCAACTCTTTTTATGTGTGATATTCATCTTCTCATGTCATCTTAAAAATATCATGCTTAGTTGGCATTCATATGTTTACACAAGCATCAAGTGTTATTTCAATACTCTATCATGTCATAAAAGACTTCATATCATTTTTTATTGATGAAACAAGCCAAGTAAAGTATTCAATGCTTTAGAATAAATAATTGATGTGAGTCAAGAAAACTCATTCGCATGATAGAGATGAGATTCACACACTTGTGATGTTGATTTAATAGTGATGTAAGTTTCTTATTGATGCAATTTTTTTTCACAACACATGATCGCATGTAAGAGTAATAAATGTAAGACATTGTCAAAATTATGGTTTCATCAAAGTATATTTCAAATCTCTAATCAAATTTGTGAATAAGAAGCATAAGAATGAAAACTCGTTTTTTTTGAAATGATTGATAAACTCATGAAAACTCTTAATTCAAGTATTCTAAATATATAAATTTCCATTTTTCTTGCATATTTTTAAAAATATCATTAAATATCTAACTACAAATTTTTTTAAAATCCAAATTTGCAACTAGCCAAGAATTATCAAAGTGTTAACTTTTTTATCAATGATAAGTTAGTTTGTTAATAAAGTAAAAATGATAAAAATAATTCACAAGAACATCATCCAACATCAAAATGCACAACACAACGTACTTGACGCCAATATATAACGTGGTTCAACTGTTACCACATCCACAAATATATTAAGTATTTAAAAAAACCTATTACAATGTTTGCAGAGCGAGCTAGGTATTGATGCACTTCGTAGTACAATCCAGATCAAACAAAATCAAATACTAATCCAGTTCTTTCAAAAATCAACCAACAATAAACTAAAATTATCCTTGACAATCTATTCCTTTAACATATATTGAGATGAAAGTACCATTTATAACCTATATAATCAATTATGCATGATTCGCAAAAGAAAACCTAATAGCTCTTTAAACTAGAACTAACTAGAAGTAAACTGTAGCCACAATATGATAAAGTAAAAATATGCAAAGGTAATAAAAATTGGAAGCGGTTAGTTATGTATCAGTTTAGATTAATTATCACTCACACTACTATACTCTACAAAAGATAGGTGTGTGATTAGTGAGAGTTCCGATGCAAGAACAAAACGAAGATATAATTTTTGGGTACGAGTGAGTGCTACATTTTACAAAAAATACTTCTTAGTGAGTTGACGGAGGATTTTTTTTCCACTCTGCCTTTTTATCAAACAACGTTCCCGTTTGTGCTTAGTTAATAATGACAAATGAAATTATGATTGGAGTTATTTTCCACAGTTTTGGCTCTTTTTGAAAGCACTTGAGTTCTATTGCATTTATACAATGTTCACTGTGACAATTTTGTATGACATTTTATGCACTTATTTCATTCTAATATCAATTGTCAGCCTTCTTCCAATGGTTTGATTGTCACTTCCTAATCTTTATGTTATGCACTAAATTCATAATGATCAACTTTGTACTCATTAGAAACTTGGGCACTCGTACGCAATCAAGCATATAGTTCACACGAACAAGTTCGTATTTTAGACGTAGCATACATCCATCCGCAAAAAATATATTATCTTCCCTTCCCTATACTTGCATCTTACCTCTGATCAATCACAAACCTCTATATAGTAAAGTATAGTAGGGTGAGGAGTAATTAGCCTAAGTTGAGTGATAATTAGTTGCTAACTAAAAAATATGCTAGTAAACTCTACTTATATTCTTGATGCAAAACCTGCATAGTAGCATAATGTCTATTAAAACTCTTTAAAAATTAATTTTGTTGAACTCATCAGCTAGACTAAAATTAACATCAATCTTCACTAGCTCAATCTTTTTATTAGACACTAAATATTAAATAAATGATAATTGATGTTGGTTTGTTGTTCATCTCTTGATTTACAGCAACATTTAACATATTTTGACGTTTAAAATAAACATTGATAATTTAAAATTTTTAATCTCATTTTAGTAATAATTTTATTGTCACTACAAACTGAATTTCTTTTTTGAAGTGAGCTATGCATTACTATAAAAAAAATATCCAATTGATGCAACCACCGCCAAGTGTAAACAAATATTCAATTCTACATTTTTTATTTTCTTAATCTTGTTAATAATTTACATAAATTTAGCATAGAAAGGATTTGATATTGTTTATTATATCATAATCCTTGGTACTTTTCAAATACCGGAGAATCCATTTCACTATTTATCAATCATAATCTTTGGTACTCATCAAGTACTTGAGAATACATTTCACTGTTTTTCAATTCATTTGGATTTGATTTATATTTATTCATCTTGAGTTCAGCAATAACAATATCATGACTTGAACACACCATTAAATACAAAATATTATCTAATGTTTTGTCATAATATAATATCAAATAATACAATATAATGTGTATATATATAATTCCAAAAAATATATGAAATACTCAAAGTGCAGAGATTATATCTTCCATCCTCAGCAGACTTACAATTCCTGAAGTATGAAAAGAAGTCTTCAACAACGAGAAAAAGCCTTGAATCTTAACAAGAATCGATTCGAAGGAATAAACTCGAGAAGAAGTTAAATGGATACAATAGGTACACTGGAGGAGAGTATGGGTTACTTATTTGATTATATCTGACGTACGTCATACTGCGAAGCTGAACTTCAGTGTACTTTGACCGGTCAGAAACACGCCCTGTACTCGAGTACAGGGTCCAAGGTCACCGGCACTGGCGGGCGACTGCGGAACAGAGCTCCCGGCAAAACCCGCATCCATCTCATCGCGCCAGCGACGAGAAATTGGAGGGAAAAGCTGCCATTCATCTTTCGAGTCTAGTCGCAGTGAAAGCTCTCGGAGCTGAATCCTGCCGACGGGACTAAGCGTTAGATTGTACATTTCTCCGCGTTGAAGAAGGTTTGCTGATTCTATACGTGACGCCGACGAGTGAAAACTTCGATCACAACCTTCGAGGAACGTGTTGCAAAGGCCTGTGGATTGCCATCGCCCTGTGAGAGGGTTTTAGGCTCAGGCGGCCTTGGAATGGTTTCGAATTCGGTTTGGTTCTCGTGAAAGGGTCTGCGTTTCGAGGAGGAAGGAATTGGGAAAATGCTTGTGATTGGAAATCTCTAAGGTTAGTTTTGCATTGTGGATTGGAACCGGGGCTGCGTGGCAGCCGACGACACGGTCGGGCCTAGGGTTTAGTAACATATCATGACAACGTCGAAGGCAAGAGCTGCAGGCTGAGTTTGCTTGGATAGGACAGGTGAAGCTCCAAGATTCTGAGGTTCACGCAAAGATTGTTGAGAACCTTGGGTGAATTTTGAGGCCTTCGCGATGGCGACTGACAGTAGCCTCCACCAGTTCGGCAACATTTTATTAGGCGGACGAGGTGGCATGGTGGGATTTCTCTTCCTCAGCCCTTTTTAAAATAATTTTAAACATGGTTCCGGAGAGATGTTTTTTGTTTTTGTTTTTGTTTTTGTTTTGCTGTTGCGTCGCTAGTTTCTCGAGCACTCAAATTTCTTTACACTGCTGACACGCAGTTCGTATTGGGACTTTCATCCCCGTATTTATGGTGTCTGAACTTATGTGTACTAGAGCCCAACAATTTTAGTCTATCCTACAAGCGAAGCTTGTTTGAGGCGGCAAGTGTCCATTTTTATTTAAGAGGTCGTGCAGGCATGAGGTGGATGACTGATAATTATCTGTCACACTGCCCTGAGAAAATAGTCCAAACCTTGCCGCTATTAATTGAACACCGATGGACTTATTGACGGCAACCTCTTATTGCACTTGAAGGTCTTGAACCTCAACCTCAACTTCAGAATTCTTTGCTCGCACGGAAAAACCTGAGTCATGATAACGTATATGATATCTTGGAATACAAGATATCATATACGTTATTTGAAGCTGAATATGGAGCTTCAGCTTCAGCTTCAGTTTTTGCACAGCCTGATGGCTCAAGTTTTGAGTTCAAGATTTTGAATCACCAATGATCTAACAGCGTCCAGATATGTCTACACTGAATGTTTTCCATCTTTCAGCCCTCTTGAATTGTCAGCTCTACACGCTCTTAAACAGTTTTGACTAGAAATTCGCTAGGACCACTGAGGAATTCAAGAAATAGTTGATGCTTGCAACGATACACTTAAGTCAAGTCGAAAGCATCAGCAGGAAACGATGGGAAGCTTACAGCTTCAAGATGAACGGATTTTCTCTTTCTTGCTGATATCACGATTATATTGGAGAGCCTCTGCCTTGCCGTATCTTGTACGTAATTTTGAACATTGGGACGAAGCTAGCTTACGTGTTTAAGAGAAGAAAAGGATTGCCTGCTGGATTTCATTACTCACCTTCTATTCTGGAGGCCAGGTGACGATGATCATGTTGACTTACCTTCGGTCTTTAATACTCTTGATTATCTTTTTCCAATTTCTTCAAACCTGAAACGGTGTCGAAAAGTTAATTACGCTCGTAAATTACTCTCTGCCTGGGGATGATACAAGCTAGATTTTCAATGTTAAAGAATGACACGCGCTAGATTCTGAACTTTCAGTTCATTTCTTTATTCCAGATACCCCTGACCTAGAGTTATGAACTGCTTACTGAAAATCTTTCTGAATGTATCTGCAGAACCCAGGGCAACTCAAAATACATCCAGGTGGTTTTGTTTGGAAGAAAACGGGAGGTGGAAAAGTTGTCGATGTGGCCAAGGCAGATATTACTAGTTTGAGCTGGACTAGGCTGCCCAAAGGCTATCAGCTCGGAGTTAAGATGAGAGCAGGTTCGAATGTAAAGTTTAGCGGTTTCAGGGAACAGGTACGTTCGTCTCTTATGGACAAGTAATTCTTGCATACCGTGCCTTGGTATATCAGATACCCCAGTTCTTCGACAGATCATACTTTACTACAAAAGAAAATGAGTTTATCTTCAAGTGGGGGAAAAGAAGCCAGTTGTTGTTGCATTCAATGTTTGTACTCCAGCCATTAAGTCACGGCGGTCTTAAGATTTCTATCTTGCAGCATCGTGAGCTTGTCAGATGAAGCGCATTCATGTAGATCATTGTTAAATTGAAAGGTTGAAAGTTGAATGTGATGCAAAGCACTTTGTGGCTTGGAAGTGGTCTTCATATGTAGTTATTGGGAAATAATATTGTGAGAATACGTTGAGTGCTAACGTCGGTTTCTCGTTAATATCGGCAAAACCTCTGCAGGATGTGGCGAGCTTAAATCCGTTTCTGCATGCGAACATGGGAATAAGCCCAGATGAAAAACCACTAGCAATAAGTGGTCGCAACTGGGGTGAAGCCGAGTTGGAAGGTACACAAGTGTCCACGTTATGTCACTCTATAGTCAGAGATACCATTCTAGTAATCTGTTGGATTTCATGCTTTCAGAGTTTGGAGAGCCTCTTCTCAGGTTGTAACCTTTTGCCACTCAATGAAAAGTTGAAGTGAAGAGCTTTTTTGACGTGGATGCTTTGTATTTGTTCTGCAGGAAACTTGCTGTCCTTTGTTGTTGGCGGGAAGCAGGCCTTTGAAGTGTCCATATCAGATGTGAGCCAAACCCAGATGATGGGAAAGAATGATGTAGTTTTGGAGTTTCATGTGGACGACACCACTGGAGCTAATGAGGTATTGTGAATATATATCTTTTTTGATTAAGAGTTTTATGGCTATTATATGCACCTTGAGCAAATTATCAGTTGGTCGTTGTATAATTGTCCCACGTGGCAAATTCGTTCGCAGAAAGATACTTTGATGGAGTTAAGTTTCCACGTTCCTAGCACCAACAGCACGTACGTCGGCGACGAGGAAAGACCTTCGGCACAGGTTCGCATGTTCTGCCTCTGCATTGTACCCATGTCGAAGCACATGAGAATGTATTGCTGTAAGTGCACATTCGTTGTGAAGCCAAGTATCGAATCTTACACTGTAGATGCAGTCAGTAGTATCAAATTCGTAAAACTTACATTTGTTTGCTGCAAGTAACGTTGATGTGCATCAGGCCTCATGCATGGTTTTGACATTGTGAGGGGGATCAGGTGTTCTTTGAGAAGATTAAAGGGCTCGCAGATATTTCCACTCAAGGCACAGATGCAATTGCATTGTTTGAAGTGATAACTGCGCTCACCCCAAGGTAAGTCATATGTCTGCATTGATTGTATTAATTGTTCTTCCAGCTCTCAATTGCCAGGTCTTCCGCGAGAAGATCCTGTCGATGGCGGACGTTGGGCCCTCGGGTGCAGAAGCAATATGTATGTTCGTTGAAGTTGGCATCCTTACACCAAGGTATACATATGTCAGAAGTAGGGGGTGTCTAAACAGTGAATCACATTCACGTGAGCCGTAAACCATTATCCTGTTTGGCAGTAGAGGTGCTACTCTGCTAACGGAATGGTGTTAGGAAATGCATCTAGGTTTTTAAACTCTGGCTGACTTTTCTGCCGTACGAGTTTGTATTGGGTTTTGCAGAGGACGATATAATGTGGAGCTTCACATGTCTTTCTTGCGACTTCAAGGACAAGCCAATGATTTTAAGATCCAGTATAGTAGTGTCGTTCGTCTATTTATACTGCCGAAGGTCGAAATTCAAACCCTGAATGTTTGTTTTTCCTCAAGTTCGTACGAGCATTGACTCAATCATAGAGATAGTCAGGAGAAGCAAATTTGATGTTTATACTTAAAAGGTTCCTTGGTTGCTGATTAGTAGTATCTTCTGATTTATCAACTTATGAACTATCTCTGCTGACTATGAAGCATATGCTTTCCTTCACAAGTTTTAAGCCTGAGAAAGTTGTTCATATATGGGTTTGTGGGTTCATAGTGCTGTATAGTAGTAGAAATAGCCTTATGTCTTTATAATGACGTGCTTACCTCATCATAAATGTACGTGTGTTCATTTCTTTTGTGTCTGTGTGCTGAATTGTGTTGCTTTTTGGCAGTCAAATCAACCTCACACTTTCGTTGTCATCACTTTGGATCCCCCCATCCGTAAGGGTCAAACATTTTATCCGCACATTGTTTTACAGGTGAGATCTAAGTTTGTTGACTCCTAATTGCAAGTCTAGTCTGACAAGTTTCTACCATGTCAGGCTACAGTTGCTCTTCTCTGCATTCTTTCGGTTTCTTCCTCTTGTTGTTCTAGATACAAACTATTTAAAATCAGCATCATTTGAGTCGATTTATAACACGTTAGTGGGAATTCTAACAACTTTTGGCCCTATCTGACGCACTTGGCTGCTTTGTGTCAACAGTTTCCTTCCGAAGAAATAACCGAGTGCAGTCTCTCGATGAACGAAGACCTTCTGAATACTAAATATAAGGACCGCTTGGAACCCTCGTACAAGGTATGAAAGTAATTCTGTTGTAACAGATTTTTGGAGTTCACAAGACTATATGATTATAGCTTTTTCTCATGCAACTTGACTCGCTTTCACAGGACCTTTCACACGACGTCTTCACCCAAATATTGAAAGGATTGTCCGGTGCGAAGGTAACCCGACCTGGGAAGTTCCGCAGTAGTCAAGATGGATATGCTGTAAGGGCATCTCTGAAGGCGGAGGAAGGCACTTTGTACCCGTTGGAGAAGAGCTTTTTCTTTTTGCCCAAGCCCCCTACTCTTATATTGCACGATGAGGTATGTGAACGCACGCACTTTCCGTCCTCTCCCTTGCAGCTCGCAAGGCTAGGCTTTAAGTTTTTAATCCGCATACCTTGGGCCGCTTCAAAGTATTTTGAGTGTTATTTTTAGCCAATTTCACTTGTCATCCTAGATAATTTCTTAGATCTTAAAAATTGGCGTTATTTCTTTTGACTATTCTCTCTTACTATCTTACATCACAATCGCTTTTGGTATAGAATTCTTCTGTAAACGTCATTGATTGTTCATGTGAATCTCTTACGCAGATCGAGTATGTCGAATTTGAGAGACATGGTACGGCCGGAACAAGCAGTATATCATCGCACTATTTTGATCTGCTTATCCGTCTAAAGAGTGAGCAAGAGCATCAATTTCGCAATATCCAGAGGAACGAATATCACAATCTTTTTGACTTTATCAGGTAATATGAGGTTAGAATGTAATATCATTTTTTCATTAAGATTTCTATTTCAGGCATCAGTGTTTTCTCCTAACGATACGGTATGAGTTTGATCTCTCGCCTCTTGTAACTTATTCAGAGACTTCTGTACTCGTGAGGACTTCTGGAGTGGTGACGCATACTTGTCCGTCACTTAGCTGACTTGGTTTTTTGCCTCAGCTCTAAGGGCCTGAAGATCTTGAATCTGGGCGATGTCCAAGGCGCAAGTGGCGTGGCAGCCGCTTTAGCAGGCTCAGATGACGAAGGTGTAGATCCACATCTAAATCGGATTCGTAGTGCTAGAGGTGAAGGCGGAGGTGACGGTGGTGGTGAAGACAGCGATGAAGAGGTAAGTGCACCTGACTTTTTAGCATGAACTTTTGTGCTCGAGGTCCCAGTTCAAAGAAAGTTTTGAACAGCTTGAAGTAACTTTCATGGCAATAGTACGGGAGGGAAGATGTAATAACATAGTTGTATATTACGGCCAGCATCAATTTTAACGACAAATCTTCGAGCTTTGCTCGACCTTATAGATAATATGAGGCCACACATGAAATACTTGAATTCTGACGTAAACGGCTTGTTCTTCCCTCAGGATGAAGACTTCGTTGCTGAGAAGGATGACGAAGGGTCACCAACGGATGACTCTGAAGCTGAGGAACCGGATGCAAGTGATAGTGGTGGGGACGAAGACGCTGAGGAAGACGAAGACGAGGATGAAGTAAGTACCTGTGCTTCGCGTTGATCACTTGGAATTTACTTATCACAGTTCGGTAATGTAAGATATGTGACGTGATGTTCTCTTTTATTTATACATATGGCTTTGGCGTGCCCCGTTTCACAGGATGAAAGACCGGCTAAGAAAGAGCGCAAGAAACGGGAACCAGCTGCTGCTAAGCCTGGAAGAAAGAGAAAGAACAAAGAGGAAGGTGAAGGAGGGAAGAAGACCAAGAGGAAGAAGAAAGATCCAAACGCTCCAAAGCGCGGTCTGTCAGGGTTCATGTATTTCTCTCTGTCGGAGAGAGAGGTATGTAATGCGATTTTAGTACATTCATTGATCCCGTTTGGCGGACTCTGACCTTTTGTAGACTTGTGTAAAAAAAAAACAGAAGTTCAAAAATATCCTCTGGAGCCCTTTTTTTCGTTGTTGTGTTGGATTTATTGATTGATTGTCAACTATTTCTGAAGACATCGCCGATACCCTGCAGAATTTGAAGAAAAGTCAGCCGGGGCTTTCCTTCATTGACACAGGAAAGGTTTGTGGAGACAAGTGGAAGAAAATGTCAGGTATAATCTTCATCGGTATTCTGCGGGCAGCACATTTGACCGTTGTAATCATGAGTTGTTGCATGTTCAAAGTTCTATCTTGACATATCTTCATCTTTCAAGTCAGTCTGTTACTTCAACTGAGAACTACGCTAAAGCTAAGCTGCATGAAATTCTGGACGCTTGGCAGTGGATGAAAAAGCACCCTATGAAGCGAAAGCACAGGCAGATAAAGAAAGGTACAAGCGGGACATGTTAGAGTTCAACCGTGGAGGTGCTGGAGGTGGCCCAGCAGAGGATGGATCTGATGATGAGTAGAGGCGATCAACCTTAAATTGCATTCTCCGTCTTTATGAATCCATCTATAATAAGACCGTGAGTGTTCTTGTGCTCGAAGACAAATCCAAGCTATCCACATTGAGCTGAGAAGTGCCAAGCAGAACGGAGTAATGAAAGTTCAGTGGAAGCCATACATGGAGTCCAGTCGTGACTACTTGCTGTTAAACAGCAGAGATCAGTTTGCGACCGAGTAGCACAGAGCCTGATGTTTCAAGGGCAGACAGTTCCGTAATGTACGTAACCGCTCATCTGGTTGTGGTCAAGGAGACCGCGGCAGGCATACGATGCTGGAAAAGAGCAGGGATTTCTACATACCTATTGTTGTCAGATACGAAGAGCTTGGAGAGTGGTGAAACAGTCCACTGCTGTAGTCGGCAACTGGAGATATTTAACTTAGGGGAGAGGTTCAGTTCATTTATTTGGCCCGGGGAGTTCTCATATCATAGACTTGACCCCGATTCCCAGTTAAGCTCTTGGTGGTCGTATAGCTCCGAGTGGACCACCGATACTGCTTTTCCAACGGGCGCGTTCATGGGGTTAAACACGGAAAGAGAGTACGCACTAGTGGTTGAAATGGTGGAATTCCATATTTGTAACACCACAGCGTTGTATATTTTGAGGCAATTTTGGTTCATGTGAATCTTTCCCAAGACCATGGAACAGCGTGAGGCTTTTTTGCTCTATGCATCTGAACTGGCATTTACAAAAACCCACATGATCCAACTCGTCTTGTTTTTAGCGCATGTGTAGTGTTGATGTGCATGCTTTGACCGCTCGTGGTAGAAATTAGTCAAATGAGATGCCCAAGAGTCAGATGAGATTACGGGTCGTGTGTGTACATGCTGCTGTGAGAGGGAGGGTGCGTAATCCAATTTCGAGCATTCACCAGGTGAGACAAATGTGGAGCTCAAATGCATGTACAGCAGACCTTTTACACTTTATTGCTTCCATTGAAGAATTCGAGGGTCAGAGCTTCTTAAACCGAGGAAAAGTGGAAAGTACAGCAGCTCGGAGACATGAAGTCTGAGTATCATCTGCATGCTCCTTATTTCAGCTACACTACCCCAATTGAGAGTTAACTTGAGATCTAGTTGATACTCAATCCTCGCAACGATCCGTCTTGTAGCTGGGGTCTACATTAAGTGGATCCCACCCATGTCCGACAAGGTCGTCTCCAGATGTGATTGCAAAGTAGGAGTATGCACATACTAAAAATGTGGATATGTACTTCGTGCATGAGATAAGATTCTGAAATCTCTTAAGAGTGCCCCAATATCAACATATGTTGGCACTGATATAGTACCAACAACGTCATTACTATCTGATAATTTTCTATCTCTTTCAAAGCAGATGTCATCTCCTTATGACGTAGTTTCTAGCAGGTCCATGTCCAAAACAAGGGCTCCCATCGAACTTCAAGAAGGGAATAGGCTCCAGCACGCCTCTCGGTGCCTTGGTGCCGAGGCTCTTGCTGTAAGGAAGCCCACAATGTTTTGGAAGTAAGTCCACCTTCTTAGGCCTTGACTTTTTGCTGCTGGGTTTCTTGATGACTAGTTGCTTACTCCTTTTCTCCTCGAGTCTGTCGTAAAGATAAGTCATGCCCTCATGGCCGTCGGCGCAGAGTGGTAAATTTTTTCTTGCATAACCGGGCTCTCCCTTTTCTTTAGTGCTGTTGTCCCGGAGACAATGAGCGAGATCCCGTCTTCCTTCGTAACTCCCTAGAGAATCAAGTTCATCCGAAGTCCCAATAGATTCTGCATCATCGACCAGAGTTGCCAAAGCAGATGCTTTTTGGATCAGTTTCTGCAGGTCGTCCTCCAACGTCGTGCATTGACGCTCTTCCTGATATCGTTTGTGTCTAGCCTCTTGAGCCTCTCTTCTACTCTCCTGTTCTTGCTCTTGTTGGGATCTTTCTCCTATGTGATGTTGATCCTGCTGATTATCATTGAATGTTTCTTCCCCAGCACTGCCTGCTTGAGTTCTTGCTGGTGGAGTGGAGTTTGCATTTTCTTCCTTGCTGTGAGCACAATTTTCTGCTCCGTCTCTAAAGGCTCCTCCGTTAAATGCCAACTCCCTGGACATTCTCATAACTTCTTCAACCCGCTGCCTCTGGCTTTCAAGCTTCACTTGGTCGTTGATTGTCACTTTCATCATCTCCTCTTTGCTTCTCCTGTTGTTCTCCTCTCGTCTCCAACGACCCATCTCTTCATCTATTCTCCTCTGTTCTTCCTGGTCCCTCTGCTCTTCGGCTAGCTTCTTTTTGTGTTCTCGTCTCATCTTTTCCTCTTCACGCAGCTTTGCTGTTTCTTCTTGCTTCTTCCTCAACATTTCTTTCTTCCGTCTCTCATTCTCCTGAAATTTCCGATCCCTTTCCTCCTTCAGTTTCTCTTGGGTTTTTCTAAATTCTTCCATTTTTTGCCGGTGTAGCTCTCTAAGCCTCTTCTCCTCCATTTGCTTCTGTTTCTTCTCCTCCTCTTGAGTACCCATGGTTTCTTCTAGCTTTTGTCTTTGTAATTCTCTTAATCTCCTCTCCTCGCCAATCTTCTTTTGATTCATTCTTAATGTCTTTTGGTTCCATATTTTCATAGCCTCCTGCTTCCTCTTCTCCTCCTGTTTCTTCAGTTCTTTCTCGTGCCTCGTTATCATTGCGATGAACAAGGTTGTCTGAGATCTGGGCTGCCGCACTGATGCCGAAACCATGAACTAAGGTCATTCCAACCCTCTAGGTTCTAAAATTAATCTGTCATACGATGTCATCCTCGGCTTACGGTTTATCATCCTGTTCCTGGTGATGGGACGATATGGAAGTATGCTGTCCACCGACAATGCCTCACGAGGCAGTCAATCATAATCTAGGTTGGGTTTAACAACCCAGGAGAGTCAGGTCAACCCCAAACAAGCTCTCCATATCACGCTGCTCCATGACACCTTCATGCTTCCGAGAGACAGTCCAGTATATAGAGGCATGTTAATGATCGTCCATAGAGTCCCTCTTCAACAGCAGCCTGCGTATTCATTAGAAACAAAGAGTAAATTTTTACAAAGGAATTGGTGGATATGTATGTCTCGAAAGCTCACACAGATTTCGAGATTCCGTGTGAGCTAGTGTTGTTCTGCTGTCCTGAAATGGCATGTGGTCTGAATACTCAGAATTCGTAATCAATGAGTGCATTAGAGTCTGTCATTCATTTCAACGAATCGCTCCATCGTTGGATCAAGCAATTTCCTCACATCAATATTCTCACGAGTTTGCTGAATCATGACACGGTTATATCTAGGAATGGAGATAAGCAGGTCTTGTTTGATTACTGATAGCACATCTACAACGAATCGCTAAGACATATCTAAACCTTGACATACTCTCTATAACAGGTCGTTAGTTCACCATGTGACACAATCAGTCTGAAGCAGCCGTAATGTCCGTGAGATTCACGTTGTATCAAGTCTGAAGTGCATCTAGCTGGTGGTCAATAGCGATGTTTTGTATCGAATTTTTTCATGTACCGGAATCATTGGGAAACTCGGCCGCACGTCCCGCACGGTCTTCACATTAGAGAAGGCCGGAGCCTTGCGAAAGTACTGCTTTGAACAATGCATCGACTCCTTAACGTGATCATCACCATGACAGCTTACGAGTGAGCATATCTCCAATGCACAGAAACTTGGCGCAGCTGCAGGCTGAACTAATGCTACGCTTGCTGCAGCAGGTGGTCCAGTTCATCAAATGCTTCTTAGAGGAAGCCTAGAGTTCGCTTATTTGGATCTCTGAATGAAAATCTGCTGGGTTTGCAAAGTTTGAACTCTTTTCCAGATCCAATATAAAACCCCGCCAGTTCTCATCTCTGACGCTGAACTATCAACAGGAACCACTGCGGCAATTTATTTTGACAGGATTGCTGTTATTATCAAGAGCAGAGAGGTGCCTAGCGAAATTGCTGTTCACAGTTCTTCGAGGTAGATGACAATTTTGTGTGATGCGCTCGTCGACTATGTCTTCGAACTCATTCAACACGGTCTCCGCGTCTTCGGTTTGAAGATGAAGAATGTGGAGAAGCGGTGGAGCTCGAGCGACACAGCTAGAGAAAGGAAAAAAGGGTTGCTGCACACAATCGAGAACCTTGTGGGCATTTTGAATGAACAAGGCGAAAACAGCTTCTCGCTCCCTCTGTCTCCCCGCCTCCGTATCCCCATCCCCGAACATGGCCCATGCACAACTTGCAAGAGATCAATCACGACAAGCACTCAAAACCCTATAGACCACAACGAATCAAACACGAAAAAATTCTCCACGCCATCAGCCCCAAACAACGGTGACGCGATCAGAAAACAAACATCGCAGCCTGTAAAATCTCCCAATCCTCCCTTCTAGGCTCCCGTCACATCCACCCTCGTCCATGCCAAGCCAAGCCAATCCAAGTCAACCGAATCGAATCGAATAAAATAAATCCAATTTTCTTAAAACGTCCCAGGAAAAAACAACCCTCATGCCCTTCATCCCATCCCTTCCCCAAATTTCCCAATTCCGATACTCTCCGCGAATCCTGTCCTTCAAACTCTCGCAATCGGAGCACAGACACACAGAGAGCACGAAGACGAGGAGGAAGTTGGACGGCGCACGTCACATACTCCGAGGAGGAGGGGGAGATCTTCAACCGGTCGCTGCCAAAGGGACGAAATGGAGTTCGGTCGTCGTCACGAGAACGCTTTCAGGAGCACGAGGCCCAGGAGACGAAGCGGACACTGAAGCCCCGAACCTGCCCCCTGCGCCATACGTACGAGCTACAACTTTACTGTACAGTGTACGCGTCATATATACGTCTATTTATGTAAAATACATACACTGGCAGTGACGTAGGTGTCGCTCGTGGGCCGCGGGGGCTTTACAGTACTGGACTCTGGACGGTGGGCTACCGCCGTCATTCTCTCCCGCCGACGGTCAACGACTGGAGATCGGTCGCACAAAGCCACTGTCGTGATTTGGTTTACTAGCCCCTACTTTCCCATTTCGTTTTCTTGTTTGTAATTGCTCTGCTCGTCGGGGTTTTGGCATCGATTTTTTATTCACTCGGCTATCCTTTTATTTTTGATTTCATCGTTTGATTAACATTTGCCTTTACTTTTTCTTCCTAATTTTTTATTTTCTTATTGGCACCCTTTCTTCATCAAAAATTCTAGGTGATACCAGTCAAATTCATCCATATTCTTTGTTATATTCTTTGTTCGCCCGGCGATTTTGATTTTCTTGTGTGTCGGGGTGAAACGCGAAAATATCACTTTTCTTGAGTTATATTTATCTCCCTGGCCTTCCTTTGACAGAATCACCGAAGAAAAAAAGCGAAGAGAGTTCACGAGCGACGAAAGCGGGATAGGTCAAAGTATTTCTTGTGTCATCGGTATAGACAAAAATAATAATGCTTGCTTTTGAATATCGACACAATCCAATTATGTGGGCTTTGCAGGGCTATGTCTTTCTCAGTGCGCTTGCAAACTAATAAAATCTTTAGTCAGTGTGTTGTTCCACGAAGCTCTGGCTTTCTTCTCTCGGAGTGCTAATTGGTCAATGACCTCTTGATGAGGTAGTCTATGATTCCTTTCACCTCTGTAGTTTACTACACGTACTAAATGATTTTTTGACAGGCCAAACCAGATGTGAAGGTCAAGCTCTAAAAATCGTTTCAAATCAAGCTTGAACTCACTTAAGTTGTCTACGTCTGCATATCCAATCATGTCGGCAACCTTTTCTTACAGGATCCAAACCCCCTGCAGTGCATGCTTATGGTTCAAGAATTACATGATTTTTATTAAGATAAATGTAATTAAAATGGTGGATGACTGTTCCAATAACCAATGAATTTATAAAGCCCAGTGCTTCGGAAGATCCAAAAGCGTGAGGTCGGGAAATTATTATATTGGAGAAAATGTTTCATCATGTACGCTCAGCAAACTTCATTTCAGATTAGTCTCTTCAGCTTTGAAGATCGTATACATTTAGCTAGTTCCTATGCAGAGTAGGATCCTAAGAGACCAATGGTGCACGTACTACTACCCCAGATAAACATGTACGATAAGAGTGGAATGGACACGCCGTTCTAAATTTAGGCGTCATATTGTAATGACAATGACTTGTGGCAATATATGCATTGGAGAACAATGATGAAACTTCGTTAAAAAATTTGCATGAGGAAAATATTTGCGACCATCTTATACAAACCTCAACAATATTCTTTGCCAGAAAAGATTACTCCTCCTTGAGACTTGAGTCATATACCTAACTAATTTTATTTTTTGCTTTCATCTGCTTCTACTAATCAATATATACATATATTTGATTGAATATCACTTTATTTGACAAAGTTAAGTTTCTTCTCGGCGACTAAATTTATGTAAAGAGAATATTTAACATTCATTGAGGTCGAATGGAGACACGGTAAAATGGCAATAAGGATGGGACCTCGTGGTGAGGGCGAATGCAATAGGCGCGAAGGCGCAATTGATCGGGATCGTGTAAATTCATGCAACGCTCGTCGTCGATATAAAATCCGAGGAGAGCGAAAGTTGCGGAATTGCGTCCCAAATGGGTCGAGAGCTTGCCTGCTCGACAGGTGGTGCGACGAGAGTCGCGATGGCCACCGTTCCTGACGGTGCAACCGACGCAGCAAGCGGATAAGCACGGAAGATTCTCTGACGCTCCGTCGCGCGATGGACTGTGCTGATGTGGCCGTCGGCCTGCGGCGAAGCTTTTAGCGAACGCGAAAGCTTGCGACCGAAGAAAAGCGTGGAAGGGAGGGAGGGCTCGAGGTCGCGGTCGAGGTCGTGGTCGTGGAATTGGGTCCAGAAATTTCTAGAAATCGAGGCTCGAGGAATCGAAATTGGCCTGCGCTCTCTCGCGGTCGGCAGTCCGCTTGTACTATAAAGGTTGAAGTCTGCTTCTTGTTCTCGAGGGTTCCGTCTCTAGGCCGATCGCGGGTGCTGTCCATTCTTCTCTCGAGGCAATTTCACCGATTTGGGCTTCCTGTTGTTTGGACATTGGAGCGCGTGCCGCTTGCCACTCCAATTGGGCGATTTCCCAGCGGTTTGCGATGGCCAACGTGATGGCTTTGCAGTCGTGTGCGACGGCGTCGTCTTTGGCAGCACCTTCTTCTGTCCAGCGCTTGTACACTGCACCTTCTTCTTCTTCTTCGTCCTCGTCCGCTGGTCCCCTTAAGGCTCCCCTAAACGCGGGGAAGTTCGTCGTTCAATCGCAGTATAGGGAGAACGGACCCAATTACTTTCTCTTCTCGAAGTCGCCGAATTCGGTGCCGGTTGTGAGAGCTGCGAGGGACTCGTTCGATTGGATGGACGACTCCTCCGTTTCAAACGGTCCGTCAGCTCTGATTATTTATTTGATTTCTCTTCTTCCCTTGCATTGTCTCCTTACGCTCATTTCATCACTTAGCAGCCGATTGCATTATGCCCTGTTTTAATTTTATACGGCTTCATGTTCAGGTACCGAAATAAAGGACGATGCGATGGTTCCGATTTCATGGGAGGCGAATTCTGAGAAGCAATTGGAGGGGATTGTTCCGGCGGAGAGGACTACTTTTCTTACCTTATCTAAGGTTAGGCTCTACTCAACCCTCCAAAGTCGCGTATGTCGCGCAATTGTAACCGCCGTATGTGAGTTCGGTCTTCTTTTCAGCCGTGCATATTTGAGAAAATTGAGAAGATTTTGCCCATCAGGCTCTTTATCGCCTTTAATAGGAAATCATTGGTGCCGAATACAAACTTAAGGGTCTCAAATGCCGTCTTTACATTTTGGATACCTGGGTGTTGCGGATGTGCTGGGCCTGAGTCTTAACCTCCAAACAGACACTTCGATAGTAACAGATTCTAACATGGTGTCAAATTGAACACTCCGGTTAAATTCCATCGTAGTTTCATCCGTACGGCTCATCGGAAAGTTAAGTATTGAACACGTCGGAATTTGATCTGTTTTTTTTATCACGAAGTTGACTTCATCCATATTGGGACTGTTTACTGACTTGCATTCTTCACATAGTATTTTGTTGTAAATATCACAATCGTAAGTTGGAAATATGTGCCAGCATCCTCATTGATTCGGATGTTTCCTGGATTGTTTACGCAATCCAGGAACGGACATACCGTGATACACAAATATGTGTTGCTAAACAAGTGCAGTAAGAGTCTGCCCCCTGTATTATAAAACAGCCTTACTTTCATATCGTATAAGTTTGTTGCACTATGTATGATATCTAGATGTCAGTCTGAAGATGGTATATTTGAGGGTATTTTGCCAAGTCGTTTGAGCCCCTTTGCTTTCCTCGTATGTATCTTGAGCCAGTTTATCAGGTTGTATCTACTGTAGTACATCACTTAGGAGGATGTGAATACAACGCCGTCTGTTGTGGTTATTCAACATGCTGGTAGTGGATGAATGGATATAAAGTTATCAGTGAGATTTTGTTGCTTTCGAGTGTAATTTTTGTGAACTTGGAGTAAATATAGGTCCTCGACAGAAGCTGAGTTGACTTGGAAAGTTACAAGAAGGTATATGTCAAGCTGAACAATTTGAAATATCTGGAAATACGATGTAGGATATGGCGATGGGATTAGTGCTGCAAGCAGCTACAGCTACCGGCTGGACAACCGGCTCCGGGTTGGAAGGTCCAGCAGTATCAAAAGAGGAGAGTGCAGCTGAGGAGGAGAAATCAAAGTTTCCATATTTGAGCAAGTCACCGAGGAGAAAAATGAGAGTGGCTTTTACCTGCAACGTGTGCGGTGAGCGGACGACTCGAGCCATCAACCCTCATGCCTACTCCGACGGGACCGTGTTCGTGCAGGTAAGATCTCCCTGCGCATGTATCATGTAGTCTTATTGTGAAACAAGCATCTCCGTGATAATCATGTCAAATGTGCTGAGTCTGTGTTGATTCACAGCAATTTTTAAAAATTTTGGCAAGTCTGGAAGCGAGAGAAATTTATGTTGTCCGTTCAACTTTTGTGGCCCTTTGTTATGAAGCACCAACCCTTCCTGTAGAAGCATGTTATCTTCTACTGATACATTCGAGTGATTGTTATTGCAGTGTAAAGGTTGTGATGTGTTTCACAAACTTGTGGACAATTTGAACCTTTTTCACGAGATGAATGGCAAAATCTACCGGGGTTATGATACCCCCTGGTATGCCAATGACCAGCCATACGATTTTTTCAATGGGCAGTACTCCATCGATGATCATTTTCCTGGATTGTAGGATGAACAGACTTGAAATTTGTGTATATCTTGGTAACTGAAGGTCGTAGACATTCTACGGACTATATGAGAATAGCAGTTGTTGCGTTGATATCTCTGGCCACGAAAGGTGAAGTCATGCAACACCAGATTCACAGAGCTTTTGCCTACAGCCGCCAAAGCTCTGCTTCTACATCCTGGCTCTTTTACAGAGAGCTATTCGCAGCCACTGTTGTCAAGTATGTAGTGTAAACTTAGATGTGTATGCTGTACAGAAGTAGCTCTACATGGGAAGATTTCCACTTTCTTCGTCAGTCTCAGCGGAGAGACTTAGCTTAAACCTGAGTGTCGAAGTGTTGCAATGTATGGAGTGTTATGAAAGGGTAGAAATTTAATTGGAAGTCATATGACGCAATACTTTGTTACATTCATGAAGAAATTTGTGTCATATTGTATCTACGTTTCCGCTGGAACTTTCAGTATTCTATCTCCTCTCTATTCTATTCTGTTAGCCTACGCGATTCTTTAAACGATTTAGTTTTGATTGGCCTTGACCGCAATTATGAAATGTTTCGTGGAGTATTGATATTTAGTTTTAACCAGATATTCAACTTATGTATGTGGTTGGCTTCATGTAAGGAAGGTATTATACAAATAAATAAGGATTCAGCGCGAGACTAATAGAGGTCATGAAGCTTAGGAAACCGAGGGTTCTTGTTTATGTTCCTAGGTCATTTTCTTACCAAAAAGCTTTGGTTGAAGTTGGCAAAGAGCTATTAAGTGTTAATGCCTGTGTGATTCTCCCCACTAACCCCTATGCTTGGGATGAGGATAGAATCATAGTTTCATGGTGATGCACGTCGTGTTAAAACATGTTAGATCTAATAGGGTCGGATCCTTTATCGTATTCCAGCTTACATGCAGGGGTAATGTTCTAGTTACAGTGAGTGTTTTGCTGTGTATATTTTATAGACATTGTTCCACCCATTATCTTCAGTTTTCTGTTGGGACAGGAAGAAAAAAAGAAGTTGTCTACAGATGAGAACGTTACAGCTTTTCTATCAACTAGTCTGTCTCATTCTAAGGACAAGGATGTAGATCTCAGTGTAGGTTGATTGTCCCGGTTAGCTTGACGATGTGGTCTTTTAATTGTCAGACAGTCTAATGGATAGGCCTGGGAGGCCTTCGTCTTAGTTTTTGCATTTGATGTATTGCCTCAGGGCGAAATTATTTTCTATCATTAAGGCCTTTTTTTATCATTAAAGAATGGCATTGGTCTGCTTTAAATAGAATGAGTGATGTAGAATGAAAATGCAAAGTATTTACATATCTTTGGAGTAAAGTGTGTGGAATTCTTGATTTATTGTGTCAAATGCGGACATTCTATAGCCCTGAGGAAGATCTTATGGTGATTATTATTGTACTTAAAATAATTCATCTGTATATTTTTCTTAACGGCATCAAATACTCACTATCTAGTATTGGAGATATAATCCATTATCCATATACAATTTCTTTAAAAAACTTAAATACACTCAAAATGCTCGGAAACAAATTCTGAAATGTAATATTTGAATGTAAATAATACGAAAATGATACTTTTTAAAGTTTGTAATCATAATGAGTATTAATAATGTAAAATAACTTACATATTTTTATTAAATAAATATCATAATTTTTGATATTATCTTTCTATCATCTTGGATTTAATTTGTACTTGTTGATCTTCATTTTAATGAAAATAATAAATAATAATATTCACAGTAGTGTCAAAGATAGTAAAAGTTTGAGATTGAGCATATGATACTTCTTGAACGATTTCAAATTGCGCATCATCCCAATGGATTTATGATTCATTCTGGAAGGAGTATTGAACCGATATTCGATTTTGGCAACAAAAGTACGTCCACATGTAAGCAACATTAGCGAATTCTCTAATATCAATGTCTCAGGTGCCATGTCCAAGAGTCAAAATCAAACATTTTCAGTTTGATAATAGTTGATAATATACTCAATTAGTGGTGCAAGCTCGTCTTCATTTAATGACGCTGCAACTAGCATTGCAAAATGTTACACCAGGTTATGATTGATCAGATGTCGCATTGGATTAAAGTAAGCCATCGAGAGCCTGCCATCATCTCTTAATCTACTTTGAATCGTATGAGCACATGGCAAGCTCATTGTAGCAAACTAAGCTTTAGAGCAAGTATCCAAGTCCGCTTTTTCTGCTTAGCTTGCTTTGAAACTTTGTTGAGGATATAAATCAAAATTTGACAAATAACATCCTTGTATAACAACTAATTGTGCTGATGATTGATTTGAATACGATAAGAGCTTTCTTGTGCTTCAATTTCCTTGATTTGATTCTCAAAGTCATGTGAAAGCCAGATTTGAACATCTCAGAGGTTTTCTGTTGAGACTCCGAGGTATTGTTTGGCCATCGAATGCTATATCTCTGCTCTCAATGTGTTTACATTCCCAAAATGTGTGAGATGAGTTGTCCATGCTAGGACAAAACACTCCTTGTGCGCAATCTATCGTGTTTGTAGGTGCTGAAGCATGGCCGAGATTTGAATGTACGTATCATAAATTGTTGCCCATTGCAAATTGAAGATATCCACGGTAGATGATCGAATCACAACTATCCATGACTGTTGAAAGGATTTCCGGTCTTCTTCAGTTTTGAATTGCTTCTTAGCGAGAATGTTTTTTTGAACGTGCCAGATCCATAGCAGATGGGATGCTGCAAGAAATATGCTTGAAAGCGCATTCATGAAGGCTAACTTGCAGTCAGTTGTGATTGTGATTGACTTGATCTGGTCATAAAGAATTGCTATTTTATTCAAGGTCTAATGATAGTATGGCTTAGTTTACTCTCGTAGAAATGCAACTACAATTATAAATTAAGTGTTAAAGCTTGTCATACTAATGACATGGAACATGAACATGCAAAAACTGTTGATCTTGTAGGTACAATTGATTATTTGTGAGCAAATTGGAAACAACCAAGATGTGCATCGAACAAGTTCGTAACTTGATTTTCAGTGTTGCAACGTAATTGTATTGATAATTTGCTGCACATAGACTATACATGAATGTTAGAGTCAATGGGCGGTCAGCAATCTGTGTCTTCCTAATGCGCACTCTCTCGTTGTGGATTGTCCTTGCAATGATTTGCATGTTTTGGTTGCTCTGCCTCAGAGTAAGTAGAATTTACTTGGATGCAATGTCAAGAACTACCATGCGGTCTGCTTCTCCACACTGAACAGAATTGAAACGCCACGCACTCGGATGGACTGCAATGTTAGTATAAGGTTCATGATTGTGGTCTCCACAGCGGACTGAGAGATGACAGAGTCCATCAAATTTTAGTTGTCATTCATATAGCTGAAAATGATAGTAAATAAGACATGTTGATCATTGGCGGTGTTTTTCAGCTTTAGAGTGACCACATGCAGCGTTGTATTTGTGTCCTTGGTCACACTTGAGTATCACAATGTTTCTCACTGAATCTTTACGTCGCTTTGTAACAGTGTAGCCCTGAGTATGAGCAAAGGCTTGGACGCTTAGCATCATATCTTCAAGTGACGTATATGATGTTTCAAGAGATGGTAACATGATTCTTGTATGAGCAATTTCATGTACAGGTTGAAAACATCACCAACTAGATGAAATGTAAGGAAGAAGTAGTAAGAGCTGATATCAACAGAACACATGTGCGATTAAATTTAATTTTGAGTGGTCATGTGACATGACAAACTTTAATTTTATCGTACACAATGACTAGATGGCTAGCATGTGAAGTAATGTATGAAAGAACTATTACAGTACAAGGTCTATTCTTTTTTAATCTTGTGCATCAGTTGAGCATACTTTTGCTGAATTAACATATGCTTTGCATGGATTGCTTTCAAGTTTGTATCTTCAAAGACATGTGTGATGTACATCTTCACCGCTTCTTGAAGAGCTAGAAGGGCAATCACTTGAAATCAGACATTCTTAATGTCTTTTTTCAGCAATTTGTCACACCAATCAAGCAAACGGTGTCTTGCAAAGAAGAAGATCGGTTGTTTTCTGAAGATCTTGAATCTATCGGAGCGCTACTTGCTTCTTTGGGACATTCGGGAGCTTATGAGGGCCAGACAGAGACTCACAGGTGTGGAGATTGTATGCAAGGACATTCTTAGTTTGATTGACCATGGTGCCCGCACTTTGTCTGGCCGTTTTGGTTTCGTGCGAGTCATATTCGTTGATGAGTTTAATGGAAACGAGGCAGTAGCGCTTGTGATTACTCTTGTTTGCGCTAGGAGCATGTAAGATTTGGCCGGTATGGATGCCAAGTAAGTTGCCGGATGCGAGGAGAACGACCAGGTCCTTTGACAAGCCCTCAAAAGCGTAGTAAGAGTTGTTTTTGTAGTATTTGATGTTACCGGTAGCAGGGAGGGTGGAGAGGTACTCAAAAATGAGCTTGTGATAGAGTTGATCAATTCTTTGTTGCAAGGTAATGGCTGGATTCATGGAAGTATCACCTATGACGTTTTTTTTTTTTGCACAATGAGGGGGAAGCCAAAAAACACGCTTGCAGTTGATACTTGGGCTTGTGTGAGAAAAAAAATTGTTTTGACAAGTCAAGTGACTGTGAGATCCGCCTCTAATCTCATTGTGATTGCTTTTACAATTTGTGTGGTTGTTTTAACATTCCCATTTTAATAGTTTTAGACGTCTTTATAGCTTAATAAATCACATATTTGTTTAAACACATTCATAAACACATTCATATTAATAAATCACATTGTGTTTAAACTTGATTTTTTTGAAAAAATATATTTTATTTCTATTCAATCAAATTTTTCGGTGAAAAGCAAATCTTCATGAAATCATTTTTAATCAAATCAAACTAGAATCCATTATCAATATAAAAAACTGAATTTTATTGAATTGAAAGTTATTAAAAATCTGGAAAAAAAATCATTTTTAAGTAAAAAATAATCTAAAATTCAAAAAATGTTGATCAATGTATCTGATAAAGTATCATAGAAATAATTTTTTAAAATATCTAGTCTTGAAATAATTAAAATATAATCAATAGTCTGAAGGTATATTTATTTATGAATTGATTATAGTTTTGAATATTTGATATAAATGAAATTTTTTGATATAATTTTTAAAGTATTGCTTTTCAATTGATCAGTCAATTATTTGTGAATCATTGACTACTTTTTTTAAAAGTTTCTATTAAAGTGATGTTTGATGAAAAAATCTAAGCTAGTTCTAATTAGTCATATGAAATCAAAATTTTGAATCCACAAAAAATTGTAAAACCTGAAAATCTATATAATAAGAAAAAAAACCCATAGACCGATGAAGCTCTCATATGTTTATTGAGTATTGCTCTTTGTTGTACTCATCACTTTTGAAATATCATATAAACGGACATTGTGTTAAGAATTTTTTTTAACTTTGAGCATAATTGTTATTGTGATTTGCTAAGCAATATTTTTATTTCATATGCATTAAACAATAGTATGATTACTACACAATTAAATTTGTGATAAAAAATAATATCCACCCGTATTTATGTTATAATTTTGAATTTTCGCATTTAAAACATTAATCAAATCTTTTACACATTGATGTAAGTTTATTTAATTATGTATAATTTTATGAAATTAATGTGTGCATAAAATTCTTGAATATGCAAAAAATTAGTTAGAAATATATTAATCAATTATTGAAATTTTGACTGCGTTAAATTTTTCATGTATAAGATCTATAAATAAAAATTGATGTTTGGTAAATTTCTTTAGTGCTATATATAATTTTTTATACTATCTAGATTTCAATTTTTTTTTAATAAGATTTGCTTACTAAATTTTTCGTAAATTTCATATCGTAACATTATTTTTATCCAAAAAAAAATTCATTACAAATGACATAAATTATTATGTACTGTATATAAATGTTATTATTTTATGTACTTTATAGCTACTTTATTAGTGAACAAACATGTTGTTACTTTATTTCAAAAAATCATTTGAGTATCATTTTCATGTTTCATCCAAGTAGTTTCAAAAACAATGATAGCAAAGAAACTTTATTGCTCTATTAGTAGCTATGGAAATTCCAAGGAATTATATTTTAGTGAATTATGATATGAAGTTTGATAGAAATCCGGATACTTGAGGGTTTAGGCTTACTTAAACATGCACAAGTTATAGATCATACACATGATCGTAATGTTAAATCTTGAGATTCTTATTAGAGTACTCAAAGTATTCAAATGAAATAAATTATTCACAAGGTTCAAAGTAAGAGAAATTTGCTTGATGGAACCCCTGCGGAAAGTAATTTGCTTGATGAGACCCTGCAGGTTTTGTGTTACCCGATGGGACCCCATGAACGATGCACCGTCACCCATAAACTAATAACGACTTGAGTTTTAGAGAGAGTGCAACGATTCAATCACACCCACGGACAGAGTGGACTTTGCCCTCCTCACTTGTTTTTATTTTGTCATTCTGTATCCGGCCACTCCCACAGGTGACCAGCAAAGAAATGCTCATTCCGAGTTTATTTATTCGCCACAAATGGATGACCGCGAGACTTGAGCTCGGAACACTTTCCGATAGGAGCTCTTCATCGCATACGTAGGGTTACGGAAGAAGGGTGCAGGCGAGAGGCAGCAGAGAAATCCGCGAATTGAAGCACAACAAATTGCACTTCGGGCAAAATCGATCTTTGTCCTCGTGATAATCCAACATAAATTATAATCAGAAATTGATTTCTGATTGTAATCCCCACATTGTAATTATCAATCATAGTTACAAGAACTATGGCCCACGGCACACAGTCGTTGTTGGGGTACCATTGGTTAAAACTAAACCTAAGTACTCTCATCAAGCAAATTACTTTCTGCAAGTCCTATCAAGCAAATCTCTCTAGAAAGTAACATATGAAGTAGCTTATAGTATAATTTTGTTTGCAGTAAGTTGTTTTTTTTCTTTTAAATTTATCACTACATTTGCATTATGATATCAGATAATTAGGGTGGTAAACTTCGAAACACGTAAACCATCACATCTGTCGAGCCAAATTTATGTATGATAGTATCCTTGATATTTTTTTTAAACTCCGACAGGCTTTGACCTTGTTAATACGTTTTGCCAATAAGCTACTAACTGAACGGCGAGGCACTTATTTTGAAGTAGCAATTTCCGTGACACATTCATCTTACAGCCCCTATTTTGAAAATCCCGGTTCAGTGATCACGAGTCGTAGGAATCAATTGGACAAGTTTGCCAATGCGCGACAGCGTCATGCGAAGAATTTCATAGCTGATGAACCACCTCCATATCCAGAAGAATCCATTTTCCAAACTCCTCGTGCCTGGAGAGTTGCATACTAGTCACGGTTGAGCTAATCATGATGCGGTCTAAAAGTTTTGGATCACAACACTTTGGAACGACTTTTCTGTCTGCGAGCCAAGGTCATCATGAGAAGTATGGCTGCTAAGTATTTACGAAGAAGGAATTGCAAACAATCCCCATGAAGAATATGCTCATGTCTGAATGCAGAAGATGAGAATTTACTGAAATGGTTGGCGTTTCGACCAAGCCACGAGCTGCATCACAAATGTACAGAGAAACTTCTCGACGAGCCTTCTCGACGTTGCGAGCTTAGAATTGGCCTCACAAACGCTGGAAGAAGCTGAGCCTGACGGGATGTCTTTCCTTTTCTTCACGTACATTGACCAAATTTCTTAAAAAGTTGTGATCCCGCATCACCTTACTGCGTTCCAGATGTGACACCTATCGGAATTGAGTTCTAATGCGCGCCATACGAAATGACTATTCTGGTACAAACTCCAGACCTTCTTTGTAGTCATAAGTTGGAGGTGGCTCTGGACCGAACGAGTCCCAAGGTGATTCGAGGAAAAACAGAGTTCGGCTTCTGTTTCGAAGTATGGGAACCTGCAGTTGGCAAACCAGATCAGCCAGTCAAGATTTGTTTTTAGCATCGATTTGTTTTGACAAATGTTTCCAATTTTCCGTAAACAGGAGGAGACTATCCCTCCGAACTTTCGTACGGGAATCAAATTCAAGTTTCTTGTCACCTGGGTCGACGGGGCCCAAGTCAGATATTTTTACGCGAACATGAACTTGTTCAGCAGCTACAAACAGAAATAAAAAAATAAAGGCAAGCCCGATTCATACAACCAACTGATCGGAAGGTTAGAACTCAAAAATAATTGAAGATAACATAGCTCAGAAAAAAGATTCTGAAAGGATCAGAAACTGATCTGAAGACTTGCATGTTTGTGACAGAGGGTATGGATATGGCGGACCACATACCTCTTCCCAGGTCAATGAGCTTCTAATTCGTTCGAGTCTCTCCCTGTTCCGTGCTTTGTCAGCCGTACCCTGAGCCCTGGATGCAGCTCTGATAACAACTGTTGCGTCCTCCGATGGGTTGCTGAATAGAAATTCTACATCGTCGATAACGCCGTCCTCTTTGTCGGTGAATTTTGCGTGGACGTACCTGCACGTAGTGGTACACATCCACCAGCTGTCATACAAATGCATGAAGTAGTCCATGCATAACAATGGCCTTGTAGCAAAGACAAGGCACATTCATAATTTTGAAGGCACATTGAAGTCACATTGAGGTTCCTTCAGAAATCAGAGTTTCTTTCTCTATTCTTTGTTCCGAGGACAGAGAGCACTGTTCTGCTCAGAACCAAGGGAACGATCAGCTCAGTGAAAAAAAAGCATGCATAAGGACAAGATTGGTGTAGTTGTAGAGACATCAGAGTTCTGCAATTTCCCCAATAAAACCGAGAGCAATTCTGGGCAGAACTGAGCATGTTTCATTGTCAGGATCTATGTTCGAAGCGAAGATCGCAAGTCCACAAATTTTACCTTTCTTCGGGCTCTGCTATTATGTCAGCTCCCATGCTCGAAAGAGTCTCCTTCAAAGCGTTTACTGCATCAGATAGTTGCCCTGGGAACTCCCAAGGTGCCACGAAGAAGTTCGGTCTGGTCTATCAGACAACCATACGATCATCGCCAGTTCAGCCAAGTCCGACAAGAGAATTCTTTGCGTAAAGAGGAATCAGATATTGCAGCATCTAATCATCGGCGTGTAAGTTCAAAATTGTAAAAGACCTGTCATCGAAGGACGAGACACAATTGGGTGTCGAATTGCATGTTCCGAGCGTCTCATCCACCACTCCAATGCACGTCGCGCAGCTGCCCTTCGACGGTTCTGGTTGCACCAACACCTGAGGTTTCTCCCATGGGAAGGTGCCCACGACAATGCTGGCTGCTGCCTCAGCGCTGCTGGCAGTTCCATGGTGCACTAGCAGGCTCAAACCGAGCGCCAAGGCCGTCGAAGCAGCCAATCGCAGCCCACCAGCAGGGGAGGCATAGTATCCGAGAGCTTCCGCATCTCCACTACAGCTTGAAGTCCACAGCTTACGATCACTACGAGCCGCCTCGACTCTCAGCCGGAGAGATCGAGCTCCACGTTTACTCCGATGCAAGCAATTTGCATCAGAAATCTTCAAATCTATAATGTGAGCTCCATAACTGCAGCTACTCCTCAATCCTTCCAAACGCATGCGCCTGTAATCACCACGAATTACAGCAGAAGCGAATCTGCTCCTCTGCAGATCAAAATGCCGACCGGAATTCAAGCACGTAGACTCGGGCATTAACACCTGCGACATCTCGAACGGAGGCATCGAAAATCAGCCGCAATTCGAGGCGACTCGGGGACTTTGTTAGTAAGATGCGAAAGTTGGTTGGTGCATGCGCTTGCGATTTTTCTCCCTCGTGCTCCGGACGAGCGGGATCGGCCATTGTTGGCCACAGGAGAGCCGAGGCCCCGACGCAGATAGGCACGTAACTGCCACTCGCTCCCCTCGTCCCCCGGGGGCCTAAAGGTGTACATCCTTTAGTGCGAGTCACCAACTCGGGGACCTCTGCTCTTCCACGTCACCGCGTACTGGAACTGTACACGGTGTACAGTTCCAGTACACCGTGTACCGCATTTGGGTCTGAGTCGGACTTTATCGAAACCGCATGTGACCTCGAGGCCTTTCGTCCCAAGTACAGTATTTGGCATAGCTAGCTAGCCCACAGTGCCCTTTCGCAACCTCTTCTGTTCTTACTTCCGCAGTTACATTAAGGAGTCCAATAAAAATCTTTTGGCTTTCTCAAACATGAAATTAGGCCCTAAGCCTGCAAATCTAACAAAAATGAGGCGCGTTGGTGACCAATTGACTGACTGTCTAGTAGTCAACTAGTTTGACCATTTGTGTTACCATGGCATGTAACTATAGATTTATGTGTGTATGTGAGACAATGAACAATTGACTGTATATCTGAAAGATAGGAATGTTATTTACTTAGTTTGATCTATTGAAACCGATAATTACATTATCATACTATGAACAGAAGATGCACATGAGAATGATTATATCAGATGATGTACTAATATATTCTAATTTGTACACTCTCTGATGATGATAGTTTAAATATTATAATATATATATGGTAGACTCATATAATTATAATACTCGAGCCCATCATTGTTTAGTTTCTTCATTACACGGAGTTCTTACTATACCTTTTTAATATCGATTTGGATTCCCGTTTGAACTTTGTCACTATACTTTGATCCCTCTATACATGTATGTCAATTAACATTCAAGCAAATTATTCATATAATACGGAGTTTGTTGATCACTTCACATTTCATATTGAGACAAACGTGATGTAGTGGTTTAGAGTTGAGCCATAGAGAAGCATGGGCTAGTGCAAACAGTCTTGTATAGATCTTATTAAGTGCCTTAGTAGAAGTTAACCTGTTCAAGATGTATAAGATCTGATAATAATTGAAATATATATGTAAAAAATTCTCTCTCTCTCTCTCTCTCTCTCTTTTATATATATATATATATATATATATGGCATGTAATTCAAATTACAATTTTTTACTTTACTGCTCAAAAACTAATTCAAAAATTTCCAACCTCTTGAATATATTTATACTGATGCATTTGTTATATGTGATTTGTACTTTAGAATTAAGCGCAACTAATTTTTGCACTCGGGTGATATTTTCAACTTTTAGTATCCTAGTCATGTAAATTTCATTTGTTATTTGATCTTCCTTCCTACCATCTATTAAGTTGTGATTAGACATTCTATCTACACAAACTCTACTTATCTTCTCTCACCCCCGATGAAACCCGAGTATTTTCTAAATGAATATTTCAAAGGATTTGGAAGTGAAAATGATAATCGTTAATTTCTTTACATGTCTCTATTTTTTATTGTTAAATTATGATTTATTTAGGAAATAAAATATGCATTTTTTCAAGAAGATAATATTGAATAGCCCATACTTTGACCGGAATACTGATCGAGGAGCGCACTCAATATTATAATTCAATGTTTCTGTTAAATGTTATGTCAAATATATGTATTTTATAATAGAAGGAATGCGCAATGTTGATAAAAATGGAACATTTTAGTTCCATACTGCATTCTGGTCTCGGATTTAACCATGGAAGGTCTGATGATGATATTCTTATATAGGGAGAAGAGGGAACAAGAAATCAAACAACACAAGCAACCAGCACGTAGATCGAGAGATACTCGAGTCGACGGCACAAAGATTTGACTCGCATATTTATTTGTGTGGACAATGAAACCTGGAATGCCACCCTTTTCGCTTTACTGCTGGGTACTTCGTTTGTGTGGACAAAGTAAATTTCAGCCCGAAGAATATCCGCAATCGGATAAATCCGGTGAACGGGACGAAGGACACAGTGCAGTGCAGTGAAGGGGCAGGACTGCGGTTTGAGTCGGGGTGAATTTGTCGACCAAGGAAATTCGAAAGATCTATCCGGCGCGGCCAGACCGCGGCCCCGCGTCCGCGGAGAGCGCCCGTATGAATGTCGGGAGGCGGCCTCGCCTTCCTAGTCATGGTTTGCCGTGTTTGCCTTGCCCGTTGTGCCGCGGAAAGCAGCTTTGCAGGATGTGAAGCAGCGAGCTGCGACGCGCGTCGAGGACACCGCGAAGGAGAGACGAGGCCATTCGAGGGGACGCGAGGGGAGGGGGCTCGATTCTTGCACAGACAAAAGCGAGCAGCAGACCGGATCAGACACGACCAGGAGAGACGGACAGAGGAGAGGGACCACGACGAGGTACGATTCTCGAACCGAAACGCTCGAGCCATCTCATCGTCGTGATCCATCCGCCTGCCGGTGCGCGGTGGTGGTGATTCGAATTTCGGCCGATGACTGATTTTTTTTATTTTTTTATTTGGTTGCGTTTTCGGGGTCCTGTTTTCCTGCTGCGCCGCTCGCTTTCCTTGCCCACACCTGAAGCTTAGATTCGGGGCTGCAACAATTCTATGTCCGTGCTCTATTGCGTGCCCGTGCAAAATTTAGTCTTCGTGTCAGTGACTTTGACCGCGAATGAGAGAGTTGAATGTAGCCTTTTTTTTCGTGTGCCTGGATTTTGAGTGTGCTGCGAAAATTGGGAATTTTTTTTCCAAGCGAAAGCGGTGAGATATGTTTATGGCTTGGTCTAAAGGGCGATTTTGAGGATGGACTACTGGTGACCGGTGATCGAGTAGTCACGCATCGAGAGAACTTATCTAGAAGGAGTGTTTTTCTCAATGATATTTCCGGGGAATCTCACCGTGCAGGTAGGATGTCTCGGGTGTGTACAGGCGATCTCGGAACTGACAGAAGTGAGTCCTGTTGCTTCAGGAGAAAATTTTTCGGAGCTTATGAGGTTGTGAGCAAGTCAGTGCGGCCAGTAGAGGCCATTTGTAAGAGCCATAGAAATCGGTGATGGCTTCCCTTCAGTGCACTTTACTGAACCAAGCGTCCAAAGTAGCAACCATCTCGGCACAGCGATGTGACAACCAAGGCGCAGCTCTCACAGCTGCCACTTTTCCGAAGAAACAGGGATCACGTGCTTTTGTGCGAGTACTTCCTACGTGCTCGCTTAGTTCCAGTTCTGTGTACGGTCGTAGCTTGCGAAACGGAGTTCACCAGCGAAGAAATGGAGCTTGGAGTCCTCTACCAGCGAAACCACCGAAGTCTGTCGTACGAGCCTCCGCTGCAGACGGGGAAGATTCCAGTGAGGATATGTCACAGGTATTTGGAGCTGCTTTAGACTTTCAGGTGTGGTTTCAAAGCACCCGCAGTCTGTTGCGAACAAAGCTTTCAGCCTTGATTGATGAATTCCTTCAGAAAAATACGTCGTGGTTTTGTTAAACATTTTACGACTGCGCATTCACGTTATAAGACGCCTTTTTCGTTATCATGTCAAATACTGTCTGCGATTTTGCAAAGTATCTTCTTTCTGCTCCTGCTGATTATCCATAGAAGAGTCTCAGCTGATTATCCATAGAACCATCCGCATCCGCAACCTGGAGTTTGTGCGGACCGTTCGTTTTGAGGCCTGTATTGGAGAAAAAAGAATGTAGCGTAGTAGAATGTAGAATGTAGTTGCTGATAGTTTGAGTTCATTCCAAGAGTTTTCACTCCACAAAGTGTCGTGCCCAGCGTTAATTTGGAACTACAATGTCGTACATAGCATGAATGGTGTCTTCTGTTATGCGGATATTGAGATTCATGACCTTGCTGTTCAGGAATTGAACTCGCCAGCAGGGACATGTGATCCATTATGTTCAGTCGATGAGATGAGTTCTTCAGACTTCCAAGAAAATTACAAGCCGAAAACTGATCTCCTGAAGGCGGTCGCTGTCGGAGCAGCTGTTCTTACTGGAGCAGCCGTGGTCAACCACTCGTGGGTAGCTGAAAACCAGGTCTGGTCGTACTCTTTGCATTTCTTTCCAACCCCATTTGTTCGAAATGTCAAAGCTGTCCCTTTTGTCCCTCTTCCAACTGGTTCACTTCTATAATCGCTTCTCAACATCAGCCAATCTCCAGACTTTCCATATTAATAAACATTTTTTAACAACAATTTCTCAAATTGTTTGTCTGTTACGGTTTTGTCGATGGGATCGATTTCGGGAGGCATGGTGTATACCGTTGGTCATCCGTCTTTTGAGAGTGTTAGTCCACCCACGTAATCTCAGAATCTGAAGAGCTCTCAGTTTGTTCCTATTGACGTTGTTTGCTAAGGATAGATACTAGGAGAAGTTTTGGTAGGTATTTCTGCTCAATTTACCCTCCGAGTCCCTCGTCCGTAGCTTATGACGAGCAGAAATTAATGAGTAAAGTTTATTCGCCGATGTGCAGAACTTGGCAATGGCAGGAGTCTTCGTACTTGGGTATGCTGGGATCATTTTTGAAGAAAATCTAACTTTTAACAAAAGTGGAGTGGGGCTCCTGATGGCTGTCACTTTGTGGACTATTCGAAGCATTGGGGTATGGCTTCAACTGAGCCCAAACAATACTCAAATGTATTCAGTGCAAGATTGCTCAATTTACATACACGCATTGGAACTTTTCTTCCAAGTAAATAAGAAGAGAAGAAACTGAAATACGCAACTGAGGACTGCTCAGTCGAGTTCTTTCTGTATCGAAGAATAAACCTTTAATCGAAGATTATTTTTATCACTTCATCCGGAGGTTGATTATGGTTTGATATTGCGAAGAACTATGCATGAGCTGCTTATAAATGTTCTCTTGAAGATGCAACTTGTGAGTCCTGATATTTTCAAATGTTGTCATCTTTCCGCGCACCCCAATCGATTCATGACTCTTGAAATCATACAACGTGATGGCACTACTCTATGTGTGCAGGCTCCCTCAACTGAAGTGGCAGTTCAAGAACTAGCAGTGTCTTCTCAAGAAGTAAGTGAGATCGTTTTTTTCCTGCTTGGAGCGATGACAATTGTGGAAATCGTGGACGCGCATCAGGGTTTCAAACTTGTTACCGACTCCATTACGACACGGAAGCCTCGACTTCTTCTTTGGGTGGTACGTCTTCTCAAAATTGTGATCCATTCTTGGGCAAAACGTCCCTAAAGCTTCGAAGACAACACGTCGGGTATTTCGTAGTGTGATTTCTAGATTGGAGCAACGACGCCTTAAGTTTCCCTTGCGAGCAGTGCAGGGTATTGACTCGTCCGATGTGAATTTGATACTTTATAGACTTAAAAGTGGATGTTAGTTGAATAATGTTACTTTGCTGTTTGACAGATTGGGGGTATCACATTCTTTCTGAGTTCTGTTCTTGATAACTTGACCTCAACTATTGTAATGGTTTCTCTCTTGAGAAAGCTTTGCCCCGACGTCGAGCGTAGGAAGTATGTCTCTACTTCCAGGGAAATGAAAAAGATTTTGTCATGGATTTTGTCAAGATTTTGTCATTTTAGCTAGCTTTTCGTTTTTCATACTCGTTTTCTATGTGGGATATCGTATACGGACGGTCGTCTATGTTTCAGTTTTAAGTCACCTGTATCACGCTCCTTTTCACTTGATTTATGGAATTGATTGCATTTAAATCTCCATCTCATGAGAGTAATGCACCAGGCTTCTTGGAGCTGTGGTTGTCATTGCTGCAAATGCTGGTGGGGCATGGACCCCCATTGGAGATGTGACGACAACCATGCTGTGGATTCACGGACAAATTTCAACTGTTAGGACAATGCAGGTAAGTGTTCTGCCTTCACGTTTACGTCATAATGGTCCGGCTTCGAGTTGAAGTTCATTCAAGTATGGATGAAGGCTTGCTTTTCACTCTTAGAACTTGCATGGTCAAATTTATTTCATTCTTCTCCCTTTACTTGATGGGAATTGTAACCTTATGCCTAAAAGACCTTTTGAAAAACAGATCTGTCAACTATTTCTGCAAGTATGTATGTAGCCTTTATATCATAATTGCTCGTTCATCTGATGATTCTAATTTACTTCTTACAGGATCTGTTTATACCATCAGTTGTTTCACTTCTTGTCCCGTTAGCCCTCTTGACTGCTTTCAGGTTCGTGGATGTAGTGGCATTTTGATATTTGAGGCAGTAGACTTAGATATAACTCATTGAAGTCTGTAGAAACATCGTGATCTGCAGAAAGAATTCATGACAGATACTTGGAGGATTTTATTACATGCGTTGATGCGTGCGTATGAATTCAAGATTTATTGGTGCATCGTATAAGTAAGGCTCACTTTGTACAGATCGAAGTCAAAGCTCTAGTTATTAGTTTTTGCTTTGAAATGTCAGCTCACCTTCGTCGTTTTTCTGTCGCAGTGATAAAGATGACGACAAAAAGGAAGTCCGTCCAGTAATGACAAACGAGCAATTAGCACCAAGGGGCCGATTGGTCTTCGGTGTGGGTCTTGGTGCTCTCCTATTTGTTCCTGTCTTTAAGCAGTTGACAGGTCTGCCACCTTATCTTGGTATGCTCCTAGGTCTCGGTGTACTCTGGATCATCACAGACGCAATTCATTATGGTGACACAGAGCGCCAAAGACTGAAAGTGCCCCAAGCATTGTCGCGAATAGACACACAAGGAGTCTTGTTTTTCCTCGGAATCCTCCTTTCCGTGGGCAGGTTAGTACATCTTCGTCACCATTATTCTTCGTACACAAGATTCACGAGGTCTTCATACCCAAGATTATAGCTAACCACTTGTCACGCGTGTACTAGCTCCATCCATCACGCAACTATCTATCATAGTGGTTAGTTATTGGTTTGTGGTCAAGCTACTTGATCCGTGTACTCTGGTACTTGTCTTAAACCTCCCCTTCATCTGATGATTTTGAAGTGGTTAGTTGGAACTAATCCACTTTTACATGTTACATCGCAGCTTACAGGCCGCAGGTCTTCTCCAAGAGTTGGCTTCCTTTTTGGACCAGAACATACCAAGTGTAGAGCTCGTGGCAAGCATTATTGGCGTTGCCTCAGCCATTATTGACAATGTGCCTCTGGTAGCAGCCACTATGGGCATGTACAATTTGGATACTTTCCCAATGGACGACGAGTTGTGGCAACTCATTGCGTATTGTGCGGGCACGGGAGGCTCAATCCTTATCATCGGATCTGCAGCTGGAGTGGCATTCATGGGCATGGAGAAAGCTGACTTCTTTTGGTACCTCAAAAAAGTAAGTTGGCCTGCTGCCTGAACCCAGTTGAATGCTAAGTATCTAGCCTGCTTTGCGACTGGTTTTGAGTTAAAAAGTCTCCCTCGTTAGGAAAAATCTATTTTCTACCTGCGGTTTTTTAGAAGAAGCCTGTGATTTGGCTGTGTTAAATGATCCAATCCGTTTGGCGCTGGGCTACTCTGAACTACATAAGGAACCTTTGCGGAACACGCACAGTTTGAGTAGAGTAAAAGGTTTTAACAGCATCATAACTTCTTTCAGTACAACACAGTTCCAGTATTTGGTCTCCTTGCCTTATAACTTATGAGTGGTGACCTGCAGGTTAGTGGATACGCTTTTGCTGGGTATGGTGCCGGTATTGCAACATACCTCGCCTTTTACCATCTGCATGAGAATCCAGTGGCCTCCGTGTTGGGACAGCTCCCTTTTAGTCCCTGAGCGTAACAGATTATGCTGGAATGACCTGCGATTCTGGTGAAGCTCTGCTGGCCACGCTATAGCTTTGCTTCCCTTCTTACTTCAGTGTAATTAATTGAACTACGAGTCTCCATTTTACAAATCACGCCACGTAGAGCGACCAGTAATGAGTATGTCCTTATGTGCGCATGACAATAACGGTTTTTGAGAAGCCAAAGGATAGAGATTGCAACGATATTCGGGCAACGGTATTTATAGCTGACATTTCATTTTTGATCGATAAATTTTGGATTATACCTACCAAGAGCGTTCTTGAATGTCAAGTTTCTCTGCTTGAAGAACGTATACTAATGAAATTTTACAGAGGTAGAACTTAGCATGTGTATACCGTATCTGACAATGTCGTCACGTTATTCAAACTGGATTTCGGAGGATTTGAGATCAATCATACAGCGGTCTACGGTAGCCTCAAAGGCCGTGCACAGCTAACTAAATAACACCTTTTGTATACTAGATTGTGAAGAGGTGCAGTATTTAAAGGAGGGAAAGAAACTTCCTTTGATTTCACTTATGATGTCTTGTAAACTACCGCATTGGTGTTGCGTCATTGACACTCGTGATTGGACGGTTGGATGGACACCTTACCCTTTCTTTAATTTATGTGGACATCAAAGAACATCTCTCTACATATTTCCAGTGAAGTCGGGTGCATGTACTAATGAATACAACAAAACTTCTTTATCACCGTTTTCATATTTGGGTGGATTCCAGCACTAAACCGGTATCGCAGTGGTATTAAATGTAAGATTCAACCGCACTGAATTTTGGTATCATTGGTATCTTTGGTATCATTGCTGAAAATTCAGCAATGATACCAAAGCCGTCATTGCTGCAGATATGATCCTGAATAACATAGATGACGATGGAAGGATTGTAAAAGATGCTTACGGGCCAACTAGACGTAAGCAGGCCTCTCTATATAGGGTGGATTCAGTATGTTTCGTATCTCAACAAAATGAGGATAATTCTCATATCAAAATACGGAATATACGAAACTTGACAGTTTTGGGCCGAATTTTGACCTAAACTCTCATGTTTTAGGTCGAATTTGTCGGCAATTTAATACACCTTCGAGAGAAATGGGTGTTATCTTTGATCTCTGTATATACTTTTCCCATTTTAGCACGGAGAAATCACTCTCCACACAGTTGGAAGTGTTAAAAAATCGTGAAACTAATACTACGAAAAACTCCATGAGTTGAAGAAATCCATTTTTAAAACCTGGAATCAGACTTTTCAGTCAAAAGATTTTTGTGCACCTAGAACATTGACTTCGTAATGTTCTGGGTTCACTATTTTATCCTTGTACTTTTGTTTAAGAGAAAATTTGAAACTATCTTGATAGAATCTTAGAATTAATTGAATAATTGTTTGTGTTTTCAAAGCTACAAGTGAATGAGGTAACCAAGGAAACAAAATACTAAAACTCGGTTGAACTCATCAGGTGTTGCCGCCAAGTTTTAGTTAAGTATTCATTTAGTTTCTCAAGTAAAGTAAAGGTAATGAACAAAGAAATTGTCACAAACGATCAGGGCAAAGATTTAGCTGAATATTTACGTAAATTTCTCTAGTAAAATCATCTACATCAACAAAGATTTGTCAAAAATTGTCACCCCAAAGGTTTAAGGAAGTGACTCCCTTAGTTTCCCTAGTAAAGACACCTAGCCAACAAAGACTTTTTGTTAGAAAATAGGGAACTTTCTGAAAACGAAATACGGCACTTTGGCCCTCAAGTTACTTATGTGCCGTATTTAGAGAGGCCTGCCACATCCCCTCTTACACTGCAATGGAGTTTTATATCCATTTGATTCATAAACGAAATAAGGCACTTTGGCCCTCAAGTTCCGTATGTGCCGTATTTAGAGAAGCCTGCCACATCCCGTCTTACACTGCAATGGAGTTTAACATCCATTCGATTCATAAACGCTAGTGCTTGCAGTAGGAAGTTTAGAGAAACGTTTGGGTGGCATCTCATATGAGTCATATGAGATGACTGACCTAATATGCCCCCGGTTTTTCTAAAGGTTTTGATAGAAACTGAACGTGAATGAATTTGTGTTTAGAATGTCCATTGTCTCCGGTAGATGCAGGTACCTTGTAATTGTAGAGTAAAGATGTCTCCGTAAATAAAGGGTAGAATAAGTAGGCGCACCCGCGTAGTCTAATTTAGGTAGTTTAGGTGTCTCGGCATACGATCGCCTACACTAACAGGCCGGATTATGACGCCTGATATAATCTGGATATTGATATTTCGAGACTAATACTATATTATCATCAGGGCCTCAAGTCAGTAGTTATGCAAAGTTATGAAGAAGTTCAAATTGTTCCCCGCATATGCAATGAATCAAGAGTACAGTAATGTGCAGGGCATATAAAAAGTTTCAGCACAATGAAAGTTAGGTATGGATGAAGATTAACCGATAACTATCCTTTGACCTTTGAATCGAGAATAATCAATGTGAACATACGCTTCACTCAAGTTTGTAGCAGTGTCACTTATAAATATTGAGAATGTATCGAAATATCCAAAGCGTTGTTCAATTGATGTACAAAAAGTAACTACTTGGAGTTGGAAAATGATAAAACATAGTCTCCGATTAAGCCAATACACAAAAACTAGGAGCAGTAGACTAAATACACTCAGTAATAAGAAGAATGACCTAGCAACATGGTTTACATTCATGATTAAATTAATCTAGAGTCTACTAAAATTGATGGTAGTCGGAGAAAAGGATTTTGTAAATGTTTAGACCACCGAGCAAAGTAAAATAAGATGTAAAGTGATATATTAGAATAGTTGTGTTCAGTAAATGCTATTATATATTATATTAAATCATCTAAATCATATTATTTTTTTCTCAATAGCATTGGTTGGACATTGAGTTGTTAAAAGTTTGGAATATGATACTAAATGATTTCACACTTCTTTAAGGTTTGTCATATAAAACCTATCAAGCACACGTACTTACCTCATTATAATATTTTTATTCTTTGATTTTCTCTGATTTTTTATTTCTAATATACTCTTAGATTTTTTCTAAGTATCTCATCTTAAGTGCATCATCATGTCATTAATCATACACACTTTATGTAAATTCTTGTGTTTTCACTTCGTATTTCAATTCAATCCCAGATTCAAATCTCCATTTGCTTCAATTGATTTTTTTCAATTTTCAAGCAATTTGATTTTTCACTTAGGTACATCTCCATTGAAGTTTGTTGACTATCCATCAGCGAGTTGTGTCATTCAAGTTCTCTAGCCCTCGAATTTCAAAGAGTGTCCAAGCCGCAAGTGCTTAGCTTTGGGGCAAGCTGGGGAGACCGGGGCCAATTCAGCGCCGTCTAAAGGGCGACGGGACGGAACAAGAAACCGGACAGAAGAGGTCAAGATGGTAGAGCGGTAGGCACAACTACTTCAGGGGCTACTTATCCCCTCGCCTTCCCCCGCCTTCGCTTTGCCCCTTCCGTCCGCTTGGAAGCACCAGAGAGCGACGGTTTGGCACCTCCGCAGGGGCTCGGATGGGGCTGGGGCTGGGGCTGGGGCAAGGGACGAAGGATACACACGCACCGTCGCCTTGCGGGGATCGCAGTCCTCGGCCTTCCTTTCATGGCTCGATCGAACCAGCTCTTCGGCCTCGCTCAGTTCAGTTTGGTCGTGGCATGAAATTCCTCGTACCCACCGGATGACGAGAAATTGCGCCGGGCGCTTGTTGCCGTGCTCGTGATTGTGCCTCGCGGTCGATTTTCGTTTCGCTTTTTTGAGCTCGATCGGAGGCGGCGAAGAAATCGAAGCGATCGATAAGGAGGTTGAGGAGGAGCAGGAGGAGGTGATGCAATTGTAGCGCAGGCAATCATGCCTGTGTTTAAGACTGCTTACAATGGATACGCGGTGCGGTTCAGTCCGTTCGTGGAGAATCGGTTGGCCGTGGCAACCGCGCAGAATTTTGGGATAATCGGAAATGGGCGGCAGTACGTGCTGGAGTTGTCACCTAATGGGATAGTGGAGGTGGTGGCGTTCGACACGGCCGATGGGTTGTACGATTGCACGTGGTCGGAGGACAACGAGAATATTTTAGTGTCTGCGAGCGGAGACGGGAGCATTAAGGTATGGGACATCGCAGCTCCTCCGATGGCGAATCCTATCCGGAGTCTGGAGGAGCACTCGCACGAAGTGTATTCGGTCGACTGGAACGCCGTCCGGAAGGATTGCTTCTTGAGCGGCTCGTGGGATGACACAATTCGACTGTGGACGGTCGACATGCCTCGATCGCTGAGGGTTTTTGCCGAGCACTCGTACTGTGTGTACAATGCAACGTGGAATCCCAGGCACGCGGACATTTTTGCCTCCGCTTCCGGAGACTGCACGGTGCGAATCTGGGACATTCGGGAGCCTCGCTCCACTCTGGTCATTCCAGGCCACGAGTACGAAATTCTTTCCTGCGACTGGAACAAATACAACGAGACGATGCTGGTCACGGGCTCTGTCGACAAGTCTCTCAAGGTTTGGGATGTGCGGAATCCCCGGCAGGAAGTCACTCGGCTGCTGGGCCACACTTACGCCGTGCGACGGGCCAAATTCTCACCTCACCGTGAGAATCTCATAGGCTCGTGTTCTTACGACATGACTGTGTGCGTGTGGGATTACCGAGCTCCCGAAGATGCCCTACTCTTCCGATACGATCACCACACGGAGTTTGCAGTGGGTCTGGACATGAGCACCCTTGTGGATGGGCTTCTCGCCAGCACCGCTTGGGATGAGAGTGTGTTTGTCTGGCCGCAGGGCATGGACCCTAGGGCCTGAGGAAGAGCTGATCGCCGGTTGCCTGAGTCTCGTATTTCCACATGCTGCTCGAGTTGTTCTCTGCCCCAATTCATATTGCCTTACACACTTCAGTCTTGAGCTTCTTCAATGTGGCCTCGGCGTTCTGTAGCTTTGCAACTTCACAAGAATTCACGCATGAATGCCTGTTACTGTCCAAAAAGTCTCGAAGGACCTCTGGACTGAGAAATAAATGTACATAGTTATGAAGCAAAATATTTCATGGCATTCGGAATTTCGAGTGTGAGGTATGTTTTATTCCTGTGTCACTCCTCTCTCTTCCTCTTCTCCAGTCTCAGCTTTCCAGTGTCTCGAATTTTCTTTCAGAGCATGTTTGGGGTAAGAGACGACCAACAGAAGTTTGGAACATAAAACATTGGGTCTTTCTAACCTTGAATGTGTGTCCAAGGCACAAGCACTGCACCAGTGAAATGGCTCCTTTCGTCTGGATCGTATTTCTTCACGGTCATTGTATTTGTTTGGGAAGAGGGTAATTCCACTTCTTTGACGGAGGAGAAATCTCCGAATACATATGGAGACTCCTCCTCCGACAGAGAAGAAATGACAGACTGTACCTGCCATCTCTCCTGATCGCTCTGTTCGGAACTCGCTGTGGAAAGTGATTCACTGCATTGTATCGCTGAATTTTGAGTGGATATAGCTTTGGCGCAGATTGGGAGGTGTCACTCCGATGGGGTTGGAATGCCTTATAGCTCGATGATCACTTCTTACTCCTAAGCACTATGTGCTTCCTTTCCTCGACCCTGGTCCTGTGCATTCAAGCGGATTGAAGCACTCTGTCAATCCCTAAACCAGTTCCAGCTTCGAGATATTTGTTTCTGAGGCACGTCGGCTCATTGATAAAGTTCACTTGTGTAAATGCCTTTCGTCGTTGACTGCACTATGCAGATTTGTTTGGTAGAGACTTCCGATATCCAGAGTCCATCTCTCGTTTAAAACGAGTGTGTCGGACGATATGTCTTTTTCGACATGTTTTTCATTTCTTTCTTAGATTCTTTCAATGTACATGTTTATCCACATGTACATTGATAGGTTTATTTCTACCAAGGATTCAGAAATGCCTGGATTGAAGTCGTGCAATCAGAACTCATTGAGCAGGGTTGAAATTTTATCTTTCTTCTGCCCTCGTAGGATTCCACGCGTTCTTGCATTCCAGTTCATCCGCGTTGCTTAGCACAATTACCACACTAATATGTCTCTCGTGCATGAGTTCGACTGAGTAGAGTCAGGTGCAGGGCATTGCGAGGGCACTAATAGTGGTTTTGGCTGTTTTTTAATGGGAGATGCAAGCAGAGCCTTTGAAACATTAGTGACAGACTCAGCTCCAGGTCTGATCAAAACTGATCAGGGTGGAAAGAGAATACAAATATGATCTCTCCCTTGGACCTGCTGACTTCGAACCCTTCTATCGTGGAACACCTCCTGCCTGTTTGTTGTCTCGGGACGCAGTCACAAATCAAGGTCAGAATGTGGTTGTCCTCTCGATGTGGAACCAGAAGACATGAAGAGCAAGTTGTGGAACCACTGACCTACTTGCTCAGGGTGTTACCGAGACGAGATGCCGGGAATGCACCCTCCCTGGTATGAGGAAATTGTTTCTCAAACTCCCTCACCTTGTGCTTTCGAAGGACTGTCTATGGAAGTCAGTAGCCTCGAGCGAAACACAAACATTCGCTTTGCTTAAGTTTTGTCCTGCTTCTTTCAGGTTTTACAACCGTCAGGTGAATGATTTAGTGAAAAGCTTCTTGAGCTGTCCTTGGAAAAGCCGAACATCAACGTCAAATCTCACCACAAGAAAGACTTCTTCACTAACTCGAGTAGTTCTCGTTTTCCCTTTTACCTGCTGCTTTTCCGTCTCCTCCCATCTACCCTTTTTCCACTATTCTTCTTAACGCTTGGGGTTTCTGGTTTTAGCCTGTAATAGGCGCAATCTAATAATGAAAGCTTCCCTCACTAGCAGAGATCTTTGCGTCAATTTCAGGACACTTTTAAGACAACAAATCTTTTGGATCGGAACTTTGAGAGATAGAGATGGCCCCTTGAAACCTAGGAGTTGGAAGCGGTTTCTGCGATTGGAGAGATCACCCGTCTCCACGACACAGGACGAAGTTTGGAATTTCATGCAAGGAGAATTTATTGAGGTCTTGACTGGGTGCTCAAATGAAAGTCAATCCTGAGCTCTAAATCAAGAGAAGACCAAGACGGCGAGCCTGGAAGCTCATTCCTATCTTTGTGCACATTTCGGTCGCTTTAGTTTACCACCCTTTTTTAGACCAAAGAGTGGTGGCATCATACCAGAGCCTGATAGAACTGTGGGGAGCCAGAAGAGCTCCCAGATCTCGCTCCTTGAGATTCAGAGCTCTTCTCAGAAATGCTGTGCTGTCTCAACTGATCGAGTAAAGAGGTTTTCGAACACCTGAAATTGACGTCCTTCTCGCGAAAATATCTGAAACGTTAGAGAGATTCTCTTTTCTCGACACGCTTATCGGTCAATCTGCCTTACTATCTCGTAGTTTTCTATCATCAGTAGCACCGCGCAGAGTGCTTTCGGCCTTCGAGCTCCAAATTGAAAATTATGGGTACAAATCTTCCACCCGGAGTGCAAGTAGCGCTTCAGCTGGTTGGGGTCACTCTCCAATAAGTCCAGATGAAGACAGACTCTCACTGACAGAATGACATAGGAGCTACACTTCTGCATCCTATTCCTTGTCATTTTAAAGCGTTGCGCTCGCAGATGTTACACAAGCAGTGGATGGACAGTTTGTGTAGTTGTGATTGTTTCAGGTCATGAGAGGGAGGAAATTGCGACGCTGCCATTCTCATAATGAAAGATTTCATGCGTAAGGCTATCCAAAGGGATCTCGGTGCGAAGATTTGGTCCACTTGTCAGAGAACGTCGAGCCAATGGATTCTCCCGATGCAGCCCCCGCTAGGTTCGGCGAAAGTCAACCCACGAAGCGGATTAAGGCGAATCTGAACTAAGCCCTATCTAACCTCGGTACAAGGCAGTCGCTGTAGATCTTCGTTAAAGAGAGCCTGATGATGATTTTGAAGATAATCATACGCGATTCCAGCAGTCCTCTAACTCAATTTATGCAATTGGAGGCGAGGAAATTACTTGATTGGACCCCAGTCAAACTCAAAACACTTGAGGGACCCATCACTGGTGCCTGTGGCTTTCGAGCAAATTGATCAGAGCTCGAGGTTTCCCTTTCTGACTCAATCAGATTTTGAAAACAGACCGGCCTGCCAGACATCTGGCAAGCGTTCCTCGGTGACCGGAATTCTCGAGTAAGGATGCCGACCTGATAGGATCGATTGAAATTGATCGATCGAATTATAGGAACAAAGAACTAGCGAAAGGAAGTCTCTATGAACAATCCTTGTCTCGTGTCTAAGCGATGTTCGATTGCTGCACCATTGCTGGAATCACAGGCAAAGGAACCGGGTCGAAAGATTGCTCTTGTTCATGATCCATCGCTAGTTATAAGAAGTTTATTGGAATAAGAGTGACAGTAACCTGCATGGCCGTCGAGTGGGGTTTCATAGGGTAGAATGAAAACCAATGGGTAGCATCCAGAGGGTCCAGTTTCTCAGGGGTCCCTTCAAAGAATTTATCCAATTAAAGTCTATATTCTCTAATTCAAATAATCATAAAATTTTGCAAAAAAAACTCTTATTTGAACATTGGAAAAAAATCACTCCCTTTTCTTAGAAATTGAATAATAATTCCTTTACAATTTACATGGTAACCCATTTACGTTATCAGCCGAAAACTAATATTTTCAACAAAATATAGTTTCAACAGTAAATATATTTTAATTATTAATTTAATTTAAAACAGAAATTGTTATACATTATTTCAACTGTTATTCCTGTAATACGCGATAAGTTACTATTGACTCCGGTGACCCCCTAACCCATCACCCACTCCTCCCTCCCGACAAACCACCGAGGGTGCGTAGGTTCGGCCCCCAAGCACAGGAACCGCCTAATCCCGAGCCGAAGGGTGCAGGATTGGTAGCCATGAAGGAGAACGGACAGCTCCAGGGGCTTAGAGAACAGCAAAGGCCAAATTGCGAAGGCGTGCCAGTCATTCGTAGTCCTCACAAAATGTCGCGATTTATCCACTGCTGCCGTCCATGTGGCCACCATGGACCGCAACCCCGATTCGGAATCTGCTCGTTGGCAAGCGGGGGCAAAGAACGACATTGATCCCCTTCCCCCCGCGAGGAAGAATGAGTGACAGAATCGAGCAGCTCTGATCTCCCGGCCCCCAGCCACCAGCACCAGAAGCACCAGCAGCTGCAGGGGGTTATTCGGGTGGGGGGCAAAGGGCGAGGGGGCAAGGAGGCGGAGGAGGACTCATGGCAGTCCAGGCATTAGCCACCGGGACGGCCCCGGCCTCTCTCTGCTCATCACAGGCGCAGGCACTCCCATCGGCGGCAGCGAGGGGCGAGTTCAGCAGCACCAGCAGCCTGAGAGTTCCGCGCAAGCTGCAGCATTCCCATCAGCGCCGGCGATGGCGCATCGTGGCAGCAGCGAGCGACGAGGGAATCGTCGACGAGGACGAGAAGGGCAAGGGAATCTTCAACTTCGTGACCGACAACGCGTCGAGCAGGGGCGCGATTCAGCTGCCGAACACGCCGGCGCAGGATGGCAATCTGGGCCAGATGATCACGGCCATCGAGAACAAGGGCCGCGACTACGGCGCTTACAAGCGAGCCGGGGACTACAGCTGGTGGGTCCGAACGCTGGGCGAGCCCCAAGCGCCGAAGGGCACGGTGCTTCTGCTGCACGGAGCCCCCGCGCAGTCGTACAGCTACCGCGATGTCATGAAGCAGCTCGCCGCGCTGGGGTACCGCGTCTACGCCCCGGACTGGCTGGGCTACGGGTTCAGCGAGAAGCCCCAACCGGGGTACGAGTTCAAGTACACGGAGGAAGCTTACCACCGCGAGCTCGACAACCTCCTGGTGCGGCTCGAGATCGAAGCCCCGTTCTTCCTCCTCACGCAGGGCTTCATCGTCGGCTCGTACGGGCTAACGTGGGCGCTTAACAACCCCAGCCGGGTGTCAAAGCTGGCGGTGCTTAATACGCCGCTAACCCCCTCGGCGCCTCTGCCCAGTCTGTTCCAGCAGCTGCGAGTGCCTTTCCTCGGCGAGTTCACGTGCCAGAACGCCGTGCTGCCGGAGCGATTCGTCGAAGGGGGCAGCCCTTACGTGCTCGAGCTCGACGATGCCGATGTTTACAGGCTGCCATATCTCGACAGCAGCGATCCGGGCTTCTCGCTGCTCGAGTCCACGCGCAAAGCGCCCGTCAAGGACCTCACGGCGCGAATTGCTCGAGGATTCGCCTCCTCGAGCTGGCAAGTGCCGACCATCGTCGCCTGGGGCGAGTCCGACAAGTACCTGCCCAAGTCGGAAGCCGAGGAATTCGCCAAGAGCAATCCGGATGTGATCAAGACCGCCATGCTCAGTGGAGCCGGCCATCTGCCCCAGGAAGACTGGCCCGAGAAGGTCGTCGAAGCCATCGATGGGTTCTTCCGCGCCTGAATTGGAGCTGCAGGCGAGTAAGAATTTTTGTAAGTATGTATTTTTTAGTAAATTCTGTAGCGATTCGCTCCCCCTGAGTTGTACCATTAGAATTCGTCGACCTCTTGCTCGATGGAGCCCAACTTTTGGTTCATCAATGCCTGCCTGGCCTTCGCTATGAACCGGCATCGTGCGTTGTGAGCTGAGGCCTTGCCCATTGCGTCCATTGGCCCTTCCATCCTCGTCTCGCAGCTGCAATCAGAGTTCAGAGCCGTGTCTGATTGTCTTAAGAACCTTCTTGTAGTGCTCTGGCTGCTCGTGAGCATTTGTGCAGTAATATTTTTGCAGGCAGTCTGAGATTGTAGAAATTTCTGAAAGCATTAACTTCATAAGCACCAGCAAGTCACTCAAGGATGTGGTCGACGTAGTTCCGATCAGATGAGGTGTGGTGTCCCTAGCCTTCGGGGTTCTCTGTTTGCCATTCTCTGCATCCTGTTGTGGTTTGGTGCTGAATTCGAAGAATTTGTGAAGGATGTGTCGAATTTGGTTCCTTCAAAATTGGCGGGAGTCTCACCAGCAGAGCCAGTTGTAGCTGTTTGTGATCCCTCGGATGTAGTCGCACCGATTGTATCATCAAAGGTTTAAGGTCAGGTTCAAGATTCTGGGAGAGAGTACGGTGAGGCGAGGGGTCATCTTTACCAAAATTCAGCAGGTGTGGCACTGACAGAATCTCAAATGCAGGTGAATCTCCTGGTCTTATTTTTACAGTTTGACTTACCCACTAACACACACAACTCAGACACAAGTTCCTCGAACACAAGTACATGTTCGAGAAACTTATGACTGAATTGTATGTGCACAATCCGCAGGTTTCTCCACAGATGTCATATTCATGCTTTTTGATCTGGAAGTCAAGTACAGGAGGTTCTCACTCCAGTCATTACCACTATCTGAACCGGTTGACATTCCTGATTCCTAGCAAACCAAAATTTTTCTAGTTCAGCGAGTTAGAAAACATTCATGTTTATGGTTCATGCATTCCACAGCCAGCAGCACAGTGGATCCCGATGCCAAAACAGGGAATCTAGCTCCCGGCGTGCTTCACTAGTTAGCCTATCCATCCAACTGCTTGTGGTACTCTTCGTGCATTCACTCTACTGACTTTTGCTCGGAAAAACCAAAATGAAGATTGCGTGCCCTTTGCATTGGAAAGGGGTTTAGACTACAGGATGTCATGTCGGGAGCCGAGTCTATCTCTCGATACCATTTGCTTCGAATTTAAGTGCAGGGAACCGAGTATTCCTCAGGGCCGTCTCTGTTTTGTTCTCCAGCTTCGAAGGCCACACCCGCTTGGAATAGCCTCCTTGAAATTCCCGCCTCTTGGTCATCTGTGCGATGATAACACTGCTCACATTGCTTAGAATATAATTCAATCTCTTTTTTCCAAGTTTGACCATCCCTTTCTTCTGGAAGCACAAAGAGCCTGTTCGAGACATACTGGGTAGTAGATTTAATTTGAACACGATGGTGGGGCTCGAGTATGTATATATATATATATATATATATATTATTTACTTATTTATTTATTTGCTGCCCTTGTAACTACCAAAACAGTATAAGAGTTCTCTAATAAGGCTTGTCATCAGGCGAGCACCGAACGGAAGTCTTGACTAAATTCTTTTAAAGTCATCGTTACTACTTTGGGCACCCAACGCCGACTCGATATTTGCCATCATAAGATGCTGCGCTGTCCGCGCGCACCCACTAGTCGAATGGCTGTCCTTCCATTGTGTGCACTGCAGGTGAAGCCTTCGAAAGACGTGTGAACACTCTTCTTCGGATAAGTTCTGTTGGATCTTATTCACACTCCTCAGGAATGCATATGTCACTGGTCGTCTTCAACGAAAGTAAACACGAGCACGGAATGCACAGTAACAACAGCATAGATATACAGTCTCAATCTCACGAACAGAGTGAGATAATCAAATAGGGAAGCATCGTGTAGAGGAGAAGAAAGAAAATGAAAGGTATCAGATTTGCAAACTGGTGTGGAAATGTGTCAAACATTTCACGGTGGAGAATGTTCTATAGCGGGTTTGGGTCCAATGAGAGATGTCAGAAAATACGTGACAGACATTCACTCATTCACAGAGTGGTGTTGTATGTAGAAGGTTTGAAGGAGGGTTAAAGGTAACGTGGACTCTTTCCCCCAAGTAATTGTAACAGCACAACCAGACAAACCGTTATCTTCATACAATTCGCAGTTGAGAGGCTAAGTGGAACTTGAGTTGTCACACTATCCCACTTGCCACCCTGTCATCCCTTATATGATGAAGGGTCTCCCAAAGCTGAGATCCGACTGGATGTTACGTGAAGATGATTCTAGCTTCTTCCATGCTCTTTCTTGTCGTTTTTCACTTACTTCTCTTCTCTGATTGTGTGTGTGGCTTTTTGTCTGTCTAGGTAGCTGTCTGATCATGACAGGTGACCAAAAAAATTTAAAATCTCGTCCTTGTATTGAGTGCCCATGGTTTAAGTACTTATGAAGTGGAAAGAGTGGAAGAATATGTTTATGATCGATATGAAGGGTGGATCAATACAGGTTGCCCAAATTCGGTGGTGGGTTTCGGAGGAAGATATGTGACATTTTTCCAAATTGCAAACGATCAAGAATTTTTGAAACCACTAACCAATTTGTATTATCATTGTCAATAACACTATGATTCAAAAAAAGGAACCTGATTTTCGACGATGAATTTTGCAATATATACAACTGGATTATTTATTTGCATCTATAACACAAGCATATATAAAGCGTGGTAGTCATTTATTTCAGTACATATGGCTGTGAGATATAATCACATATGGAGGCACTTGAACCTAGTAAAATGGGTGCAATGATATATTCATATATAAGAATATACATGCTCTACGTAATGAGTAACGCTCACCATAGATCCACGCATGGTGAGCGTTCCGTCTTAGATAGCGCATAGTCCCCTAAATACATCATCCACAGTCAACTCAGAACTTGCTATAATTGCAAGCATGTTTATTGACAATTTCTTAATAAATGGATCTCCGTTTTTTATTTTTATATCATTTCTAGTTCTACCCAAAAGACTAAATTCTAGTGATATTTCAAGAAGACCATTTCCTTATTAAATAAATTCAAATAGCACATGTTCGATGCTATTATAGCTAAACTCCACCATGAAACATCGATTGGTCCAATCACAGTGCTCCACTATACAATTATCAAATCACTGTGTCCATCGAATACGTTAATTTAATGAATTCTAAAAATATTGATAGTATTTTCACACGTAATATATCCCATCTATTTCTAAATCAACATTGATATATTGTGATAGATGGATTTAATTCGACCCTCACAATTAGCGTTCAAACTCAATCACTGACCACGATCTCACCAGCGTAATTCCTAAACTACTGATTCTAACAGTTGTAGAAGCTCCCTTGCCATAGACTGTGCACATGTTGACAGGGTCGACTGTACGTAGACTTCTCTGGATCGTATAGACTATGAGCACGTCCAAGTCTTCAAATGGTGCTAGCAACGAAGAGATTGTTGCTTCTATATTCTCCACCCATCCTCTAGCCTCATCAATGACAATGGATCCAAATCCTCGAAAGGTGTCCGCCGATTTGGCACACACCTCCAAAAGTTCCAGCTCCTTCTCACTCAAAGAGTTGGATGGCTCCCCGATCACACACTTTCATTCAAGCACCAAGATGCTTGATACTTGGTGCTTAGCTCTGAGGCCTAGAAGCAGCTCACATTCATCCCAGACACAGGAATACGTAAGCGATCGAATTTCAAGCACCAGAGTTTCTGCTACGTAGTTATAGCTCGACCTTGAGGAGTACTTGACGAGACTCTACGAGACGCCAGAGGCTCTTTTTCAAGCACCGATGTCATTTTTGTCATTGTGCTTGGTACAGACAGCTATGGGATGAAGTCCGTGACATTGGTTCCGAAGTGTCGAGGTACGGTCGAGGCTCTTGATGGATTTACTGGAATATAAAATGGAGCAAGTGTTGCACTCTGAGCAACAGAGACGATACGAGATCTCACAACGAGAGCGTAATGAATTCTGTCGATCCAAGACGAGCTACCGCAGCATTTAAGCACGAAAGCGAATGAGGGAATTCAAAGCTTGTGAGTGAGTATCCAGGCACCCAAAAAGCTCGAGATGTATTAAAAGAGAATTAATATCTCGAGGGTTCAGGTATACAGGGAAGGGATCCGAACAGTGATCTGGTAATTAGGATCGAGAGCTTAAACGGGAGCGTGGCGGTAATCTGAATCACATTGATATGGAGGTCGAGGCGGCAAGAAGAGCGGGAGAGAGTGATGGGTGCCGCATTCGGGCGTTCCATTCGAGCAGAAACTGTGAGAGCAGCTGCTCTGAAGTGCGCGAGACGAGAAGCCCGTCAACCAGATAATCACAGGAAATGCGCTCGCACTGTAGAGCTGTAAACTGGATGAATTGTACCGGATTCCGAGGAGGACGAGGACGAGCGGGAGTAGGAGGAATGTCTGTACTGTCGTCTCCCAAGCCTGAGCTCCAGCAGTACTCACTCGCTCTCTACCCTGCGAATGTCCCAATCGGTATGATTCCAGTCTTAGAGCAGCTCCAATCTCTAGCTTCGAGCTCGCACACGTCGAAGCTGTTGATAGTTGGAGCTGATGTTGTACAAGAGTAGTCGGAACGCTTTTCACAAGGCTGTACTTTCGACAGCCGGCGCACCATGTCCTCCTCAATTGCCCACTTGCCGGGACGGTGTTGTTGTAGTCGTGTAAGATGCTGGCCATGGAATGTGGTTGTGGTTGTAGTTGCAATCAACATGAATTTCTCAATTTCATGGGGCATTTAAGGGGAAGCGAGAGAAGGTCAGCGTTTCTCCTTATCCTCGACGAAGTGGAGAAGACTTGCGGGTGCTCGACCTCATATTTCGGCAGTTTCCACGGGGGTTGATGCTCAGGGAGGGAGGGGGATGCTCGACATCATTGCAAACATTTCCAGCTTCGACACTTTAACGCTCAGCATTCATAATGCAAGAAGTTTCCCTGTGGAGGATATGTGTGATAGGTGCTGCAGCCTTGCGCTTTAAGTTGACCCCCTCTCCTCGTCCTCCTCGTCCTCGAGTGAGGTCTTTGTGCAATGAAAGTGATATAAGCTCGCGCACTTTTTGATGCATCGAAAGTGTGAGCGAGGGTGATGTACCGGTTGGAGAATTGGGACGAATGAGGAAGAACCATTGTAGCGAAATGCATCCACATTCGACATTCATTGTAGATGCATGACACCTTCCCCCAATCATATTACTCGCTCACTTCAAAGCTCCAAGACGAAGATGAGCTGAGCCTCTACAGAAAGCGTGACATGATCTGTACATCAGCTCTGTGAGCATGCAAATGCACCAGCCCATGTTCCTGTGTCACGATACGTTCACTGTTATACACTTGAATAATTCACGAGCATTAAATTCATTCGACCAGTTTTGGATCCCATGGGAGGTGACGTGAGATGTGTTTCCTCGACGAGTCAAGCATTCGAGGAGTTAAGCATTTTAGAGCGCTTAATCATTCGAATTAAACGAGGAAAACTGTAGACCCGAGACTTAAACGTCCGCCTTCCACGATCCTTTCTATGATGACAAGAACTTATTCGAGAGAATTATTAAAGTTCAATGGCCTCGGTGCAGGACCTTACCGCCTGGGAGGCAAGCGAGTGCTTAAGTAATCAACGGGTCGAAAGGGGATCGAACCCGTGTTGCATAGACAACAGATGCTCAGCCTGCCAGATTTCATGAATCGTGGTGACACAGTCCCGAGCCACCTATCTCTGAGATTCTCGAATCGCCAGGTTTGAAGACTGCAGATAGATATAAAGCAAAAAGTAGCCAGCAACCAAACCGTCCAATAATTAGTTGATCTGAATAAATCGTACAATTCTACAACATTCAGTCTCATGGCAAACTTGAATGGCGAGATGCCGAAACACCAACCGCGGCTGCAGATGATGCCGAGCCGATCAGTGCACTGGAATTCGCGCTACGCTGCCCCCTGTGGATGCCAAATCTCGGTGCATTCCTGGAAGACGATTGGTGCTGCAGATGGAATGCCTCGAGCTGAGCTCTCACGAGAAGCAAGCAAGCCCCTGAGTCATGTCGACTGTGGAGATACGTAGCGATATGCGTTACAGCGACCTGCGAGCTCACTTAATACTTTGCCCACCTTCCGATCCATCATTCATGCGGTTAGCTGGGCCGGCTAAGCGTCATGTGATTAGCACACTCTGGAGAGCCCGAGGCGCTGCTGTCATTGCCTCACGCCCTTCCTCAAGGCTTCGGTCGGACCGAGAGACATGACCAATCGATCTCGCGGATCGACCTGTCCCGATTCCTGTCATTTATCATGCTGCAATCTTCAGCTGTTCTTGAAGAGAATCTCGCCCCGTGCGTTCTTGGAGCATGTTCTTGCAGCCCGGACCAGTTAGAGCGCGACTGAAACTTGCGAGGCCTGCATTCTTTCTATAACTGAACACTCTCTCCCAGTCGACCTCGTCACTGTAATGGCACACCAGTTTGGTGCTCTCCATTCCAGCCATTCTCGTGATAAAATCTTTAATTCGTATTTGCAGCATATTGTTTTGGTCGGAAACCTGCTCCGTTCCAGCCCCCACGTTTCCATAAAAAATTAGCATCATGTATCACGTCGACGTACCCAGAATTAAATGTGCCCAAAACTTGGCGAGAGACATCGCTTTTAAAATTACAGTAGACAATGTGATATTGCCTCAGTGCATTCGAAGATTGGATGATGGGATCGAGAGACCTTTCAAATTTGGAAAAGTGAGAGCCGCATAAGAAGAACGAGAAAAAGGTGCTGGAGTTTCTCGTCTGGACTTCGAAATGTGCACAGATAGAGTTTGGGAACTGCCAGCTCGCAACAACAAACATGCCATGGCAGAGGGGAACTGTAAGCACCCGCGAGGTAGGCCCCACTCTGCATACAGTGAGCATTACAAGAACTTGGGCCTGCGACCGGACTCGGGACTCGTGTCGCATCGCTGGGGCTACTGACTCTACCCCTGAGGGGGTACGTACATGTAGTGTTCCCAAATCTGGGCTAGGGGCTAATTCCCGGGCTTGAATTGGTCGTTTCGGGCTTCTTCCCCCAGCCCCCTCGCCCGCGGGGGGAATTCTGCGAGCATAAGCCCATTGATGGGCTTGCAGGCGCGCATTGATTTATGCGCGTTGCCAACGAACGGGCGAGGGGCTTCCATAGGCGACGAGCACCGTGGGGATATAGCCACAGCATTCCTTCGCAGGCCCGCGAGAGCATTAGTGCGGTGGTAATGAGTCACATGGCATATCACCCCCGCAGCCCCCAAGGGGGGGCTCTCGACACGCGAGGGGCATCTGCCACGGCAGCCGTGTGAACGTTTCGGCCGCGGAATATTCCCCCACCCCCCATCGCTCCCCTCTTTCGGCCCGGCCCGTCCCGTCCGGTACTGCTGCAGGTGGTGGTTGCTCTGGTCAAGGCGGTGTCTCCTCCCCCCACTCCACAGTGATTTCGCCATCTCGCTCGCCACGAGGCTATGGATGAACAACTCAACGGACATTCTCTGCTCCCCTGCTTCTGCTGCCACACCCTCACGACGTAGGTCACCTGGCCCCACAGTGACACCGACGTCGAGGCACACCTCCCACATCGCATTGAGTTCAATCGATCGATACATCCATTCACACGATTCTTCCAATCATCTCATCGAGCTTAAGCTCGTGATTTTCCCTCCCAAGCAGTAGAGCAAAGAGTGGCACGAAGTGGCTCAGTGGATGATGTTGTTTGTTCGCAACTCGGTGACTAATTTGTCGGCCTCAATTCGCCACAGAATCGAAAGTGAGGTTGAATTTTGCTGGTGAGGAGGTGATGAGACGAGCTTATTGGTTCATCAAGCAGATCGAGTTGCGTGCAGTTGACACGAGAAGAGAATGGAGTGAGGAATGGGTGGGTTTGTAGGTAGGTCCTACCGGCCCGGAAGAGCGACAACACAGACGGGGCTTGCAATTTGTGCAGCTCATGAAGGGGGGAGTGGAAGGTCCAACGACTCGACAGCAATGGGCACATCATGATCTCGAGAGAGAGAGAGAGATATCGTGAGCTCTCACACGCTACGACGCCACGACCACCTGTGCGCGATCTAGCTCTCGGCTCCGCAGCCCGGGGCTTGTTTCTAGCAAGCAGCACCACACGAAATCCGCACTGATTGCCACAGCGCGCATAAAGCGAAACGCGCGCACGATTGTCAACACGCCAGAGAAGGCCAGGAGACGAGTGCTCCCAAATTTGTAGGCGCTCGACAAAAAAGCTGTATCAAGGCAGAAATCTGTTGCGCCAGGAATATGCTCCGAGTGGTGATATGGACAAGTAGGCGACAATCTGGGATTCCACCCACTTTAGAAAGCAGCCAGCCACTCACGGTCCGTGACGACGCGTGCCTCGCCACCGTCCCCATCGTGGAGAAACGGACTCCGTGACCATCATAATGAGCTACCAAGACCAGACATACCTCCTCTCACTGTCCAAAGAGAACGAGAGAAGCCGACCATCGACAATCTGACCAAGGCCCATGCTTCACATTCGCAGCTCGTGCGCTGGAGATGGGACGAAGAGTTACTGCTCCTTCGTACTACATGCCAGCGATGGAGCTGGAGCTGGAGCTGGATCTACGTCACATACAAACTCGAGACCACAAGCAGGAGAGTGTACAGACAGACGACAGAGCGTTCGAGAACCGAATGTGTAAGGTCAATAGCAAAATTCGCATTAGCCAAGAGAGTGAACTTGTGAGAAGGGCGATACAACTTGGGAGCAGCAAGCAGACAAACGCTAGCAACTCCATGGGTGGCAGAGAGTGCGGTGCTGCAGCGTGGGCAGGGCAGGGCATGGCATGGCGGGTGATGGAAAGCAGAGCCAAGAGCAAATGAAACAAACATGGGCAGGCACACAAACTAGACTCACGGTGCCACAACAACAAGCTTATAACAAAACGACTGATCGGCCCGGTTCAGGAGATGAACGGGAAACCAATGTATTTTGCGATCACATCTCTTATTTGAAAATGTAGAAAAATAATCAGCTCTGAAAATCACTAGGTTTTATAACGGGTGATAAGCTCTACACTCTGGATGGACTATGATACAGTGCTTGACCTGAGTTTTTCGAGCGCAACTCAAAAGAACTTTCGTGCCTGACAATTTGAATCACCCGTAGCCCACTGGGCTGCCATGGGAGTCAAGAACCCTTGTGGCATACCTAGGAGGAGCTACCATCACAGAAGGGTCGTTGACGGTCAGTCCCACAACCGCTCATCGGGTACACTCAGTCTTAAGCATTCCAGTGAACAACTACCTCTCCAGCTCAGAGGGGGCTGGCCGAGAAACAAGAAGGGCAAAAGGGCATGAGGACTATGCATACAGATTATCAGAGCGGAAGCCGGCACCTAGTGGGAGTTGTAACCATTACAAGAGAAGTCTGAATGTATAGAGGGGCTAAAAAAGCATGGGGGTTGGGGTTGGGGTTGGGGTTGGGGCTGGGGCTATAGGCGCAGGGGGTTCTCAGAAGAAGTCGAAGTCGAGGTATGAGCCCCCGGATGAAGAATTGGGCACATCGGAGGCAGCGGTCTCTACGACTTTCTTCTCGACGGGGGGAGGGGTTTCGACCTTCGGTTGAGGCGGAGGCGGGGCTTCCTTTACCTCCTTGGCCTCCTTCCGGGAATGCGACAGCTCCAGCTCGAAGGGCTTGGGGATGTCGGGAGGAGTGGTACACCGGATCAGAGCCCAATTCACGCCTTCAAAAAATGGATGTTGCTTGATCTCGGCCGCACCTCTCTTGAATGCCAGTCTGTGCATGGGCTCCTTCACCAGCAGGCCTCTGATCAGATCCCGAGCCGCGAAGCTCACTCCCGAGGTCTCGGGGAATTTCAGCGGTTGCCCGACGACGTTGAATAGCGTGGCTCGATTCCCTGTGCCCTTGAACGGCGTCTTGCCGTGCAGGAGCTCGTACAGAAAGATCCCGAATGTCCACCAGTCGACAGCACTGCCATGGCCCTCGCCCTTGATGATCTCCGGGGCCAGATACTCGTGCGTTCCCACGAAAGACATCGAGCGCGCTGCTGTGGGCTCGGCAATCAGCTCCGGGAGTGGTGACACTTGGTGGTGCACGTCGGACTTCATCCTCGACATTTTTGGTTTTTCGGGCTTGGATTTCTTGGTTCTCGACAGGATCATCCGAGGAACGAAGCACGAGGGTTGCACGCATGCCGGCTGGATGCAGGCAGGCGTGACGCACGACGGCTCCACACACGAAGGTGTGATGCAGTACGCTGGAATTCTGCGCGACGGATCTGTGTCGCTCCACGAAGACCTCACCAGCGTCGGGCTGACGACACATCTGAGCGACAGATCAAAATCCGACAGCATGATGTGGCCGTCTTCTCTGACGAGCACGTTCTCCGGCTTCAAATCTCTGTACACCACGCCCATCATGTGGAGGTACTCCAGCGCCATCAGCACCTCAGATGCGTAGAATCTGTCACATGCACTTTCAAATCGTCAGGTCTCCTGATGGTCCAGACACACAGCCAGAGCCGTCCACAGAAAGTCGACACGACGTGAAAACAAACCTCCCGCACAACCACCAATTGTGACATGCTCGAGAAACTGTAGACCAGAATGAACTTGATGACAATTGGCAAAGCGTGCTGGTACAAATGTGAGCAGCCATGAAAGGACACTCGGTGGAGAATTACCCAAGGAAACTAAAAGCCATAAAACCCAATTCCCCTCAAAAAAATCTTCACTTCCTTCAGAGGTACAAGTGACTAAATTCAGCCTACTGGTCAAGCAGATCAACCATTTTCTAGATGCTTCAAGCATTTGTCAAACATCTTAAATTCGCAAGGTGCTTGTAGCCATCTGGGCCTACACTGGGTTGCACTAGAAAGAAAGTCGGGTTAGAATTACTGAGTGTTTGCTAGTAAACAAATCCCCGACACCGCCACCCCTCTCCCCCTCGCCTCAATTTCGACCGCAGGAAGTGACTCCTCCCGCTAGGGTTTCTAGAGTAATGTGGCATGAGGCCAATTTGAGTAGCGATTCCTCCCTCCACTCTCTGACTGTCTAAATGGACAGCTTAAGTCTAGGTGGTCGAGGGGAGGCTCGAACTCCAGATGATGAGAAAATCAGCTCCAACTGTCCGATGCACATTTTCCATGACAGATTGATTTTGGGGTACTCTTCCCAGAATCAATGCTCAAAGGGAATTCGCATGCAGTGGCCAGTAATCTGGCAGGAAGTAAGGGATAGCATCCAATGTACAGCTTGCGGGGAGCGCCTCTCGCTCCTCAAAAGCGAAAAGGACTACTCCCAGGACAGCATGCACGAGACAACTAACATGGATTCGTTTTGATTGTGCCGCAGGTGACTCGCATGCGGAGCTGGCTAATATCACAACCAGCTGCTAGCGTTCATGCGAATTGTGCCGATCGGGCACACCTCAGCAGAAGCCGGAGCTAAACCTCTGTCGTCTTCACGAAGAAGCCCAAACAGGCTGGCCCGTGTGTACTAGAAGACAGCACAAGCTTGTCACGGATACCAAACACGATGATCATCTCTGGAAAAGAGCTAGAACCTGTCAAACGAGCCCTCATGGTAATCAGCAACTCCCCATTGAAGTAACCCCCGGGCGTTCCGTGATCATGAAAATCCATCCACACTGTTAAACGAGGTCGAGGACTTCCAGTCAGCCCACACGCTTTGGGCAGTGACACCCACTGCGCGACGCCAAATCGATGAAAGCGCAAATTCCTCCCTTACAAAAGGAACCACAGCAAGATGCTGCCGAGAAGATAAGAGGGGAAACCTACACCGATAAGTTCGGGGTTGTGGGTGACTCGAGCACGGAAGTTGTGCTCGGCTGTGGTCAATGTTCAGAGGGGGCAGGATGCCAGAGACGCCGAGCACAAACCTGCTTTTCACGGCAGCAGAACGAGAGGACAAGCAAGAGAAAGAGATGATTCGAGGTTTGAGAATGGCGTACCGAGCAGCAGCCTCCGTGAAGTGTTTGCCCGGCTGCCTTTGGCGGAGGGCGTGCAGATCGCCTCCGGTGCAGAACTCCATGACGAGGCACGAGAACTTCTCGGTCTCGAAATGAGTGTAGAGGGTGGGGAGGAAAGGGTGATCCAACAGAGCCAATATCTCGCGCTCCGTTTGAGCTCGCAGGAGCTTCTTCCGGCTAGCCAGCGAGCCCTTGTCCATAACCTTCATGGCGAAGTAGCAGTTGCTGGCCCTCAGCTCGGCCAAATACACACTACCGATGTCTCCGCAACCCAATCGCTTCAAAAGCTTGAAGTGACTCAATCCCATGGCGCCATCCCGATGTTTCACGGCCTGAATCGCCTCCCACCGCTTGTCATTCGACTTGTGGGGCTTGTTGTTCCCGCTATTGAAGCTTATGCTGCTGGTAAAGCTCTCATTGCTGTCACTGACGCCGCTACTCGTACTAGCCCGACTAACACTGCTACTCTTGACACTCTCGCACGACTCGAGCCTCCCGCTGCTCTTGGCACCCACGCTCACCTTCGTCCCGTCCATGTTCAAGTCGCTCATCTTCCCGCTAAGGCTCGTCTTGGCGCTGTTGCTTCCCGTGACGCTACTGAGGCTACTCTTCGTGTTGGCATCAATGCTGCTGTTGTTCGAACTGGCAGTGTCGCTCGTGGGCGCCGAATTGTGGTCCCAGCTCAGCTTCCTCCCCGTCTCCGCACTAGTCATTTCCTTACGAAGCGCTCCGATGATCGGCGAAGTTGTCATTGATCGACCAACTCCGGCGCACGCTCATCACCCGAGAGGGAGCGCTACTACACCCATTGTCCGCAGAATGCCGGCGCTTCCCTCATTCTCCTCGAGGGCTCGATGCAGTGAAGTGAAGTGAAGTGCAATGAGGTCGATGAAACTCTGCCCCAGGCCCGAGCTCGCTCTCAAGCCTTCAATCGGGCCAAGCCCACTCGAGGCCCAGAGTGGCGCAGCACCACAGACGCCGACGGGGGTCTCATTCCGAGACTGCCTCCCCAGTGCGCTCTGCTCTCGCCGCAATCCAGCTTCTGTACAATCTGCACAACACCAGAACCACGCTGTGTCAGCCACGGCAAGCCCACACGCCATTCACCGACGACGCTCGCCGCCACTCCCCCTCCCTGTCTTCCTTCCTTCCTCCCTTCCTTCCGCCGCTCGAATTTGGCTGACAGCTCTAGCTCTCGAGAGAGTGACAGAGTGGGCAGCAAGAGGAACTCTGAAGAGAACAGGATTTGGAGCTGGACCGCGAGCCCGAGCCCGAGCCCGGCCACTGCACCGACGCTTTTCTCATTGAGCCATCCGGGGCACGGGGGATAGACACCACACGCATGGCATGAGGGCGGTACGAGGGGAGGAGAGGGCACAGCAGGCCGAGCCCACGAGAACGGGAAAAGAGCTCGAGGAACGGAATGAGAAGCAAGGCGAGGCGGGGAGGCGGAAAAAAAATTGACAGGGGAATTATGAGGGGCGTGACGGGACAGGCCCGCCCCTCGCCCGACAGAGAAATCCGAGCCACATGCCACACGCAGAATCGCTCCCTCACTTTCTGTCTGTCTCTCGCTCTCTCTCTCTCTCACCTTGGAGAAAGACCGACTGCGGAGAATGGCGCAGGTGTGGGAGGTACACCGGCCGTACAGATGTGTCCCCTGCGACGATCACAGCTTTACCTGCCGCATTCGAAACCTGCTCGCGAGGGCAGCCCGGGCGGACGAGAGCACCAGGGTGTCGGTGGAGGTGAAAACTACAACTCAAATTATACAAACGAGGTTGCTATGCACAAGCCGAGATATACACAACAAACACAAACTCGCTGCTCACTCTCACTCGCACTCGCACACAATCACTTTCGCTCCTCCTGGAGCCCACGGAGAAGAAAGCGACTGCCAATCACTCAAGCGAGCACGGACAGTCAGCCTGCCCTCTCCCTATCCCACACTACTCCGCTGAACTACGCTGTCCTCGGCACTCACTCCACTTCACTCCACTCCACTCGTCTCCTCTCAAGTCTCTCAAGTCTCGGCTCCTCGGAGCGAGATCTCTCCACACGAAAAGTTTCGCGCAACGCGACTGAAACAGAGAAGGAGAGAGAGAGAGAGAGAGAGAGAGAGAGAGAGAGAGAGAGAGAGAAAAGCGGTCAGCCCGTCATCAACATTCGCAGGGCTTCCTCCCCGTCTTCTCTCGCGCACAGATGCTAGTCGACAAGAAAGAAGAAGGCTGAGACGAAAGAGAAGCAGACAGACGGGCACCAAGACCTCCTCCTCCTCCTCCTCCTCCTCTCCTCTCCCCCTTCCGCTTGCCCCTCCTGAACCCACCCCACAAGCACCCGCCTCCTCCTCACTCACCCCGGCAGAACCCCCGGCCTACTACACAGGTTACTCCACCACAACGAGCTCACGAAAGAAAAATCGTAAACAAAATGTCCCTCGCTGCTCCCTGGCCAAACCCTCTCCCCTCTCTCTCTCTCTCTCTCTCTCTCTCTCTCTAGACTGCACTGTTTCTGCTCCTCCTCCTCCTCCTCCTCTTCTTCTCCGCCGCTCGGAATCGCGGCTCCTCTCCAGCTACTTACATCCACATTCTACAAACGAGCCATGTCACGTCCCGTCTCCTATCGTCCCCTCCCTCCCCTCCACTACCCCCTCCACGCCAGTCCCTGCCCCGTCCTCTCTCTCTCTCTCTCTCTCACTCTCTCTCCCACTCTCGACCCCACCTTCTCCTTCCACTCCGCTTCAGTCAAGCGAAGCGAAGCCCAGCCCCAGCCCCAAGCCCAAGTCCGGTCCAGTCCGGTTCAGTCCAGTCCAAAGCAGCAGCACCCAGAGTAAGCGAGCTCTCCAACAAAGCGAAAGTGGCTCTTCGGGGGCAAACTTAATCCTCCGCTGGTGGAGCCTTGAAGCAGCCGAGGCAGAAGCAGAAGCACCTCCTCTCCTCCTCGTCCTGCGGCTCGTCCCGTGCAGCAGATGTTGCAGATGGAGCTGCGAGAGTGATTCACGTCCAGGAGGGGGCAGAGAGCGGAGTAAAAGGTCAAACGCTCGCGGAGACCGGTAACTAAGAGAGAGATAATAAACCCGACTGTGCCGCTGCTGCCGCTGTACAGAGGGGGGCCAAGTACAGCGTCGTTGGTTTCGTTTGCCTGGCACGGTTTGACGTGATGTGATGGGGTGGGGGGGGGGGTTCTGGTGAGGGGAGGGTGAGGTAAAGGGGGGTGAGGGGAGGGGGTAAATGGCGGCGAACGTGACATGTATTAAAACGCAACGTGGTAAATCTCGCTTTTGGATGACAGCCACCGTCGGACGCCGTCGAGGGCTTGGCGGACGGGGCTGACGGTGCGGCTCGGTCAGCCGTCTGCGGATGACGGTTTGCGGAGATCACCCGACCATTTACTGCGCACTAATAATGACTCGCTCCGGACAATGACAGAGGCTGGAGGGTTAGAGCCCCCGGTTAAGTGCAACCCGGGGTTGGGTCTGGCTTTCCCGCCAGTGCCACGTCAGCGTACCTCAGCCCCGATAACTGCTGACAGCACCCTGAATCCCTGATCCTGTCAGCCTTCCCCCTCCCCCCCTCTATACCCTTGGCAGAGCAGAAGCGCAGCAGCAGCAGCAGCCAGCCCCCTCGCTCCTGCTGTCGTATGCCGGCAACTTCCCAACTCTCTCACTGGCTGCCGGCGGTGCCTCTCCCTCCTCCATCTCCAGCGATGGATGGAGCCCTGGATTTGCTTTAATGACGGGTTAGAGTAGCACTAGCCCGACATCCCCCGAAATCCCAGAACGTTCAGCGAGGCCTGATCTGTCTCGAGCGGTAGCCCATGGACTCAGGAACTGGATTCCAACCAATCCTTTTGTCTACAGTGGGCCTTAACCAACCATGCACTCATCTCGCCCCCAAACTTAGCTCGGAGCCAGCATCGAGCAAATTGGTCGATATTTGATCCCACCGCAATTCACACGTTTTCTACGCTGTCTTGGCTGTGAGAATGATTATTTAGCTCGCCTCCACATGTTTTCTTTCCGTGGATAATTCAGCAACTTTGATTGTCTCCATTTCTTTGTACGATGGGAAAGGAGGTTCAGCCCTTCTTATTGTGAGACTTATAACGGTGGATTTGATCACTTACCTGTCACCCTCCACGAGGACCCTGGTTTTGGGTAACGGGTGAACAAGCTTCAGGATCTTATAAGTTTCTCGTGTTAATCCTTTTCCTAAATTTTTGGTCACCATCAAACTTCAATTTGTATTCTGAACTTTGGATCACAATAGGAAGATGATTTCTCGAATAACCCATACTGGTATCTTATGGACCCGAAGAAATCAGACAAAAAGAAACGGGGTGGGTTTTCTGCGAAATAATTCTTAACCAAAATCAGTAGACTATAATTAAATATTTGCATTCAAATTATATCATATTTACATAAATGTTGAAAAAAAACGAAAGTACACCATGTTGTATCAACTTATAAGGAAAAAAATAAAATGTTGATTTCAAAATATTATTGACTTTTTTTCAAACCCCTTTGAAGACAATATGAGATTAAAGCTTTTACAAGCTATTCAAATATTTGTTCTTTTAGATATTTTGGTTCATAATTTTGATGAACAAAGTCTTACAGTTACCATGAAAACAGTCTGGTTGTCCCAACAATTTGATTGTTGGGTCAACCTTGTGGAAGTAAATACAGCGATTTTGTAGAACAATATTTTCAACTTCTCAACCTATTCGTTTCCCAGAAATCTTTATCTTTTTTTCAGCTAATATATTTTGCGTGGGTAAAATTATTTCAAGGCATGAATAATGCCGCTTAAGTTAAATAAGTTTTATTGGGATTTATTTTCCAAATGTCGTACGTCATTCATTCTCAACGTAATTTCATTCCCATCAAGTTATGTATCTGATATCATCAGATTTGGACTGTACAAGTAATTTGATCTAATTTTGGAGTACCTGTGACGATCATTCATAAATTTAGTCCATGAGCTTCTTATCATAAAACTCTTTATATTCTGATATAAATAGTATACAATTGAAAAGGTCATACGTTCCTTCAGCACAGAGTATTGTTTGCAACATTATAAGCAAAATTTACATGTTTTTCATCCATGGCAATAGATGAAAAATATGAGTTATGTTCAAATGAGATTTTAGATTGTAATCAATGCTGAGTTCATTATTACGCTTTTCAGGGAAATCCTCATAGAAGAATGATATTTAATGATCTCACTTCTCTATAAAACAAAATAACATATCATGTTGAGGAAATTTTAATTTAGACATTTATTATGGGTGTCAAACAGTACATTGCACTTTTGACTCTTTTCGTTCACTAAGTATTGAAAAATTAACCTTGAGGAAAAAACAAGTTTATGCTAGAAGTGATGTTTGGCAGCAGTTTTATAATATAACCTGATACGATTTTCTCAATGATGTCAAATTTATTTTACATATTCGTCTTGCTGTTTGTGAAAACTGTGGACGAAATGATGGCAAGAACAATTCTTTTGCATATTGAACAAGGTTGGAGTTTTTCCCACTCTCAATCTTGTCAAGTGAAGAAGGGGTAAGACCTGGATTTGGGCACAATGTATGTGCTACAATTAATACTCCGATCAAAACTCAAGTCAATGATGCTCATGGACGTTGCTCCTTGATTTGGGTCTACACTGTAGACCCAAATCAAGGAGCAACGTCCATGAGCATCATATACTGTAGACTCTACAGTATATGATTGAAGTGAACTGAGATAACGCCCAAAAAGGTCACAACGCAGACCTTGACATCGCCAATATTCGTTCCTATGACCTGCTGGAGTCGCGACTGTTTCTGGGCTCTTAGGATTCAAGGAAGTTGCTGTGCTCTTGCACAAGGGAGCTGGATTAATTTTTTCTGAGTATTTGATACATGTCAGTGCGTAGTGCACGTCTCTTGCAGAGCAAGACCTTTGATGGGAGCGGATCATGCTTAAAGCGAGACCTCTAATGACGGGCCCGGGGAGCTCAGGGTCTCAGACATAGATTTCATGCTTTCAATTACCTTCTTCACAAGATCATCGCAAGGAGCCCTCGGTCTGATCACGGGCCTCGTGTCATCTTCTTCAGGGGGCTCGCAGGCTCGCTAGCTCAAGCGATGCACTTCGGTCGCGGGCCGTCATTCAGAACATCGGGGAAGCATTGCACTGGCGTCCATTCCTCCTGTCACACTAAATGTCTGTTACTCATTCAATGTCGTCTCGATTCTTCCCAACTCTCTCTACAAACATTCGGTTTGGCATGTTGCCGTTGATTGAGTTATTCCCATGTCACGAGTATTTCGATCTTCACATGTACTATAATTTAAGGACGGAGGGAGGGAGGGAGGGAGGGGACCCTGCCTGCACGTCAGAAATTCGCCACCGGCAGCAGCTCCAGAGATGGTAGTGAATGCAGGAATATATTACTTCCGTATGAGTATAATATTGTTGGGACGCTTTGGCAAGGCTACGAGCCGAGCTTGATGACTTTGGACCGACTCGTGTTTTTTGTTTCTTCCCCGATCTCGTCTTCCGAGACCTGGGGTAATAATTTATGCGAGAAACAGTTAACCTTAATCCCAGTCAGGAAAGCTTTTCCATCTGAATGCCGAATCTCTTTCTCAGTGAGGCGTGTCACCGTCGTATGGTTTATACGTGAGAGACCCCGGAGGTATAAATCCGTGCATGTGATGGAGTTTATAAGCGTGAGTATTTAAGACCCACTTGGGAGTGTCCTTTGTACAAGTAAGTTAGTACACCAACAAATAAGTTTACAGTCTTGACTTTACGAGCTGAAATCAAAGCAAGCTCTTAATTCCGGGTGAATCAATCGATTTATGAAATGCCTCCCTGGGCAATCTTTAAAGGGTCCATTGTCTGCGAGGATGCTAGCTTTGTTCACATCCGGTGCTTGTTCTTGTTCTTCTTCTTGTCCATGGTTCACTAATGGAAACTTCTTTGGAGGCAATCGAGTGTTTTCTCAGTGAACACAAGAAGGTTCTCTTCACAACATAATATGCAAAAGTCCATGAAATCCATGGCACCTCTTCCGAACCGTGTGAATGATCACCCTCAGCAACCTCAATCAACCGCTGAACTTACGTTTCGAAATTCGAATTCCCTCTGGATTGGTCAAGTGTACCCATATGACCATCTGAGGTTCTTGGCGGTTATTGACCAGATGACTAGCATTAAGTGCAATTTCAAGCGCACATAGGATGAAATTACAGATTTTTTCCCCTAGTTCATAACTACGCTACGGACCGTACCTTTCTATTCCCCTGCTCTTAATCTCTTTAGCATCTCCAAACACAAACATCTTGTTTGCTTTGCCAACTGCTTTGACCAGCCCTGATCTCGTTCTTCCAAGAGAGTCCTTTCTCCAACCCATTACTCCATGGGTTTGAATACGTAACCTCCATGGACAGCCCTTTGCATCCGATTCAAGTTCAATGTAGTCCTCCAAGAGAATCCGTTCTCGCTTTTAGTTTCTGAATCTCTCTCACAATAAGGAAACGTTTCTAGGACTCAAATTCAGTTCCCTGAAAGCTCAGCTCAAGTATCATAGAATTAACTCCAAATCCATCTGGCTTGAAGAAGATCATCCATCTGGTCGACATGTAAGAGGAAAATAAAAAGATAGACGTCATCTGGTAGAAGCCTTGTGTAATGTTGTCATCTAAAAAGTGGTTATCTCTGTGATCTCATCCCTTTGAATAATAATCTAGTTAAGAAGGCTCTTCCTAAACCTACAGTGCAAGTATGATTATAGAGCAATTTCTACGAATTTAAAAAGTTTCTTCATAAAAAATAATTTGATTTCAAACATCAGACGAAGAAACACTCAATTTTTGCCTAAAAGTCAGCTGGTTTGACTATATTTAAAAAAACTTCACTGAGTTGGATTCATTCTAAGCTTCCTTCGTTCTCGTGTTTTCGTACTTGAGGTATAAGCGGGGTACAAGATATATCGACAGTGGGCCCAAATGTTCGGACCTACAACACATAACCATCATGTGCAAAACGGTTGCAAGGGAATCTCCACAGACTTGCTCAAAAAATATGTATTTACGAGGCGTGAGAAGTCCTCTACCATCGAACTTCAGGTCTATGGGCGAAAAGCAATGGGCTGTCACTTTCACAATCGGTCCGGGAGTCAGGACACTAACGGGGTGTTAAAATCTGGTTGGCCACGCTAATGCGTTAACAACATACTGCCCATCTCGTTGCTCGTTTGCAACTACTGCATCGCTCGCTCTGAAAAACACTTTTCCTGCGAGTGCCATCCATCTTTCCAGAAACAAAAGCCGGAAACCAAGTGTGGATTAGAAAGCCGGAAACCAATTTTCCGGCTTTTCCGGCTTTCTAATCCACATCGCTCCTAATAGGCGATCTATGCGGCGCAAGAGAAAGCGAATGTAAGCTCTCGTTGTCTCTGGGGAAATGCTTCTTCTTACCCCATGCCACTCCACTCCACTCCACTCCACTGAGCTCAGCTCAGCTCAGCTCAGGCTAGATCTCGATCATAATGGGAGGACGAAGGATGGGTGAAAACGAGCGCCACTGCGGAACAGAATATAGTGGCATGCGCAGAACTTAGTTGAACTCACGCATCGCAGTCGCGGGGACAACAAGTACGTGCCGAGAGCTCACACGAACGAGGGGCAAACATGATTATTCGGGGCCCTTTTACGAGCTTTATGCGCTCTGGAGAGCATGAACATATATCCGGAGGTTAAAGACGACAATCATAGAACGAAGAGGCGAAGAGTCGGGGGTTCTCATCTCGCACACGAAGATTTTCCTAAAGGTCCGAAGAGCGGACTACACTGTTGCACGACGGATACCCAGTTCAAACGTCGTTAAAGAGAAGACTACCACGTAATAGTCGGGGCGACCATTAGCTTGAACCGAGTCGCAGTGTAACATGGAGGCACCAGAGAATGAAGGTGACATACCTGGAGAGGTGGTTTACCTGTAGACCACGTGGACACCCCGGTACCTCCAGCGGTACAGGTCCCTCTCGAGCCGGGACTGTGGTTTGAAGCCTGGTCAGGCGCACCCCCATCTGCAATGATGAGCTGTTCTGCGAGCGTATGGACATCGTAAAGTGTGCTGCCACTGTTGACTCCGGTTAGTATTCTCGGGCCAGATTTTACCACCATCCGTAACGCGGATCGGCAGCGGTTATTTTCCGTTACCCGTGCTCTTCACTGCCCTCAATCTCCCGTCCCGTCGCATCGACGTCGGTCGCTCGTTCCTTCGGGTTTCTTTTCTCTCGCTCGCTGCATCGTAGGACTCGGACAAAGCCCGCTGTGATAAATCCAGCGCTGAGATCCGCTACGATGAATTGTTCAAGCCCACCAATTATTCCCCTCCAAGGTTCAATAGCTTGCTCTTGACTTTTCGCTTCTATTGCAACTGAATTGCATCCGAGAAAAGCCGGAATGAAAGACTTGGCAATACGTTCAAAAATAAAAAAAAATTGTGATATCTCTCGGAGCAAATGTTCCTTCAAACACTTGCTGCTGCCTTTTCTCTTCTGTGTACTTTAATAGAGCGACAGAAGGGAAGGAGTTAGATTTTGCAGGATTAAGGTTGTGAGTCAATTTTATGCATATCATTTGCTTTGCTAGTTTGTAAGTTATTTTTCTCAACTGATGCAACTCATCCGAAAATGAACGGCTGGGGTCAAGAGTTTCAAAGATTTATGGACGTGATCTCTTGGCCCAGCGATATTTTTGGAGGTCTTCGAGTGCATTTGTGTGGAGCATTCAGCTCCTAATCATTTGCTCATTCATTCACCAATGACATTATTTTAATCCATCACAGCGATGCCTTCGTACCCTTCCATTTCTGGAATAGGAGGGCGTTTCAGGACAGGCATGTAGAATTTTGTGGTGGGACACAAAACATTGTATGTAGAGCACGTGTAGTGTCAAGGTTTGTAATATACTTCCGGCTTGGGTCATCCTCTCTATTGCAGACTATTGAAATTATTTTGCCTCTACTATTTCGACCCAGAGATGAGTTGTTACGGCCTCATCTTCTGGTTCAATTCACCTAAATCCACTGCAAACCCAAGTTCTGGAAGCGGGCACCAACTACATTATAAAATGAGTAACTAAGCTCTTTTTATATTCATCCGTTCCCAATTATGCCAAGGCGTCATAGCCAGAAGTTGGAGGTTTTGTGATTTTGAAAATATCACCCCAAAAAACTTCAGAAAATAGTTATTTATTCTATTTTGAATGTCTCTTCTGTAATTCATAATACTTGCAAGCTATGGGGTGTTTGCTACCCCTGGTTGGCTCAGCTCCTCCGTAGGATGTCAAAGAGTTGAGGGGTGGGTGGCTATTATGACTTGACACCGCGATCACAGAATGGAGCTATTTTCATGGAGATGAAAGCATCGGGATGGCCAGGCGCCAGGAAGTGTCTGTGCATGATTTCTGGTGCTTTCATATCGAGTAGGGTAAAGGCTCGTGTCTACCTCGTTGTAGATTGTGAATGAAGCTCCAGCGTGGCAGCATCGGATTCGCGATGGCCAGGCGCAAAAGAGCTGCCATCCTTGGCTCGTTCGCACTGTGATGGCCTTTACTCCAACCTTGACTCGAGACCAAGAGATTGAAGGTCATTTTGAAAGTTGGGAAACACTTCTCAGGGACTTTGAAAGCTGCCATAGTTTCTCGCACATGACACGAGTAACGGTTTGTGTGTCTTGTCGGTTGGTACATCTAGACATCACCCACATGTCTGGAAGAAATCGTTGGTTTTATGAGTACGGTGGTGGAGACGGACTTCAGATTCCAGTCATTTGACCTGGTTTCTTCGAATTGGAAATCCACATCTTATGTTCAGACAGCGCCAGAAGATTCAACGACTTCGGGCTTCATGTAGATCTTTTGAAGATAAGGATCGACCACGAGTCTCGCGAATAAACACTTTGTTGCAGTCTGGAATGAAGGACAAGTTGCAGTAATGTTTGCAAATTTTGCAGCTTTCGAACTAGAGGCATCGAATTGCATGTTAGGGTATCTAGCCTTTAATGACTGATTTATAGTATTTCCCTATACGAGAGCTTTTGCTGAATAAAGTGGACATGATTCTTCTCTCGCCCTTCCTTGCATCGACGCCAATAACTCAAAATGATCTACTCGCTTTACTATTGGGATTGTATGTCAGGAATTTTGATGTGCTATATGTACGTTGAAGATATATCTATAGCCTGCTTGAGATCCTTTGATAATACCTACCTACAAAATATTTATCTCCTGTTTCAAATTGTCCCAAAGATCTTGAGTAAATTGGATTAGATGTTAATGCTAGGTGTGTACTTGCGTTGTTGCCAGATTTGACAGTGCTCAGTGGAATGCTAATAAGTACAACATTACCTAACTCTGCCTTCCATCAATGATTAGTATGTGAATGTACTCCCTGCTGTCTTCACATGAAGGCATAACAAAAAGATTCAGACCGAATATTTTTTCTCCCACGGCATTTGGGTCTTCCTCCGTCGATGCTACTTTACAAGAAACCTTTTACGGTTCCATTCTTGAAACCAACAGTGCTGAAGTAATAATAAAGATATCAATAATTGTTTTTTCTGGTGTCTTGGGTTAAGTTTAATTCATTCATATCTATGTTATGGAAAGAGAAACGACTAGTGAAATATTCGATGAGAAAATGAATCAACACCAAAACCAACGTACTGAAGATGGTTTCATCTAGATGGTATTGATGTTTAGGGTAGATGAGAATAAGAATTCAACTTTAAAAAAAAAAAACTAAATGAAATTAGAATTAACTCGATACAAGTTTCAGATGTCATTCTGCAGTAGTGAAGCTGAAAGTCAAGGCAAACCTGCTACCTCTACAGGTGAAGAAATGGTTGTGGGGTAACAGAAAACTGCAAACTGGACACATGGCAATCTCTTAGCTTGAAACAGAGAGTGCTTATTTTAGTAAGCTGAACATACTTGAGTACAGATCGAGACAGTGAATCATTCTGTGAAGACTGACTGAAATTGGGAAGAGCACAGGGTTTGCTGGTAAGAGCCTGGACAAGAAGGCCCACTTGGTCAAATTTGTTGGAATGTTATCAAGTGCACTACAGGAATGAAATTACGAGCTCGTTTTGTGGTACTCAGTACACGTCCAACTTATTGGAAGAAGATACTCGCCTAACAATAAAAAATAGCTCGTACTTCCACCTCTCGACAAATACCGGTATGCCAGATAATCCAGCATGATAGTCTACCTGCTCATTTCTTGATAGGTACCGTATTTATTTTTTGATCGTATGATTATATAATCATCATACAACTTTCATGATTTGGCATCACCATGTTCGCACACAAACTTGTTTGCTTCACAGGAAGGCAGCGCATTTTCATACTCTGTACTTCTATAACAATCATATGTGTACGAAGTGCCTCTTGGGATGATGCAAGATGCCCGTACATAGGATGATGCATCATTTTGAAAACCTCTGATCATACCATTTCAAAGGAATGAGGTCTTTATGGTGTAATTTGACCTCCATGAATTGAAGCAGACAAGCAATACATGCCGAAGGTAGATGTAACCAAGTAAAAGAATACAAATGATAAGAACATCCATCAAGGTTTTTTACGATGAAACCAAAAAGGTTAAGATGATATCAATATTGCCCCAAAAAACGAGAACAACAGCTTTGACCTATATGAGTATGTTGTTATGGAGCTTTTTTATTGCGAAGTGAAGGTGTCATCTTGAGAATCCGGTCAACTCCACAAGTCTCCAATGTAATTTAATCTGAAGATAAGTTGTATAAGTTACGAATATTGAAATCTTAACTCTTTATGGCATAGCGGGAACTTTCTAAAATATCCATCAACAAAATTATCATATTTTAAACCAGTTCATAAAAAAGAATATAAAAATTGGTTACTGACCACTTTGATACAGCATTCTTCTGCGTAGACCAAGAGGCGGAAACGATTTGAATGTGTAGAATATTTATTGTGCAAGTTCAGTACATGGTGTTATCATTCTATGGATCCGCTAGTGTTAGACATGGACTACTGGCTTGGAATTACATGTATAAAGTAGAGGTGTGATACACCTAGACAGAAAACTTGGTGAGACCTAAATGTTTCGACTACAAAGCTGCATTTTCAAAAGCATGCTTTGATAGGACTCTAAAAATGATTGTAAAATGTCATAGTGGAACTACGTAAATATACAACAAGATATGATTATGCTCTTTGTTGAGAAAAGGAAACAATCTTTCTATTATATACAAGTTACAATAGCCTCGAAGGTTCGGTTATCACACTACTTTTGATGAAAGTATGCAAGTGGGAGTCGCGGAATGCCAATGTTAGAGTTTATTAATTGTTGATCCACATCAAAGCACTATACTAAGTCTGGGCTACATGGTTGCATTCATGGTCACGAACGGGGCCAGGAAATGAAGCCGACAGGATAGAAGGGGGCCCATCGAGCAATGATGAAACCAAACTGGAAATTTGTTCTACTGCTCTGATCTAGTTCATAGATATCAATATTCCTAGTATTAGTAATTCCATGTATATATCATACATATGTACGAATATATGTTAAGTATCCGTATGAAAGCCTACTTGTAAGGATATGTGATCAACTCAGCAGACAAGGAACCTAAGCATCCGTAGACGGACAAATAAACACTTTCACCTTATAATAATCAAAAAATAGTCACGCTATCTTGAAGTATACGAAAATAGTCCATGAAAGAGACACATGATTGGGTGAAAATTACTGGCATAGTTAGCCAATGAAATGATGGAAACTGCAAGTACATATTGTATATCATTTCTGTATTTAGTCACTGATATTTGATACGATCTACAAAAGTCAAATGGCTGTCTACTTCGGCGCTAATTGATGTACCGAAACACCATACGACAAACTGCTATGTAAGAATGTCCTACATCGCACCCAATTATCCAAAGGGGTACAAGCGTGATAACCTAGCTTTTATGGTTGTGCAAAGCGTTCCGTCAGATAGAGGCAAAAGATTGCCTGATAAAGATAGAGGCACGTAGTCGGATGTGAAGATGCACCGAATCAAAAGAAGCCAGAGAAACTGGATTGCGGTGGGGAGTCCACCGCTGTGCTTGTTTTCCGAGAATAATTCCACATTTTCAATAATTCCATAATGTATTTAGTGTATGAAATATACATCGCTAACCTACGACTGGATGCAGTACAGTATGCATCATATTGTACACAAAACCTGCCATTAAATCCAGTAATCCTTTTTCTGACTCCACGATAAAGAGGAGCGGTGGTGGTCACCGAAAACAGGAATCTCACTCCTGATAGTGAAATTGCATTAGTTCTGTAACTGGACCGACTTTGAAACCAGTACACCAGAAGCCAGAGTTAATGACCTCTGAGCTGAAGCATTACTCCACTTTCGTGCCATGTTACTACCCTGATCCGATCATGTTAGAGAAACTAATCCGTCATTAAGCCCTAATTGACCAGAATATCGATGTTGACTTTATATAACCGTAAGAATACAGTACCGGCGAATTTTCTTCATGTAACTTTGCCCTCAGGGTAAAACATTTTGTAGCTAAAATAATTTTCAGCGTATCCAGTGGGTTGGCTTCAATACGGCACATGCATGGTCTTCCAGACAGCGTTCATTGCAATACTTCCATGAGTGTACATTGATTATACGTTGACTGATAATTACGGATTCAATACCTTGTAAACATCTTGTCCCCCTATGTAGGATAAAACCTATAGTTTGAGTTGCAACATGATCTGACTTCTGACAACGAGTCAGTCTTGTTTGATTATTATTTCCACTTATCGCAATTACGTACTACGAGTGAAGTGTGATCTATAATTACGTTTCTTCAATATATTGCATGGTTGAATATACAAAGTCCAAGGCTGTACATCCTACAGCACAAAAGTAGCCTTCTTTAAAAACAGACTAACATCAACGAATTATTATTCCAGTAAACCGTTGCATACCATACCTGTTACACGAAATTGATCGTGGAGTTGTCTGAAATCTCTGCGATATAACAACGTCTGGGTTCATCACGAGGTAAAGACATCCTGTAGTAATAAAATGTTCACAAAAGTGACGAACAATGCCAACACAGTCTAAGTTTCATAAAAGTATAATCCATATAAGTAGACAATGTGTGTATTGAAGAACAAGAGTGTTGTTTTTCAAACCCTAAATTCCCCATATTCCAAAATAAAATCAAGAGAATAAGACTAATATATGGTACATTCCCAATTTATATCGTTTTCATGAATAGAAATACAAATTTTTTTATTCCGATAACATCAAAATATACTATTTATGCTTATTTCATATGTATCATCTAACATAGTCATTGTACAAACAGTTTAAATTTAATCCTCAACTGATAATTTGCTCCTTTTATACAATATATATAACTATAAAACATACACTTCAATATGGATTGAAGAATTCATATATATCCTGTTGGCAAAACTAAACTTCGTCCTTAACAAAAATATATACAATGAAATGTCATACTTAAATAGCTAGTGATTCTAAATCTCCAAAATTATATTCAAATCTTTTAGATAAAAACATATGAAAATATTTTATATCACAAATTTCATAGCTCAAATATGATTTTTAACTAATTTTTTCATAGCTGTAATTCATATAAAGATATACAGAATTCAAATGAAATATATTTTTAAAAATTAATCCCAAAAAAAGGAATATTTTCTACATAAAAATAGAATTTATTTGATGACTTCAAATAAATTTCAAGAAAATGAATATGAGACTGAATTTTAAATCTTGATTCCAACCAAGAATTTTCACTCACAAAGACAAAACTCATAACAATTAATATATAAAATCTCAGATGCAGTAATCTTAAAATCAAAATTCAAAGTCACATTGTCATACATGCAGAATAAAAATTTATTCGGCCTTTTTTATACACATATATTCCCGGTATAACATATTTTAATAACGATTTTTCTACATTCTTATAAAAAAAGCAGTACAATGCATTCAACATAGTTAAATCACCATTATTTGTAAAAAAATAAAAAAATAAGGTTCTATGATTGATTAAG